TTAATACAACCTTTGCCCTTAACTGGAAGATGTTTCTAGTGAAAGACCCCAGAGTCCTTTATATGGTGTTTGAAAAAGCCCAATGCTTATAAGAGTAGTACATTTAGCATAAACATGCCTCAAACACCTCTGTGTACAATCTGTCTGTGTTTCTAGCAGGAAGGGGCAATTCTTTGGAATATAATTTGCTGCCACTTACAAAAGCAACATGTCATATTTCGATTGTGCTTTAGTCTGTGAATGGAAAATCCTCTAAGCACTGGAAACTTGGTGTCTGCTGCACACACCCAGTGCACAAAGCAGAAATTCTTGTCATTAAGGCAAGAGAGGCCCAGGCAATGGAAGGGGAGGAAAAAGATCTACAGACAATAAGAAAAGCATATGGCTCTCTCAATTTACTAGAAGAGATGCTGAAGTCAAACACTGCAGTCTCGGATCAGAAGCTACATTTTTCTCACTGCAGAGAGATCTGATCAAGTCTCACTATCTTGAATATGCTGAAAATCAGGTAAGGTATTTGTTAATTCTCATGTGATATCCTAATGTAGCCTCAAAAGCTGGGAAGAGATAAAAACAGTAGAATTGGCTATGTGGGCTATATTGCCATTCTTTTGATTCAAATCTCTCACAATCAAGAAAGTGTTGCTTCTCAACCAGCCATCTCCAAAGTGCAGCACTAATGGAGGTTGGTTGCACTGCTGTCCTTCCCTGGAGACAGCAACCAACACTACTGAAGCTTCTCACGTAGCAACCAGAGCTCCAAAGCCAACATTAGCTGCTTGTCACCGCCTTGAACGCTCACCCACAGGATCGAAGGCAAAGCAACACCCTCAGTCACCTCTCTGCTGCAAGTTGCAGCTAGCAAAACTGATTTCCTGGGCAGGCTCTGTGTCTGCATATAACAGAGAGAGAAAAAGAGGGGAGTGTCTGATGTCACCTTCATAGGTGAAAAGGGAGAGTCCTGCACGCCATTACGGAAGTAGCATATCTTTGTACTGCCTGCCACCATCTCCCAAGTCTCAAAAGTGAGCTCATGAAGAAAACATTTCGGCAATCTTGGATAGGAATTTGCTGCCCAAAATCATGTTTTTGAGATGATGGTGCCATTTGCTTTCAAAATGAAAACCACTTTTTTTGCTGTTCAGTCTTTGCTTGCAAATCTTTAACACTCCCAATTACATAATGGGCTAGTGAGAGGAAAGTGCAAGATGCTACCCTGGAAGGGCTATTATTTCCCCTTCAGGAAACAACTGCCTTAATAGGAGTGATCACAATGGCTTGTTCCATTTTTAAAATATCTCACTGAACATAAGAATTACTGCTTGAAACTGAAACAACTACCCTCGTAACTGAACAAACAAAAACTTCTCACCATTTTCATGGAATAAGCTGCTGGAGTCTAATCCCCTTCTCTGATTATCAAACAATTTCTCAAAAATGGGGTATGTCTGATATCACAATAAACCTCTATTTGAAGCAGCAAGCCATTGACACTCCAAGGACAAACTGCTGGATATGGGCTACAGCAACCTTGCCCTGTACTGGTGCTATTATTACAAAATACTGTATGCAAGCTGGACAAGGACACAAAATGAGACAGGGGAACTAAAAACATAACCTGATTTCTTAAAAGAGCACACGTTGAGCAATGAACCACAGTGAAAATCCCTGCTACAGCCTCCAAATAGGAGGCAGGGGAAAGGAGAAAGGGATTATTAAAGTGCACCACCATCGCCACACAAGCACCATGAGAAAGCAGAAAATGCAGGTCAAACACCTCCTCCCCCATTGCCTGAAGGAGCCAGCAAGTCAGAAGCAGACAGCGGAGGAAAGGGAGGGGGTGGGAAGGGAAGGAGCAGCTCAGGGGAAGCTGCTTCAGCACATGGAGAAGGAGGAGGGATGGAAAGAGAGGGGAGGCAGTGATGAACTCACAGAGGAGTGGAGGCAGTCGCGCATGCACACACGCACACACAGAGGATGCATCTACACTGTCGAGTTAATGCAGTTCAATGCAATGGAATTATGGTATTTGTAGTTGGGTGAGGCACCAGCACTATTTGCCACAGAAGGCTAAAAGGCTTCTAAATGATAACTGTGGCCCCTTCTAGACTGCCGTATAATCCAGTTCTAAGGCAGATGATCTAGATTTTTTATGGCAGTATAGAAGGGCCCAATGATTCCACAGTGCCGAGCCCTGGCAGTTAAAGTGATATCAAACAGCATTAATTCTATAAGTACAGATGCAATCACAGTATCCTGGCAAACAGCTGCTTTGAAGTGGAATCTCTCCTCCCAAAATGGGAATTTCCCCACATTCCCTACTTTGGTGAGGACTCCAACAAAAAACTGGCTTAGCTATTTTCCCTTGGATAGAATGCTTCCCAGGGAAGTAAATAATACTAATAACAATAATATATTTTACTTGTTACCTGTATCTCCTCAATGCTTGAGGTGGGGGTACAATATGTTAAAATACATAGATAAAACAAAGGATATATATGTGCACACATACACACAAATCAAAGATTAAAATACCAATGAATAAATTCATTGGGATCCCTCGACTGCCTCCTTTTCCTTCCCACTCTCCTTGCATCCCATCCCCCAACTTGGCTGCAAGAGCAGACATACACACACACACAGTTTCCTGGCAAACAGCTGCTTTGAAGTGGAAGCTCTCCTCCCAAAAAGGGATTTTCCCATATCCCCCACTTTTGGAAAGGCCTCCCACAAAAGACTGGCTCGGGCTATTTCCCCTCACACTGCACCATGAGAATCCTGCCTGGGAAAATTAATTAATGAATTCATTAGGTTCCCTCAACTGCCTCTTCCCCCTTCCCTCCTCCCCAAACTTGGCTGGTCTGCCCTCTTGCAAGACAAGAAACACACACATATACACACAGAGGGCAAGAACAGGATCGCCATGATGCCTGGCAAGGAGAGAGAAAGCTCACTCCCACCTCCTCCCCAACAGGAAGGTGGAGGATGGGTGAGAAGGCGATGAAAACCAGCTCCCCATCAACCAGTTACTGGTTGATGGTTATTGATATTCTTATGTTTTTATGGTGTCTGTTTCACAGTTTTATTGTTTTAATTATTGCAATGCAATATATTTTAACTGTGCTATATTTTACTCCTGTTTTTGCTGGGCTTCGTCCCCATGTAAGCTGCCTCGAGTCCTTTCGGGGAGATAGTGGCAGGATATAAGAATAAAGTTGTTGTTATTGTTATCATTTCAAGCTTCCCTGGAAGGGGGGGGATTTCCATTTCTATTAACCTCAGCCATCTCTTTGGCACACATTACAGACGCACCTTCCACCACCCCCTCTTCCCGTCCCCCCACATTTATTATTTATTCACAGAATTTATATACCGCTTTTCTTTTTGGGGGACAAAAGGCTGCCCCCCCTCTTTGTCCCCCACATTTAGAGGCTGCAAACAACCGAAAATGTCAGGGGCAGGCAAGAGAGGCAGGGCTTCTATTACTGGTATTATTATTATTAATAATACTATTGGGTTAGGGAGACCAAGAGAGGCAATTGTGGTATTATATTCTTATTATTATTGGGTTGGGGAGACCCAAAGTGGACACCAACTACACAATTTAAAACCTACAGCATATAAACATTGAAAGCAATACAAACCAACACTGTATAAACATGTTTTAATTTAGGCTGAAATCAATACAATAAGCTATCAAATTAGTACTATTAAAATAAGTCGAAAATCGTCAAAATCTACGCAGAACTGGCACAAAATGCTTCACAACACGGCAGTTTTTTCTTTCTTGCTTCCTTCTTTTTCCCCCCAATTTTGGACTTCAACTCCCACAATTCCCCCAGCTTAAGTGGCTGAGGGGGAAAAGGAAGGAGCCTGAGGCTGGTAGAAATTGTGGGAATTGAAGTCCAAAACACCTGGGGGGCCCATGCCTGGTGTTTTCCCATGGCCAAAGGAGCCTCCATATCCAGCAGCCTGCATATCCATCCATCGCTCTCTCCCCACCCCCATCTTCCAGATGCACCAGTACAGGACCACAATAAGGAGGCTGTTAGAAATTGTGGGAGTTGAAGTCCAAAACACCTGGGGGGCCCATGCCTGGTGTTTTCCCATGGCCAAAGGAGCCTCCATATCCAGCAGCCTTCATATCCATCCATTTCTCTCTCCCCACCCCCATCTTCCAGATGCACCAGTATAGGACCACAATAAGGATATAATCAACCTTCCAAAGGCACCAACATAGGAATTCAAAGCAATATATGGGCTCAACCTCCCAGAGACATGGATATAAGGACATATAATCCTGCAGGAGGCATAAATATAAGGACATAAACCTTCCAGAGGCAGCAATATAAGGGCATAACCCTTCCAGAGGACAATATAAGGAGGGGAGGCCTGAAGCCACCCAAAGAGAAGAGCTGTTGGGAAGGAAGAGAAGGGAAAGCGCTCCCTTCCAAGTTTCCCCGCCCCTCCCCCTCCCCAGAAGCCCCTCGTCCACGCCTCTTCTCTGCTCATACCTGTCCGGCCCGTAGCTCGGGCCCCCGGCACTAGGCCCTGCTCGGCGCCACGGCGTTTCCTAGGCGTCCGGCGGGAGAGGGAGCTCCAGGGAGTAGTAGCCAGGGCCCCTCCCCCTCCGCGGCAATAGTCAACGGCCAACCGCTCCTCCTCAGCAGGCCGGGCGGAAACGGCACTGAGCGCACGGGGATTCCCAGCGCTGGCGCCAGGGGCACCCCGGCCCCGCCCACCGCGCCCGCTGATTGGTCGGGCTTTCCGCACGATTGCCTTTCCCCTCTCGAGGACGCCTCCTCGCCGCCTATTGGCCGCCTAGGCTAACCCCCCCTTCACAGAGAGGGGGGGGACGTCGCGTTCTACCCGCCTGTAACCGAAGAGCTCCAGCTTYCGTCCCGCCCCCTCTCGTGGATTCTTCACTCYCATTGGTCATTCGAAACGCCACTCCCTCAGWGGGGGTATAAAATGAAAGCGCGGCAGAGCCACTCGCTCAGTACGCTCCTGGGTTGAGGAGAAGTAGGGTGGGAGAATGGTATGAGGAAGGCGGAGGGAAGTCAGGCAGGAAGGCGGGAGGGAGGGAGGGAGGGAGGGGGAGTGTCGCTGTTGCCTGCCTTCCTTCGCCTCTGCGCACGTGGGTCTGCTGCTCTACGTGCTCGAGGGCGAGGCAGCTTCCTGATTGGCTCGCCTGGAGGAGTCCCACGTGGGGGCTGGAGTGCTGCTTGGGGACACGTGGCACGGGGCGGAGGCAAAAAAAAAGATGAAGAAGAAGGGGGCTGGGCTCAGCGATGTCTCTGGAAAGCCCTTTCGGGCATGCGCACTGAGTCCTGGCGCTGGGAAGGCCTGAGTAGAGGCTGCAACAGCGCATGCGTCAGCTTGGGTGGTTTGGCTGGAGGCAGCATGGAGCAGTGATAGAAATAAGTGATGGGGGGGGGGGAAAGGAGGAAGGAGGGTTCTTTCCACGCGTGGGAAGGGTTCGCGCGTGGACTTTGCAGCGTGGAAGGTCTTCGGGGGCAGCTTTGAGCTTGCATTGCTGCAGGCTGGAGCAGAATTTACTGGGGGAGCCAAAAATAACTCTTGCCCACCCGCGCATGCGCAGTCGCCCACCAGTTCCTCCTTCCTTCCCCTTCCTTTTTCCCTCCCTTTTCTTTCTCAGCCTGGCCTCAGCTGCCATACCTTTCTCCCTTTGCAAGCCAAACCCCATTATATGCAAACGGTATGGGTGGCCTAAAAATCACAAGAGGGACTTCAATATTTTGAACTCCTTTAAAAAAGTTATTATACCATAGCATCATATACAATATATATTGGTTGGGAAAAGCCATTATATGGAGAAATTATTGAAACCTCAGACTTTTTATTTTTGGCCTACATAGATAGATAGATAGATAGAATATTTTGAAGCCCTGGATAGATGGATGTGGAATCTGTGAATATGGGGGCCTTGGAATTTCAGCTGAATTCTCTGAATGAGCCTTAAGGGGATTTTTTTCTCATCTCCCCCACCACACACAATCCTAATTATTTCTTCTTTTTCTCTCTCTAGGATGCAGGGATCCCAGCTGTTCCCTTTTGCAGATGGGCAGCTGCCCCTCAAAAGGCATTGAGGCCCTTCCTCCAGGCCCCTTTTCTCTAGGGATGCCTTGTGATTGACAGGCCTGGGAGGGAGCCCTTCCTCTGTATTTGAGCGAGCAAAATGGAGGAAGACACCAGGAGGGGATGCCTGGGGAAATTCAGGCCGCCTGGGTGCACACTTGCAGGCATGCCAGGTAAAATGGGGAAGCACTGGACCCTGCTGCTGGAGCACGTTCTGTCCTGTTTTGACTTGGCTGCAGCCGATGGGATTCCCAGGCTGAAAATAAAAAAGCTAGACTGAGACTTTTATTTTATTTTTTAATGATTTTTATTAGAATATTCTAATCATATTGTAATAGACTGAGACTTTTAGATCCCCGTAGCACTTAAAAAGATTTTGGTGCCCCCTGTATATATCTAATTCAAAATATAAACAAAACATTTTTTAAAAATTCAAAATAGAACACAGCAAGATGGAAAATATGCCAGGGGACAGTTCCACCTTGTCTCCTGCATATGTCATCAGTTGGGGGGCCCTCCCCCCACACACACACACCAACTGCTGCTCTGGGCCAGAGTGAAGGGGGGGGGACAGTTCCATCTTGACTCCTGTGCTATGCTAATAATATAATGTAATATAATATATTGTATATACATATATTTATAATATTATTAGCTGTACCTGCCATGCGTTACTCTGGCCAACCTTTCCTCCCTCTTTCTCTTCTTTTTCTCTTTCCTTCCCCTTTTTTTCTCTCTCCTTCCTTCCTTCTCATCTTCTTCCCTTCCTCCCCCCCCCCCACTTTTCTTTCTCTTTCTCCCTTCTCTACCTATTCTTGGACTGAAACTCCCTTCCTTTCTTGCCTTTTTCCCCCCTTGCATTCTCTTCTTCCTTCCTTCCCTTCCCCCACATATTTTCTTTCCCTTCCTCTTTCTTCCTTCTCTACCTATTCTTGGACTGCAACTCCCAGTAGTCCTCCTGAACGATCTATCTACCTGCATACCACTCTCTATCTAAACTATCTATCTGGAGGATTGCTGGGAGTTGCAGTCCAGGAATAGGAAATTGGAAATATGCAGGGATTGGGATGCTCTCAAAGAAATCCAAGGAGAAGAAGGCTTGCATCTTGGAAGCAGTGCATTTGGATCATCCTCCTCTCCTAAAGGTCCTGGTCTAGGGGATGCTGGGAGCTGTAGTCCGGAAGAGAGTGTGGATATGCTATTGTGTGTTTTGTTTGCCAGGGGAGTTGTTTTTGCGCATGTGCTGTAGCTTTTTTGTCCCTTCTGTTGTGTGTTTCCAGTGTTTTATGAGTGATGGTTACTCATTGGCTTGATAGGTGTATTGTGTCCAAATTTCGTGTCAATTTGTCCAGTGGTTTTTGAGTTATGTTAATCCCACAAACAAACATTACATTTTTATTTATATAGATAATGTAATACACTATAATACTAATAATATATATTTTATATTACAATATAGTAATATATAATGCTGATAGTGTACTATGCTAATAATATAATATATTGTATGTATTTGCCCTGACATGACAAATAAATAAATAAATATAAAAATAAAAATGTATATATATATATATCTTGTAAGCCACTCTGAGTCCCCTTCGGGTTGAAAAGGGTGGCATATAAATGTCGTAAATAAATAAAACAATTATTTTTGTATACCTCCACATTATTTGGAATGTTTTCTCCTAATTGTTTTTCTTATTGGGCTCCCCTTTTTTCTGGAGCCTGGGTTTGACTGCACCGTTGCAGTTTTGCACCATATGCTCCATGGTGAATCTATATAGCCACCTTTCCCTTCACGCCTTAAGCATGGGCTTATTTTGCTTCGTGGTTAATCCAGAGCAGAGAGTCCAAAGTTCCTTATCGCTGTGCCATACCTTCCCCCCCAAAAAGGTACCTTTGAATACCCAACTCTTTTCTCTCTCTCTCCATCCAAACAAAGCTGTATTCAATGCGGCACAGCGCTTTGAAAGAGCAGGCAAGGGGAGGGAGGGTTGGGGGTTTAATCCAGCTTCCTGTGATGGAGAAAGAGAAGGCTTTCACTGCAGGGGACCCTTCATGTGCGATTTTCTCTGAGTAAGAGTTACTCATTGCAAGCTTTTAACAGGAGTCCTCTAATAAAAGCCCCCATCTTCTTGGCATTAACATCACTGGAGGAAGATCCAAGTTCTGCAGGTAGAAAGGGGAACGTCTGGACATAATAGCCATGTTTCAATATTTGAAAGGATGTCATATTAAGGAAGCAGAAAGCTTGTTTCTTGCTGCTCTGGAGACTAGGGGGCCTTCCACACGGCCCTATATCTCAGAATATCAAGGCAGAAAATCCCACATTATGTGAGAGTGGCCTCAGATAACCCAGTTCAAAGCAGATATTATGGGATTTTCTGCTTTGATAATCTGAAATATAGGGCTGTGTGGAAGGCGGTCCTAGGATACACAGCAATGGGTTCAAATTGCAGGAAAAGAGATTGTACCTAAACATTAGGGAGAATGTCTTGACTAAATCAGAACCCCTGGTTGGTGGTTCGAATCCAGGGAGCAGGGTGAGCTCCTGTCATTAGTCCCAGCTTCTGCCAACCCAGCAGTTTGAAAACATGCAAATGTGAGTAGATCAATAAGTACTGCTTCAGTGGGAAGATAACGGCACTCCATGCAGCCATGCTGGTCACATGACTTTGGAGGAGTCTACAGACAATGCCAGATCTTCAGCTTAGAAATGGAGATGAGCACCACCCCCCAGAGTCAGACACTACTAGAGTTAATGTCAGGGGAAACCTTTACCTTGACATAAGAGCTGTTTGATAGTGGAATAGGCTGCCTGGGAGTAGGATAGTCTCCTTCTCTGAACGCTTTAAAGCAGAGGCTGGATGGCCATCTGTTGGGACTGCTTTGCTTGTGTTCCTACGTGGCAGAATAGGGTTGGACTGGATGCCCCTTGGGGGGCTCTTCCAACCCAATAATTCTATGCCCACAGCTGCTGGATGTAAGATGACTTTATGGCTGGCTTCAAGGAACCTTTCCATGTATATGTTGCAGTATACAATTTGATCTGAGCAGCAAGCTGCCCAATATACTCACTTCTTGAAATCTCAGCATTGTCCCATTATTTCTGGTGCCTTTCTTCAATCGGAAGGTTGCAATAGAAAATCTTTCTGGGCTTGGAGTACACTTTACCTGTGCTTTTTTAGAGTATCCTGTTCCTGGCCAAAATTAGGTGCGTCCACACCTCCTGAAATGAATGGATGTAACCAAGACATAACTGCATAGCTACCTATTTATCCTTTTTCCAAAAAAAGGAATTGCCTCCCTTAGTATCTCGGCCATTTTCAATAGACAATGCTGCTGAGAGTGTACACAAATGAAATGAAGACCTGGGCTTCCAGATTTAGAAAGATAACACAGAGGAAGAGGAGCGGAAGGGAAAGATCAGACTGATAATGCCAGAACAAAGAACTCTGTATATCCGCTTGGGGGCAGCTAGTCCTCTTTTGTAGGTGTTTCTGCTGGGATAGTAATAGTAGAACCACCTAGTCATTCAATAGTATCTGTGCCTTTCCCTCCATTTAGTACTCATGGGCTAGCTGCTATGCAGAGAATGTTGCAGTGTATATTTTATTTTCTAGGGACAAAAAATACATGAATAGTTTGCTCTTTTTTGTAGGCTCCATGTAGCCTATTGTGTCATAGCAGCCCATTGTGTTTATTTTCATCAGACTTCCCACTGCAAAAAACAGACGCATTGCTTTAGCTAAGCTATGGTAGCTTTCCCAACACAATCCTTTTCAGATGTTTGTGGATACAGCCCCCCCCCCCAACTTGCCATAGTGTCTGGGGATGACAGATGTGTTACTGCAGATCTGCATCATACTATATTGGAGAAGTCCATAGCAACACTTGAAAAGGCAGCAACAAAGGGCAAAATTTCTGTCTTTTAAAACATTTCACTTACATTAAATGTGAGAAATTTTAACATCCGAAGCCTGCTAGCCAGCTAAACTACACTGGAGCCCCGGGTGGTGCAGTGGGTTAAACCGCTGAACTTGCTGACAAAAAGGTTGGCGGTTTGAATCCAGGGAGTGGGGAGAGCTCCCGTTGTTAGCCCCAGCTTCTGCCAACCTAGCAGTTTGAAAACATAGGTTTTTAAATCCTTGCGTGTTATTGTTTATAAGTGATTTATACTAATTCTGTTGTTTTATTTGCTTATTGCTTTTTGTTTTATTGATGCGTTGTTGGGCTTGGCCTCATGTAGGCCACTCTGAGTCCCCTCGGGGAGATGGTGGCGGGGTATAAATAAATTATTATTATTATTATAAAACGTGCAAAATGTGAGTAGATTAATAAGTACCACTAAGGTAACAGCACTCCATGCAGTCATACCAGTCACATGACCTTGGAGGCGTCTACAGACAATGCCGGCTCTTTGGCTTAGAAATTGAGATGACCACAACCCCCCTGAGTCAGACACGACTAGACTTAATGTCAAAGGGAAACCGTTACCTTTTTAAACTGCTCAAAATTCAGTGGAGCTTAAATCCAAATCATTTTGGGATGCTGTATTAAATGCCCTTCTTGAAAAGTCTAATAGTACAGAGTGAAATTTATTTTCATGTAAGCATGCTTATTTGTCAGTGAATCAAGAGTTCAGTCAATCCCCTTCCAGATATATATCGACTGGTAATAATTCCAAGCTTTTATAGTAATGTCAGGATGGCATCTTTCAAGTCATCTTTCTCATAAAACCATGGAGAGGATATATTGAAATTCCAGCTCTTGCTTTTCCAGGGGGTGGAGTTGGATTAAAATATAACAAATATGTAAATTTGCCTCTGTTTTTAAAGAGCAAACTGGGAAGAAATACCAAGTGGGTTGGCGAACAGCTACTATGATGTCATGGTTGCCATGTTGAGACAATCCTGGAAGCTCACTGTCAATAAATCCCTTGTGCCTGAGTAGGTGGTGTTTGAAAACTTGAGAAACTAGTCTCTGTGAGAACCAGTTCATTGTTTGCATGTGACAGAGAAAATGTGGAACTACAATTAGCCCTCCACTTACACAGAAGTTAGGGGCAAAAGTGGAAAACCTGTGAAAGTTAAACCCACAAGACTTTTGCACTTTAAGGAGCAAGCAGAAAATATGGTGACATTTCCCTAACGATTGGTAGGAGAGAAGCTATTTCACTAGTCAAGAAACCCATGTGGCAAGAGAGCCAAGTGTGGTACAGTGGTTTGAGAGTTAAACTGGGACTTCAGTCAAGAACCTCATTAGAGCTGGCCATTCTCTCAGCTTGAAAGTATCTCACAGGCTTCTGAGGATAAAATGTAAGGAAAGCTATGTATGAGCCCCATCTACAGTGATGATTTGATGCTGACTGAAACTAGCTTCAAACTGCAGCAGCCTGACAACGAACTCCCACAAAGGTGTGTGAAAGAAAGCCCTTAATGTGCTTTGCATAATTACCGTTCGGGCTTCAAACTGGTTTCAGGATTTCCTATATAATTATGAGATGAGCCAAATCTAAGAAAATGAAGCTCAACAGTGATAAATGCAAGATACTCCACTTAGGCAGAAAAAATGAAATGCAAAGATACAAAATGGGGGACGCCTGGCTCGAGAGCAGTACATGTGAAAAAGATCTTGGAGTCCCCGTGGAAAGGATGGTGAACATGAGCCAGAAATGTGATGCGGCGGAAAAAAAGCATCAATAGGAGTATAGTGTCTAGATCCAGGGAAGTCATGCTACCCCTCTATTCCGCCTTGGTAACACCACACCAGGAATATTGTGTCCAATTCTGGGCTCTAAAATTGAAGAGAGATTGACAAGCTGGAGGAGGGCAACTAAAATGATCAAGGGTCTGGAGAACAAGCCCTATGAGGAGCAGCTTAAAAAGCTGGTCATGTTAAGCCTGAAGAAGAGAAGGCTGAGAGGACACATGATAGCCATGTATAAATATGTGAGAGGAAGTCATAGGGAGAAGGGAGCAAGTTTGTTTTCTGCTGCCCTGGAGCAGAACAGTGGCTTCAAACTACAAGAAAGGAGATTCCATCTGAACATTAGGAAGAACTTCCTGACTGTGAGAGCTGTTCAGTAGTAGAACTCTCTGCCCTGGAGTGTGGTGGAAGCTCCTTCTTTGGAAGCTTTTAAACAGAGGCTGGATGGCCATCTGTCGGGGATGTTTTGAATACGATTTTCCTGCTTCTTGGCAGGGGGTTGGACTGGACGGCCCATGAGGTCTCTTCCAACTCTCTGATTCTATGTGCACAGTGAGAAGCCACTTTTTTCAGTACAGGGTTGAAACTGCATTGAATGGTCAGTGTAGATGTGCCCCTTGCTGCCTCTCTGGGCATTGGTTGAAAGTCTTGACTCTAATAAATCTTGTCCCTGTTGCCTATAAGCCACAAGAAGCTGTAGTAACTTATAATACATTACTGAATGAGGCTTCTTAAAATAGTAGCTTCCTGTCTAGCTTGCTTTTCAGCCTGGAATCTGGAGGATGTAATAGTCAGAACTCTGTACAAGCAGCATAATGCTGTCCACTCAAGAGCTTTTTGTAGCTCCATCCCCCTCCTTTGTTTCCTCTTCTCTCTTTTTATAAAGCAAAAAACCAGCCACTCCAGCCCTGTTCTGGTGATATCAGGCCCACAATGCACCAGTACAGCCTCACTCCTCCGCGCCAGGATGTGGAGAGAACAGGAAACTGGCACAGCTGTTCTCCAAGTCTGTGGCTGAGCAGAGAAAGAGGGGGAATTGAGAGAGGGAGCGACGCCTGGCGGCAGAAATGCTGCCCTGCTTCTCAAGTCATTTCCCATATCCTCTTAATGGGTGGGAGTGCCCTCTGGAACCCTTTTACGGTCAGCTTTTGGGGCCTTGTTTGGCTCGGAAGCCGCACACCAGATTAGGATATTTCTCCCTCTAGTCACCAGGTAGCCCTTTCTGTGTGGTTGCAACGCAACTCCTGTCAGCCCTAGCTTTCACTCAGGCAACATCTGGAAAAGCCACAAGATGGCTTCTGCTGTTCTTGTTTCCTGTGACAACAACCACAAGTCCCCAAATAGAACTTGTGTACATCTCAGAAATGTCAGATACATGAAAAATTAACGGGGTATTTTTGATTACAAAAAATGTGAGTCAAGCACTGAAAGAGTGAGTAGGCCGAAGTCTGTTAAGAGTCAGTGGGCCACAGCTAGTGTCGTTCTGAGGAGTGTGAGGTAAACCTCTGTGTGAGAAAGCTCCAGCGTGAAGGCTGCTGTGTGTAAATGCTGGATGGATTGTGGATTTATGAAATGATGAACGTTGACCACAAGATGATTTTATTGCTGCTGTTGTTTTAATTTGACTGTTTTAATTAGTTATAACTGTCATCATTATATGGTAAACTGTATATTGTATTTTGTGAATTGTTGGGCATCGAATTGTGCCTTTTGTAAGCCGCCCTGAGCCCCCCCCCCCCCAGGGGGTTGAGAAGGGCGGGGTAGAAGCACTTCAAATAAATAATAAATATGTATTTGTTTACTTGTGTTATGGAAACCTTTTTGTTGTAAATAGCTATATTTACTACAAAGAAAAACCTATGGAAGCAATAACATTGGTCTGCGTGTTTTTGTTCTTTTTATCACTTTGGGCTATTGGTGTTTGGTCTCACTGCTGTTGATAAGTTACTCTGGCATACATTTATAAGGGTCTTTTGTTAGTAAGCCCACTCGCCCAACAAGAAATAAGTAACTCTCATGTGCTAACTTAGTGGCAAGAGCTGATAGGAGTTGCATCCCAGAAAAAAACCAGAGGGATGCATTTCCTAGAATTAAACTATACATTATTGCTGGAAGTGTTAAGATTTTAACGTGGCCCCCCAAAAACCAAACATGTGTTTCATTTTTTGAATTGTGGATACTGCCATCTGTCTCATTTAATATTGACAACAGGGTCTATGATACAGCCCATTTTCCAGTATTAGCAGTGTTTTATCTTGTAAGTGCTTGGATATAAGACTGCCTAGCAATTGCTTGTCAACTATCTTTAACTTCCATGTTGGTAGTAAGTCAGGGCAAAAGTGCAGTAAGTAAATACATTTAATCAGCACGACTGATTATCCTTCACACTGCACACCAATGGCTACTAGTTGCCATTCCAGTTGAATGCAAAGTTGGTGCCTTTTGACCTTGCTTATCTTAAAGTGCATCTTCTTGCAAACATCATGATCCCAAATCCCACTGGTTTCAATGTGTGTACCTTGTAACTCTATAGAAACTTCCACACAATGTGTCAATGGTAGCAACTTTTCGTTTCTAAGTTTTCATTGAAAGCAACCTCTGAGAGATTGAATACATTTTAATTATTTTTACAGCACTCTTCATGTACAAGGACCTCTTACAGAGTTCAGTAAGAAAAGAAAATACAGTTCCATGCCCCCCCCCCCAAATGAAGCTGCCATTAAAATTGAGACAGTGTGACAAACAACAGGTAAAAGGTATACAAGAAGGAGAGGCAAGGACAAAGAACGTGAACAGATCCAGTTAAACATATTTAGTATTGGGTTTCTTCCCCAGTATTGGATTCAAACTCAAGGATCATATCAACGTTTTTGGCAAGAAATGTCCAGCAAACCTTTAGAGAACATACAATCCCTTATCTCACATTCACCCTGCACTGACACAAAGTCTAACGCCACCCATCTTTTCACCTTACCAGAACTTAAGAGGAGTTACTTTTGGACTACAGCAGGCATGGGCAAACTTGGGCCCTCCAGGTGTTTTGAACTCCAACTCCCACAATTCCTGATAGACTCAGGCCTCTTCCTTTTCCCCTTCAGCCGCTTAAGTGGAAAAGGTAAAGGAAGGGGCCTGAGGGTGTTAGGAATTGTGGGAGTTGGAATCCAAAACACCCGGAGGGCCAAAGTTTGCCCATGCCTGGGCTACAGTGCCCAACTGACAACAAAGTAACTTTTCCAGGTTCTGCAATTTCCCTTTGTATCAGAGAACTGAAGCTGCAGGAACAACATCCAATAAAAAACTAATTAATGCATCACCTTCCCTAGCAATCATCAAATTCAGACTAATTAATCAAGTTCTCAATTCATTGCCAAAAGAGGGGCAGGGAACAACAACACTCCCTGTTTCATACCAATGAGATATCAAATGCAGAGGAGCAGGAAAAGGAATCCGTGGCAAACTGAACCTCTGCTACAGCAACAAAAAAGTGGCCAGAGAAGGCAAATCATAATCACTACATTAATACAGAGCTAAAATTGGGGGGTTTTTTTGTCCAGCTATAAATTGCAACTCCCAGTGCTCTTCACCAGTGGCAAAGGATGCTAGGAGTTGCAGTCCAGCAGCATGTGGTGGGAAATAAGATTCCTACCCCTGCATATAAGCTGAAATCCTATACTGCATAGGAAAAGCCTATTGTCACTAGAAGGGCCTTGGTGCCAACGTATTGGTGGCACTTGCATCAGAAATAGGATCTTAGGCCCCTTCCACGCAGCTAAATAAAATCTCACAATATCTGCTTTGGACTGGTAATGTACACTCACATAACCCAGTTCAAGGCAGATATTGTGGGTTATTCTGCCTTGATATTCTGGGTTATATGGCTGTGTGGAAGAGCCCTTCGACAAGAACAATCCAAATACTTAAAATTCTAACTTGAAGTCTTAAAAGTTGTTACTCTTTCCACACTCATTTGTGCAAATCTTACCCTCTTCTACTTGCCAGCTTGCTTCCATTTTAATAAACTCTTAATTCTTGATAACAGAGCACAAAGGAGCACGTAAGAGTTGGAAGCACTAGGATTCACCAGCTCAAAAGACCCAAAGCAATTTGTTTCTTTACTTTGCTGCTACATAAAACTTGGTAAATTGTACACCCACAGCGGGGCCTTGCATTATCAGTCACTTCACAGCATCAGGGGGTTTATGACTCAGCTTGTAAACATGGTGTTGCTTTTTATTCCAAGAAGCTGTTAACCTAGTTGAAGCCTTTTGTCTACTGTGTCTGTCTGCCATAGGGGATTGTGCCAGTAATTCCTGTCATCCTCTTAGGAAACACTGGGCAAAAATGTGGGGGCTAAAGCAGGGGTGGGAACAGTGAAGCTCTCCATGTATTGTTAACTATAACTCCCAAGCACAACAAGTATTGAGGGCCATATAGTGCCTACCTGTAGGTTAGAGACAAACCAACTCCAACACCTTTGAACAACTCGCATTATCCCATCTCAGTGAAACTGGTGGCCCAGGTTATGGGATGAAGTTTTATTGGATAGTAAACATCCTGCCCATAACACACTGTGACCTGTTAAAGAGTGCCAGATTATGTGGCTCAGTCATAGCAGTAGTCCATCTTTTACCGGGTACGTTTTGATGAGAAACACAGCTTTTGCTTGCACTGCAGCAGTGAGGAGCTCCAAGATTGAAAAAATCTGTGATTTGCACCTAAGCCTTTCATCAAATGTCTCCAATCTAAAAGGCTTCTAAATGTTTACTGTTGCAAAAACAAAGTTTGAATGTTCTTTCCACTCTACGGCCCATGTATGGGGCACTATTGGATACTAACATACTCAGTTTTAAAACCATGTTTTTAAAATTTGCATCCTATTAGCATTGCATTTTAAAACTTTGTACTATGTATTTTAATATATGTATTTTATGGCATTGTGTTTTATCTGGGTCTTTTAACTGTGTTCTACCCCACCGCAAGCCACAGGGAGAGACAGATAATAAACAAAATTATTATTAACAGAATAATCTACTTTCAGAATGGGTTTTGTCTTAAATCCATTCTGTTATTTGCCATGCCACTTTTGCAATAAACTACATAGATTTCCATGTAGCTGCCAGTCTGAATGGTAAACAGCCCCAACAAAAGTTACACAAAGGCTCTGTTTAAAATCATAAAACAGGACAAGGAGTGTTGCCAAGATTAGTGCTAGTTATATTTTTCAATACTTCCATTAACATTAAAAGGTAAGATGCAAAGCTATACTTGCCTCATTGACATGCTAAGAAACCTGCAGATAATAATTTGCTGGTTGTCAGGCAGGCGGTTAAAAGGTGCAGAAGGCCTACCAAATACAGTTGAAGACCATAATCTCAATCACTTGCTATCTTCACATCCAAGCAACTCTCAGCCAGACAGCCAAGGCCAAAGCAATGATTTCTAGTAACCTGGCTCTATGCAAAGTACTCCAGCTCAGATGTTCTAAGCTATCACCTCCATCACCTACACCCAGCATGGCTCAAGTTGAGATTTTTCAAAAACTAGAGTGAACCACACAGCCATAGGCTCCCCTGCAAAATGACAACTTATTCCTCCACTTCAACTATACAAAAAGTCTAAAATGCCTCTCTTTGGATGCTTTAGCAACAACTACAGGTAAAATGAGCAAACACAGAGAAAATAAAGCACTATATATAGAGAGACTGGTATTAAAAGTGACTTCTTGAAATAGCAATGGCCATGAGTTTAGTAGACAAAAAAAAAACAACAGCAAGAAAGCCAGATTGACATCTAGCCTAGTATATAAGTAAGGTTGTCTTGCTCTCAATATATATTATTTTTAAAGGGGGGAACAATATTCTACTATAGGGGCATGCAAAGACCCTCCAGCTGCTTTGGGATGTGAACTCTCACAGTTCCTGGTCACTGGCTATGCAGGGTTGAAGCTGACAAGCATGCAGTCTGTCAATAGTTGCAGGGAAACAGCTTTCCCATCATCCTGTCTGAATAAAATTATTCAGATTGCTTAATGTTTTCTGCATTTTATCTGCATTCAAAATGGCACTTGTGCAATCTCACCATGCCATCACTGGGGCAAAGTGTGACATGAAACATGTGCTCACTTGTAAATATGAAATAGCGGTCATAGGCAAACTGTTCTAGCCCTCTTTCTTGTTCTGTGAATTCTCCTAAAGGGCATTTTAGAACTGAATATTCTTGCCCCATCACAATGTAAGCATTCAAATTGTGTTTTGAATAAGCAAGGAGGAGGATGGAAGACTTGTTTCAAGAGACATCAGCAAAGTTGTGTTTTCTATAGCAATTTCTTCACTGTAGCCTGCCCTGCTCTTCCTATTGCTTCAAGAGAGGAATTGGCAATGTGGCACTCCAGATTTTCATCTATACTACTCATTATCCCTCACCATTGGTGGGATGATGGGAGTTTCAGTCCAACCCCATCTGGGGGGACACAAGTTGTCTACCTCTGCTTTCAACCCTCCCAGGTTCTACTCAACAGTAACTTATTCTTGACTTTCCCAGTACAGCAATTCACTGTTCTATGCACTGACTGGAGAGATGAGAATATGGTACTAGTACTGTACTACAATTAAAAAACAACAGTTTAAAGCTATTTGGAAAGGCTAACATGAGAAAGGAGACAATCCACAAGGAGAGGCAGGGTAAGATATAGGGGTTCCCCAACTACTACAAGGTAGACTTTTGACCAAACACCAGGAAAATTATATTTTCTTAAGCAGCCAGGAGCAATTCAGCAGCAGCAAGCTGCCTGGAAGGGCTGCTGCATCGTCAGTCTAGTCCTTCACCCACACTGCCACGAGACAAGATAGACACATGTTGGGGATGCTTTAGTACATGACCGCCTCCTGCCAGGAGGTGTTAACACTAGATGGGCCTTTTATGGCTTTGCCACAGTGCAAAAAAACAAACAAACAAACAAACCCCAGGCAACACCTGCACGGAATTTCTCCTGGTTTCTAGAGTAATAATGGAAATGCAGATCCATCCTCTTATGAAGCTGCTCCGTGTTCCCTAGAAATCCCACTGCAGTCGAACTGTACAGCCTCTGCCTTCTAAAAAGAGGGCTCCCCATACAAAGGAGCACTGCCCCTTTTGGTTTCTCCATGCTGCCCAGATGGGCCTTGAGTTGCTGGCGGCAGGAGCTTCCTTGTTCCCTGAAACACACACACATACACACAATGGCTTGCCCGGGAACTCCCATGTTGTCAAGCTGCCAGAGCCACGTTCCAAAGCACTCCTCAGTTCAGCAGTTTGAGCTGCCCAGTCACTTGGTTCACCATCTCTTCTTCTCCCATAATGGCCAGGACTGTGTGCGACCCAGCTGGAACCTGAAAAAAGAAGGGAGAGCGACAAGATAAAAGCGTGGGATAGCATCATCTTGGGTGATTCCTGGAGCCAGTTTGATGAAGTATTTTGAGTGTTGGGCTATGACTGCAGGCAAGGTTTAAATCCCTAGTCAGTCATGGAAAGCCTACTAGTGAACCTGCACATTCACACCCTCTCAGCCTAAGAGGAAAATTAAGACAAACAAATTCTGTGTGCATTGAAGATATTATGAGAAGTGCTCTGTTGGGAAGAGGTGAGGTTACTGAATACCAGAGGTGACTCATAATCAGTTTAGCAATTTTTTTTTAAAAAAAAACCTTTTGCAGAGGTAAAACTAAATGAAATTAGGTTAGTTAGAGTTCATAAAGTATAGTTAGAAAAGGGACATTTGTTAGAATTTTCAGGTTTAGTTAAAATTAAGTTCGCTCAGGATATGAATGTGTGAAACAGGAGTTAGAGCAAGTAGCTCAATTAATACAGTCAGGGAATAACAAGTAGAACCTGTGAGGCATGTTTGAGGAGGGCTCATTAGAATAACCATACATTTGTCCCTCTACATTTGTGGGTCTAATTTTTGCAATTTGATTACACTATTTTTGTTCCTGGGTTAGAAATGCCATTTTCTAATTGCTTCTATCATAAAAACATGAGAAAGGGTTATTAAGCTGCAAAAACATTGTTTTTGCAGGACTTCCTGCAGCATATTTTGCTATAGTTTTTCAATGAATATCTCAGAGAGTCTCAGTCAATTCAACATAGTTTGTGACTGTCACAAAAATGAAGTTTCTGGAGTATAACAACTACTTTCAGTAAGTGTTGCCCAATTAAACAGGAAATAACACTTTCAAATCGGAAACAGAAAAGTTATTAAATTTTGTTATATAGTATTATTTGCAGATTTGATTAATATAGTTTCTCTGGGAATCTCTAGGTCCTCCAGTGGAACTCCATAATCAATTTCTTCTGAGGTTTACCACAGAGTTATGCTGGAAGACCTAACGATTCCCAAAGAGATGTAGTCTTATATTTGTGTACTCTTATATTTTTGATCGTTCCACTTTCATGGGAGTTCTGTGCTCCTAAGCCTTGTGAAAGTGGAATGTATAACAACAAAACTGAGCCAACGAACTGTAGTGACATATCGCTGAATAATCAGTAACTACCCATAATTTCATTATCTTCTGCTAAATGAAACATTTTGTTTACATAAATGCCTTTGCTTTCGGGGGGAGAAGGTGTCACTATGTTGAGAGTGGGTTTTGGATAAATAAAGAACAATATGAGGGTGCAGCAGGTGGACAACTGTGATTGCAGTTTTTGATGGAGTGGAAAGAAGCTAACACACAAAAGTCACAAAGGTGACTGCTATAAGAAGTAACAGCAACTGTTTAATTTGGATGTTGCTCACAGAAGCAAGCAGAGCTTAGATAATGAGATCTAAGTCCCCTTGTGGAGAGAAGGGCGGGATAGAAATGTATGTAATAATAAATGTGAATTATCACACATGACGAGATAAGAAGAGTTCTCTTCACTTGTCAATGTTGTTCAATAACAACTCCAAACATTCCCTAACTAATGCGGGTTGATGGAAGCTGAACTCAAACAACATCTAGAAAGCCACAAGCTTCCCTCCACTGCCAACATTTCCACTGAAATATTCTTGCAAAAATATGAACAGCATTAATTTCTTTTCTTAATGCTCCAACTATGGGTGATGTTGAAGATTATACAGTTTGAATGGTGGAGGTGGAAGTTCTGAAATCAATCATCTTGTTCTCAGCATTACCTCATTGCCTACAGATGACAAAGCATGTCAATAATGTCTTTAAACATTATATACAGTATAATTTGAAATATACAGTACCTTTAAAACAGAATTTGCAAAACAAAATGCCTAAATGAAAGAAGTATTTCCATTTGTGACATTCAACTTAAAGAGATACTACCTGCAAAGTGGCACATGCTTAACTAATTACAAATTTTGGTATCTGATATCAACAGACAGAACCCTTTTTGAGTGGTGCTTTTGCAACTTTGGTATAACATGAATAGATACTACCAGAATGCTGCACTTCTTATTTCTGCCTTTTCTTTAAGGGGGATCTTTCTAAAACAACTAGTCTGAACCACAGGCCTAGAAACAGCATTATAACAACCAAACTTCTATATTCAGTATTGCCCTTGAGAGCAATTTTTGGCCCTGATCTGTAAGAGAAAGCAAATACAAGTTTTGTATTCCTCGAAACATAGCTCTATAATAAACACATGAGCTTAAATGTTCCATTTTCTCATTCATACTCACTGTACAACTCATCACTATCATCAGTACTGCTTGGGTTTTCATAGAAAGCAAGAACAAGGTGTATTTCCAGAGTCCAAGATACCTTAGAGCAGAATAAATATTTAGAAATTCTGGCCAATTTACCTGGGTTCTCCCTGCATCTTGCACTAAATATGTCGGCAGTTCCAGGCTCAAGGCTAAGGCGTGCAGCTCCAGTAACTGGTCAGTATTGGTTCCCTGAAGTACAACTTTCTTGGCACTGAAAAGGATAAAGCAAGCTCACATGTTAAGATCAGAGTGCTACCAAGGAAGACCCCTGGATGCAAGAGTCCAAAGGTAGGGTCCCATGGCATGATGGGCCAAACATGATGGGAAGTGTGCTAAAACAACATCAATTTGTGCCATATATGACATGTGCTTGTTCTGGGGCATGAATGTATAATTGTGAGGCTAGCAAAAGCAAGTCTGCCTTTCTTTCAAGTGATCTCCTGGGGCACACTGACACAGGCATAGATCCATGCTAGACTTTGACAAATCAAAAGTCTCCTTTTTGTTACTGATGGAACCAAGATCTAGGAAAGGATCCTCCAGGAGAAGAATTGTTTGTGAATTCCCATCTTTCTCCACAAATCACTTCCCATGCCATCAGGGGCGGCTCAATCCATTACGCAAAGTAAACATTTGCAGTATAGTTGATTTTGCTCAGGGGCACTCTTGAGGCGCTCTTGGGGGGAATAGACCTTGACATATGTGAGTTGTAGTTACTGGGATGTATAGTTCACCTACAATCAAAGAGCATTCTGAACTCCACCAATGATGGAATTGAACCAAATATGGCACACAGAACTCCCACGACGAACAGAAAATATATATCAGTGATTGGTTTGGGGGGGGGCGCCAAAATACTGTTTGCTTACAGTTGAAAATTACCTAGGGCCGCCTCTGCATGCCATGCATTTTTCTAGAGATTCCCCAGCTTTCCACAACTTATGTCTTGGCAGGGAAACACAAGAATAAGGGGGGGGGGGGAATCAGGGAAAGTCGCTCATGTCTCCCTGCACTGGCAGGAGTGCCCATGAATAGCCCCCCTTCATGAGCTGTACGGAAGCAAAGTCAGGAGGGTTTAAATCCTCTGGACCCAATTCCAACACTTCCAGGGTGCTCCTGGAATTCCTTTTATAGCCAAACCTCCTCATGACATTAGCTTCCCTTCATTCTAAATGGTTAAAATGCCTTTCTCAAGGTTTAATTACGGTCAGTATGATTTTTAAGTCAAATATGTGGAAAATTTTGGCTCCACCCTTTTGCCTTTGCTTCTGCCATCATTGGAATGCAGCTCTTTCAAGGGTTTCACTGAACTGAATGTGGCCCTCAGGCTGAAAGAGGTTTCCCTACACATAGATGACAAGATACTTTTCTGTGTTGTTGAAGAGGGAGCTGTAGTTTAGGTGCCTAAATCCAATGTTGCAGTGGCAACCACAATAAGAGTTTCTGCAATTTTGATCCTTCAGCTTTCTGTGTTGTCTAAAAGCTGGTTCCCAGGTGCTTTGTCAGCACATGGGTAGCTGCAGTAGGGATGGGTTGAACTCTTCTTCTGTGTACTAACAATGGAAGTTCAGCACTTAATCCTACTCCAAGTGGCTGGTGCTGAAAAATCTGAACCATCCTAACATTTATGTGCAGAACAATTTTCCCTGGCACTATGGAGCAATTCCCAGACATGGAAAGGCCACATAATTGTCTGTGCAACCCCAAATAATCAGCCTTTACCAAAGATAAATGTTACCCACGTATTTGTTTACACGACAAATACTCTTCAGGATGAAGTCTTACAAAATTGGTGTTATAGGGAAGACAAGCTTATAAGGCACATGGCTGACTGAGAAAAGACTATCAGAGCAACTAGGGACCTTCCACACAGCCCTATATCCCAGAATATCAAGGCAAACAATCCTACATCATCTGAGTATGGACTCAGATAACCCAGTCCAAAGTAGATATTGGAGGATTTTCTGCCTTGATATTCTGGGTTATAGGGCTGTGTGGAAGGGCCATGGGGCTGCAAGTGGGATGATGTAACCCACCTTGAGCCATGAGGAGAAGTGGGTAAGAAATAAAATTATTATTATTATTATTATTATTATTATTATTATTATTATTATTATTATCTGAAACATAACAAGATTAGTACACAGAAAACAAGATCACTACGTTGGCTGTTGTATTGGATCACACGTCGGACACTTCCCAAGTGTCTAAGACTTTGTGATGTATTGGCGAATAATGCATGCAGATCCCAGTAGGGTGGCCTTTTGCAGTTGATGGATGGTGATTTTGTTAGCGCCGATTGTGTTCAAAATGCAGGCCAAGGTCTTTAGGCACTGCACCCAGTGTGCCGATCACCACTGGGACCACCTTGACTGGCTTATTATTAGACAGGCTTGTCAAAGTTTCTGGTCTAGAACAAAGGATAAAGCAAACTTGCCCAATCTAGCAAGTTCAAACCTCAACTCTCATCATCCTCAACCAGCAGTACCAGGGATCAAGGAGGCTGAAAACTAACATATTTAGAAGGCATCGGGTAGAGAGAGGCTATGCTAAAATGAAGAAAAAACTCTCCTCCTGAAGAAAGATTTCTCCCTCTTTTTGTAATGTCTGTTTTTTTCTTTCTAAAAAAAGTTATGAATTGCTTTTCCATCCAACAGGACATTACCGTCATGGTTGGCTTGTGTTTAACATGATAATCACTTGTATGTTTTACCTGTACATGTTTTGTTGTTCTTCCAAGAGACTGTAACAAGACACGTGTGAGTAGGTTTCGCTGACTATCACACCAAGCCATGCTCATCCCACAACTTAAAAGCTATTTTCCTTACCCATGTTCATCCCACTGGTTGATTATGTCCCTCTGACTAGGCTTCTCATGCATCAGCTGGAACAGGCCGATGGCTGCGTGTCCCACCTGTGCAGCAATCTGCAATGGTAAACATCAGGAAAATGAAATGGATAGCCGCTATGAAAGCTGATATGATCATGAATCTGTTAGTATTCAATTGCATGAGATTCTGGGCTGTTTTGCTGCTAAGGTGGGGTGAGAGCCAGGGTGATACAGAACTTCTGGCTGTTGGACTGGGGCTCCTTCCACAAAACTGAATAATGTCTCAAATTAGCTGCTTTAAACTGGAATATATGGCAGTGTGGACTCAGGTAACACAGTTCAAAGCAGATATTGTGAGATTTTCTACCTTGATATTCTGGGTTATATGGCTATGTGGAAGGACCCTGGGATTTCAGGACTTCACATCCAGGTTCAAACTGAACTATGAGGTTTATGGGGTGACCTTTTGGGCTAGTCACTGTTTTTCAGACCAATGGGTTGTTATAATGAAATAAAGTGGGGTTGAGGGGGGTGGGAGAGACATACACCACCTTGCACTCACTGAAGAAAAACCCCATGAATCGGTTTTACCATTAGGAGCAGTGTCTTCCAAGTCCATTCTAAGTAAACTGGTAAAAGATGCTACTAGCTACATATCGCCCCAGAAATAATATACAATTGTTTGGGTCTCTTTTATCAAGAACTTTACTTAAAACAAAAAAAAAAGCCCTATAATTTTATGCCGGTCATCCACCTTTGGGGAAAGGCCACTATTCACATATCCAGACCTCACTATGTTTCTTCAGAGCCGGGGGGGGGGAATGAAGAGTGTGCGGGAGCGGGAGGACACCACTTACACAAAAGCAGGTGCCCCAAATGTTTCCACACTTACATTCCTCCCTGCCAATGGCACTACACTGCAAGGCAGATGCCTTGGAAACAGCTGTGAAGGCAAGTACAAATCGACTGCGCCTGCCACCATCAAGATCCAGTTGAAAATGGAAATGGTCCTTCCTGGTTGCTTTGCTGAAAGGGCTGAAGGTGTGCTGGCAACCCTCTCCTCATTCCCCATCATGACATGTTACTATTGTTATTATTTGAAACACAACAAGATGAGATCACAGCAAACAAGATCACTCTGCTGGCTGTTGTATTGGATCACACGTCAGACATTTCCCAAGTGTCTAGGACTGTGTGATGTATCGGCAAATAATGTGTGCAGATCCCAGTAAGGTGGCCTTTTGCAGCTGGCAGGTGGTAATTTTGTCAGTGCCAATTGTGTTTAAATGCAGGCCAAGGTCTTTAGGCACTGCACCCAGTGTGCTGATCACCACTGGGACCACCTTTACTGACTTGTGCCAAAGTCTTTGCAGTTCCATCTTTAAATCCTCATATGTCAGGTTATCCAATTGATTCTCTTCAATCCTGCTATCACCTGGGAATTATTAATTAATTAATTAATTAATCCACTTTTTCTCTCCATACAGAGATTCAAAGCAGCTCACAACTAAAAATCATTGCAATACAACTTAAAATATACAAATATACAAGTATCAAAACAGTATTAAACATAATTAAAAGCATATAAAATCACAGCAGCCTCTGGCAATCTTTAAAACCTTCTATTTTTAAAATCCTGCCTGAATAAAAAGGGTTTAGCCTGCCACCAGAAGGACAGCAGGAACGGGGCTATTCTGGCTTCCCTGGGAAGAAGGAAGTTCCAGAGTCGAGGGGCAGCCACACATCGCACACAGACATATAACTATACTGGCAGTAGGTCGCCATCACAGATATGCACGCTGAAGACACCTAGAGTGCAGTCAAGAGACCAAAGGCAAAATCAGTAGATATGGCGACTCATTTCCAAAACTGAGGAAGCCATAGTGCTGATTTTTATTGGAAATGTGAAAATCACATCGTTCAGGTAAATCATTGTTAATCACACACTTGTTCCCAGGAGAGGTCATGTAGAGGAGAGAATAACCATTTGGGATCATCGTAGTCTGATATCGGTGTAATCACCATGAACACCCAAGTTAGGTTATAAGCCACCATTTCTTCTTGAAGCTACAGAAAAAACAGGAGATGGGGGCATTTGCGCACTAGTTCCTTTAGCTAACAGAGGGCGGACTTCCATCCACACATGAGAGGGGACTGAAGCTCAATGGCATGTTTATTTATTTCCCATACTTGTCCCTCGCCCTTTTCACCTCTAAGGGGACTCAGGGTGACCTCACAACCTGCAGCAATTCAATGCCCAACAAACAAATTCCAGAATAACAAGTGCAATTAAAACAACAATAAAACACAAATTATTAAAATGGCAATTAAAATCACACAAATTCATAGCATCGCCCCTCCGAAGTTCAACTGCATAGCCCTTGCAGATGATGTCAGGTGCCCAGGTAACAGAAGTTACACCATATCCCATTCAAAATAGAACTCACGGCGATTTGGAAGAAAAGGGTCAAGGTGCTAATGAAAACACAATTGACAGTAGACCCACACCTCTCATAAGGGTGAGGTAAGGGCATTGCTTGGAGTGGGCTGCCAGCTTCTCCCTATCTTGTCAGAGGCCCCTGGAGCTGTGGCTCCCATAATTCCTTGGGCTGATGAGAGTAGTTCATTTATTTTGAGCGTTTATATCTTGCCCTTCTCACCTCCAGAGAGGGACTCAGGGCGGCTTACAACAGGCAATCATTAGATGCCAACATAATACATTTAAAAACACTGTTAAAATTAACAATGATTAAAACAATTATAAACAATACAATTTTTAAAAGTTTGCCGGTTGAAAATCATAGTTCAGGTCCATCCGTTATGGTCACTTAAAGACATTCTCTTCCCAGTTATTCCATCTATTGTTCAAATGCTTGATCCCACAACCAGGTTTTGAGGTTTTTACAAAAGGTCAGGGGGGAGGGGGCAGACCTAACTTCATTGGGTAGGGAGTTCCAAAGCTGAGGAACCACCATGGAGCAGGCCCCGTCTCTTGTCCCTACCAGTCTCACCTGCGAAGGTGGTGAGACCGAGATCAGGGTCCCCCGATAATCTTAACCAGGGGTCCTCAAACTAAGGCCCAGGGGGCAGATATGGCCCTCCAAGGTCATTTACCCGGCCCTCGCTCAGGGTCAACCAAAGTCTGAAACAACTTGAAAGCACACAACAACAACAACAATCCTATCTCATCAGCCAAAAACAGGCCCACACTTCCCACTGAAATACTAATGTTTATATTTGTTAAAATTGTTCCTCATTTTCATTTTTTTATTGTTTTAAAGTGTTTTTTTGCACTACAAATAAGATATGTGCAGTGCACATAGGAATTCATCCATGTTTTTTCAAGTTATAATCCAGCCCTCCAACGGTTTGAGGGACTGTGACCTGGCCCTCTGTTTAAAAAGTTTGAGGACCCTTGATCTTAATATTCTTGATGGTTTGTAGAGGGACATGTGTTCAGACCGGTAAACTGGGCCAGAACCGTTTAAGGCAGTGGTTATCAACCTTCCTAATGCCGCAACCCCTTAATACAGTTCCTCATGTTGTGGTGACCTCCAACCATAACATAATTTTCATTGCTACTTCATAATTCTAATTTTGCTACTGTTATGAATCGTAATATAAATATCTGATATGCAGGGTGTATTTTCATTCACTGGGCAAATTTGGCACAAATACCTGATACACCCAAATTTGAATACTGGTGGGGATTGATTTTGTCATTTGGAAGTTGTAGTTGCTGGGATTTGACCTACAATCAAAGAGCCTTCTGAACTTCATCAACAATGAAATTGAACCAAACTTGGCACACATGACCAACAGAAAATACTGGAAGGGTTTGATGGGCATTGACCTTGAGTTTTGGAGTTGTAGTTCACCTATATCCAGAGAACACTGTGGATGCAAACAATGATAGATCTGGGCCAAACTTGGCACGGACATTCAATATGCCCAAATAGGAACACTGGTGGAGTTTGGGGAAATCAGATCTTGACATTTGGGAGCTCTAGTTGCTGGGATTTATAGTTCACCTACAATCAAAGAGCATTCTGAACTCCACCAACGATAGAATTGGGCCAAATTTCCCACACAGAATTCCCATGTCGAACAGAAAATACTGTTTTTTCCGATGGTCTTTGGCAACCCCTCTGAAGCCCCCTGGGGAACACTGGTTTAGGGCTTTATAGACTAAAGCCAGCACTTTGAATTGTGCTCAGTAGCAGATAGGCAGCCAGTGGAGCTGGCACAACACTTGGTCAAAAGCACCTGGAATCAGTCAATGACTGACTCCCTGTAGAAGTTATGAAGTGCTGCTAGAATAACAGAGATAACTGCAGTGAAAATGTTTACCTTTCCAGCTCCCATGGAAAGGTCCATGTTCACCACAAAGACCATTTTGTAGTAACCGCTCCCTTGGATGTCATCTTCTTCCTGGAAAGAGTGTTTGGGAGTAAGTCACTATGTAAAATTATAGCAAAATTACTCTATGTGCACCACTGCGCCAATACCTTAGCAATGAATACTTGTATAGCTGAGGGAACATGTTGTCCTCCTTTAGAATTGTAAAGACAAATATCACTTAAATAAAAGAAACATCAAATATAAAATAGGCAAATATAAAATAAGGTGTAAACACCACACTAATTTGAGTATCTGCTATTTTGACACATCCAATGAAGTGCTTTTGAACAAGTATAAACAAAAATAGGACTAAGTATGTCCCAATTATCTTGGAAATCATAAAGCTCATTCCAGAAGTTTTTTTAATTTGTAGTTTTCCCTTTCTTGTAATAATGCACTATAGTACAATGTCTTAGTGTCTCACTTTGTTGGTAACTATAGTTACTAGGCAAGAAAAAAAGGTCACTTTTGAAAGTTCACTGAGTGGCTTTCTTGAGAAGTTTTTCTTTTGGGTAGTTACGAGTAAGTAAAAACAACCTTTTAACATTTTATTAATCATACTGGCTATAAAGTATTAAGCTGTCAAGTATTTTAAGATGAATTTTGCCTTAATGACCTTCCAAGAATTCTTTTAAGTGCCTTTATATGTTTTATTGGTTTTTATCACTTTTGCCAAGTTGTATTCATAATGCAGCATTGAATTCTGCCTTGTTTGTAAGCTGCTCTGAGTCCCCCTCAGGGTGATAAAGAGTGGGATATAAACATAGTAAATAAATAAATAAATAAATAAATAAATAAATAAAGTGTATTAGTGCAAACCCGGGCACTCCGGGTGTTTTAGACTTCAGGCTTAAGTGGCTGAGGGGGGAAAGAAAAGGGCCTGAGGAAGTGAGGAATGGTGGGAGTTGAAGCTCTGAATGGTTTGGGATCCGCCTCCCTTCATGATCGCATTTCCTTCTACGAACCTGCATAATCTCTTTGATCTTCTAGGGAGGCCCTCCTCTCGCTTCCACCTCCATCGCAAACGCAGCTTGTGGGGACAAGGGAGAGGGCCTTTTCTGTGGTGGCCCCCTGGCTATGGAACTCACTACCCAGGGAGATAAGGCAAGCCCCCAGTCTCACAGCCTTTACGTTTAAATAAAGATGATGATTATTATTGGCCTCATGTTTGCCATCCCAAGTCTCCTTGGGGAGATGGTGGAGAGGTATAAATAAATATTGTTATTATTATTATCATTATTATTGGCCCCACGTTAGGCAGCTCGTGTTTCCTTGGGGAGATGGTGACAGGGTATACATAAAGATGATGATGATGATTATTATTATTATTACTAGCCGTCCCCTATCCACAGTGAGGTTGCCAAGGAGACCAGGCAGGAGAGTGAGAAGTGGGCGGAGCCAAGTAGAAAATGTCTTTGGCAGTTGAGAGTGGAGAGTGGAGAACCAGTGTGTGTGAATAGCTGGAGATTTTCAGTCTAGGAAGGAGAAGGGAGAAACCTAGCCAGTTTCTTTAGTTAAAGTAGACTAAAGGAAGCTCGTTTAGATCACTAGTCAGGGAAGGACTAGAGATCAGGGATTTGATCAAGAAAAGATCAAATTGGAAGGCTATTCACATTAGGAAACATTGTTTATTAAAGTGCTTCACCTCAGTAAAAGTTAATCACAAGTTGTGTCATCTAGAAGAGTTGACTGTATTGCAAACCAAGTTACATTCAAAGTTCTATAAGTTATTCAAAGTTATTTAACAGCCTGCAACCATACGCTTTGTACATAATAAATTTGTTAACTTTTGTTGAAGACCATCTCATCTCCATTAATCTGCGTCTGTGGAGCCAGATCTCATAGGTGGTACCTCCAATACCTCACGTTGGTGGCAGTTACCTTAATTTACAAGTAATAATTGGCCTCCCCCCAATACCAAGTCCTAGAAGCACTTTAGTAGAACCAAGATCACTGCACACCGCACACTGCACTTCCTTATAATCCTACATTCCTCCCGCCACTTCAGCACTTTTAATCCTGTACCCACTACTCTGGCCGGCCCAGTTTTAAAGTGTCCTGATGTATTGTTATTGTTTGTTGTTTATTTTGCTTAACTGTTTTTAATTTGCTTTGATATTGTTTTGTTGTATTGTGTTTTGAGGCTTCGGCCAGTGTAAGCCGCATCGAATCCTTTGGGAGATGCTAGCGGGGTACAAATAAAGTAATAATAATAATAATAATAAAAAATTCTTATCAAGAATTGAGGCCTGAGATTAATTACATCCATAGTCATCCACACTGTACAATTGGTGGCAGAATTAAGAACAGACTGTACAATTGGTGACAGCAGGTGGGATCTTTAAAGTTAAAAACCCTATACCCTGTCTATTGTTGGAATTGCACCTGCACAAGAGGTAATTAGATGTCCCTGCCTGCTTCCTCTCTGTTGTTGTGCTGTTGCAATTTTAGAGTTTTTTAATACTGGTAGCCAGATTTTGTTGATTTTCATGGTTTCCTCCTTTCTGTTGAAATTGTCCACATGCTTGTGGATTTCAGTGGCTTCACTGTGTAGTCTGACATGGTGGTTGTGAGAGTCATATTATGTATATCTTATTTTGAACATCATTTCATTATAACTAAGACTAGTAACAGGACAACTTTGTATTAACACTAGTTTTATAGATATCTGTTTAGTGAGTAGTCAGTTTGGTTCATTAGTACGAGCCCAAATGCTTATCTCATATAATTCAATTGATAGAGGTCTGAACGGTTTGGGACCACCCTACCTGCGTGACCGTATTGCTGTCTACGAACCCACACGCTCACTACGGTCATCTGGAGAGGCCCTGCTCGTGATCCCGCCCACGTCGCAAGCGCGCTTGGTGGGGACACGAGACAGGGCCTTTTCTGTGGTGGTCCCTCGACTCTGGAACGCCCTCCCGAAAGATCTTACACAAGCCCCTACGCTGGCAGTCTTCAGGAAGGAATTGAAAACCTGGCTGTTCCGATGTGCCTTTTCAGATTAGGAACCTCCAGTACCAAATCCTAGAAGCACCTTAGTAGAACCAAGATCACTGCACACTGCACTTATATTTAATCCCACATCCTCCTGCTACATCAGCACTTTTAACCTTGTACCCCTATTCGGCCGGCCCGGTTTTAATATTGTTTTGTTGTATTGTCACTGTTATTGTTTTCCTGCTTAACTGTTTTTAATTTGCTTGGGTATTGTAATGTTGTATTGTGTTTTTTGAGGCTTCGGCCTGTGTAAGCCGCATCGAATCCCTCGGGAGATGATAGCGGGGTACAAATAAAGTTATAATAATAATAATAATACAGCTAGTAGTAAATAAATAAATAAACACGACATTTTTATTTATATAGATGATGATGATTACTATTATTATTATTATTATTGGCCTCATGTTAGCTACCCTGAGTCTCCTCAGGGTAGCTAAATAAATATAAATAAAGTTTATTATTTTTTGGGTTGTTGTAGGTACAAATAAAGTTAATAATAATAATAATAATAATAATAAGAGGGAGGAAGGGAAGGAAAGAGACAAGGAAGGATGGAACCAAAGAGCAAAGGAAGCGAGGAAAGAAACAGGCAGAGAAGGAAGAAAGAATAAGGGAAAGAAAACGAGGAAAGGAAGGAAAAAGGGAGGGAAGGAAAGAAAGAAGGAGAGAAAGAGAGAGGGAAAGTTGGCCACAGCAATGTGTGGTGGGTACAGCTAGTAGTAAATAAATAAATAAACATGACATTTTTATTTATATAGATTATTATTACTATCATTATTATTATTGGCCTCATGTCAGCCACCCTGAGTCTCCTTGGGGAGATGGTGGAGGAGTATAAATAGAGTTCATTATTTTTTGGGTTGTTGTAGGTTTTTTCGGGCTGTATGGCCATGGTCTAGAGGCATTTTCTCCTGATGTTTCGCCTGCATCTCTGGCAAGCATCCTCAGAGGTAGTGAGGTCTGTTGGAACTAGGAAAAAGGGGTTATATATCTGTGGAATGACCAGGGTGAGACAAAGGACTCTTGTCTGCTGGAGCTAGGTGTGACTGTTTCAAGTGACCACCTTGATTAGCATACAATGGCCTGACTGTGCCTAGGGCAAACTTTTGTTGAGAGGTAATTAGATGTCCCTGATTGTTTCCTCTCTGTTGTTGTGCTGTTGCAATTTTAGAGTTTTTTAATACTGGTAGCCAGATTTTGTTGATTTTCATGGTTTCCTCCTTTCTGTTGAAATTGTTGGATTTTTTTAATAGATTATTGAAATCCAAAACATCGTCTGAGGAGGGAAAGGAAAGGGCCTGTGGCTGTGAGGAATGGTGGGAGTTGAAGTCCACAACATCCGGAAGGCCCAACTTTGCCCAGGCCTGCTAGATATTTGCATTTCGTAGCCCCAGAAACACAATGCGGGCCTCACCTGGGAGTCGAGGCCGCTGCTGAAGTAAAGCTGGGCCGCAGCCTCGGCGGATCGGCCTCCGGTCAGCGCCAGGGCCTGCGAGAAGGAGAGAAGGCGGCAAAGGGTGAGCGGAGGAAGCGGCGAGGCCAGGCCCTTCCCCGGCCCCGCTCCCGGGCCCCACTCACCCGCCGAGCCGCCGCCTCCGGGATGCCCAACTCCAGCAGCGGCGCCACCAAGGCCTCGTCCACGCCCGGCTCCGACTCCAGAGGCGGCAGCTGCGACTCCATTCTTCCCAGCTGCCGGCGCTCTGCTCGCCGATTGGCCGCCCTCGCCGCCGTCAGGACCAATCACCACTTCCGCACCGAGTTATCAACCAATAGCGGCGGCGCAACGTCGGAAGGCGGATGGAACCAATAGGCGCTCGCAAAGTCCCTTCTTCTCAGTTATCGATTGGCTGCCCACGAGTCCCTTGGCCCAATTAGAACACGCTCTCCGAAATCGTCATCGGAAGGGGGGTCTAACCCAAAGCTGGCCGTGGCTTCCTTCTTCCCAGGTCCCTTGGCCCAATCACATCTGTCGTGCCGGAATCGTCATCGCGTTGCGACGTACAACCAAGAGATGCCTGTGGTTCCCTTCCTTTTAGCCGCCTATTGGCTTCCCCTGCCAACTCCTAACCAATCAGAACTCCCTCGCTTAGTTCGTCATCGACACAACTTTAGAAGGCGGGTTTAACCGAGAGGCGCCTGATTGGACACCTTGGCTGTAGCCCGGACCAATCAGAATTCTCGTGTCGAAATCGTCATGGTTTTCGTAACCAAGGTTACTGAATTAGCAAGAGGCGGTGGCAGTGTCCTTTTTCCCAGCTGCCGATTGGCTGCCCTTGATGTCTCCAGGGCCAATCAGAACGCACTACACCAAATCGCCATCACCTTCGCCTCCTTCAATCCCATCACAGAATCAGAATTGGAAGGGACTTTGTGGGCCATCTAGTCTAACCCCCTGCCAAACAGCAGGAAAATTGCATTCAAAGCACCTCCGACAGATGACCATCAGCCTCTGTTTAAAAGCTTCCAAAGAAGGAGCCTCCACTACACTCTGGGGCAGAGAGTTCCACTGCTGAACAGCTCACACAGTCAGGAAGTTCTTCCTAATGTTCAGGTGGAATCGTTTTGCGGTCATAGAATCATAGAATCATAGAATCAAAGAGTTGGAAGAGACCTCTGGGCCATCCAGTCCAACCCCCTGCCAAGAAGCAGGAATATTGCATTCAAATCACCCCCGACAGATGGCCATCCAGCCTCTGTTTAAAAGCTCCAAAGAAGGAGCCTCCACCACACTCCGGGGCAGAGAGTTCCACTGCTGCACAGCTCTCACAGTCAGGAAGTTTTTCCTAATGTTCAGGTGGAATCTCCTTTCCTGTAGTTTGAAGCCATTGTTCAGCATCTTAGTCTCCAGGGAAGCAGAAAACAAGCTTGCTCCCTCCTGCCTGTAACTTCTTCTCACATATTTATACATGCCTATCATGTCTCCTCTCAGCCTTCTCTTCTTCAGGCTAAACATGCCCAGCTCTTTAAGCTGCTCCTCATAGGGCTTGTCCTCCAGACCCTTCATCATTTTAGCCACCCTCCTCTGGACACTTTCCAGCTTGTACACATCTCCCTTCAACTGCGGTGCCCAGAATTGGACACAATATTCCAGATGTGGTCTGACCAAGGCAGAATAGAGGGGTCGCATGACTTCCCTGAATCATTTTATCAAGCCTCCGCTGTTTTATGATTTGTTTGTATATAATATACTGTTTCAGTGCTGAAGTGTATATGTGTTCTTTAGTATCCAGTTTTTCCTAACTCTGTGTTCTTGAGGTTGTGGGATATTAAAATAGAAAGTTTTGTGTTAAAGCAAAACTCAGCTTCAGATTTCATGATCAAAGTCTAAATGCAGGGAAATGACATCAAAAAGGAGGATTAAAGATATTTTCAGTTCAAGCAAGCTGGCAGGTATCTCCAGCAGCATCATATATTAAATAGCAGCCACCATATTCTTAATATGGATTAGAAAATAACCAACAAATAAAGGCTAAGTTTAACAAAGTCAAGCCCTGGCTAACCTTTCCTTTCATCCTAATGCAACTGCTGCTGAACTCTTTCAGTGGGAACATAATCTAGTTCTAACTGTTGAAAACTTGTCAGTTTCATACTGTTCTCTACAGTTACATTTGTGGTGCATGATGTGTTGCTGCAATTTCTTCAATGACGCAACAGAGCAGACGTGAGTGTTCTTAAAAGACAATTTTGTAACTCAAGAGGAGTAACGTGTGGAAGCATTGTCACAGGAGATGATCTGAAGCAGGGGTTCTCAAACTTTTTAAACCGAGGGCCAGGTCACAGTCCTTCAAACTGTTGGAGGGCCGGATTATAATTTGAAAAAAGCATGAATGAATTCCTATGCACACTGCACATATCTTATTTGTAGTGCAAAAAACACTTAAAAACAATACAATAATTAAAATGAAGAACAATTTTAACAAATATAAACTTATTAGTATTTCAATGGGAAATGTGGGAAATGTGGGCCTGCTTTTGGCTGATGAGATAGGATTGTTGTTGTTGTATTGTCGAAGGCTTTCATGTCTGGAATCACTGGGTTGTTGTAGGTTTTTCCGGGCTATTTGGCCATGTTCTGGAGGCAATTTTTCTCCTGACGTTTCGCCTGCATCTATGGCAAGCATCCTCAGAGGTAGTGAGGTCTGTTGGAAGTAGAAAAATGGGTTTATATATCTGTGGAATGACCAGGGTGAGACAAAGGACTTTTGTCTGCTGGGGCTAGGTGTGAATGTTTCAGCTGATCACCTTGATTAGCATTCAATGGCTTGGAAGTGCCTGGGGGGAATCTTTTGTTGAGAGTGATTTTATGTGCCTGTTTGTTGTGGACAATTTCAACAGAAAGGAAGAAACCATGAAAATGAACAAAATCTGGCTACCAGTATTAAAAAACTCAAAAATTGTTTGTGTGCTTTCAAGTCATTTCAGACTTAGGTTGATCCTGAGCAAGGGACAGGTAAATGACCTTGGAGGGCCGTATTCGGCCTCCGGGCCTTAGTTTGAGGACCCCTGGTCTACAGCATGTATGCTGGACCACACAGGATTGCAGCTAAATACTGTGTGGGGGTGTGTGTATTGATGAACAGATGGGTAGGTGCACAAAAATATCCCAAAATGATTTTGAATGGCGCATGCAGAAACGGGTGAGATTAAACACTTGTCCAGACAAATATAAAGGACATCAGGGTAAGGTTAGCACCTGTTTTATGAGATAAAAAGTTTCACATTAAGAATAATGGAACTGGATCAGTAGTCAGGTCAGGACCCGGCATGAGGTACAAAGTGTGCAAAACTGGAAGAAATCATGAAAAACCAGCAGGTAGAGAGATACTAACTATGACATTAATTGCATGAATACAATTAATTCTGCGTATTTTTTTGCTATTTCTAACAGAGGCAGCTCCTGCAAACCTTGGAAAAGCTATTTCCAGAATCTCCATGCTGGCTGGAGAATTAGTGGGATTTTAGTCCCAAGAGCAGCTTTTTAAATGGTTAGGAAACAAGGTAGATTGGGATCACTTCTGATAAATTTCTGGATTAATTCCAGTAGGTTAGCAAGTATTTTTACACCCCACCACCCAGCTGTTTGACAACAGCAACAATAAAATAACTTACCATCACCACACTCAAATTATGCTTCTGAAATAAAGAAAACTGTTGTTCAATTCAGCTTTCCGGAGTCCCAGTTGTTTCGTATTTCTCCCACCCCCAAAAGCTCTAGTTAGTGGGTTTGAAAGAAAAATCGATATAAGTAGATGCGTCACACTTGTAGTTTACCAACTGTCAAATAAATATCAGCCATGAAGAAACCTGAAAAGCCTCATATAGCAAGGACAGACAACAGACTTTCCAGGTTTTATTGGCCAACAACTCCCATTAATGTGAGTTTTTTTGGTTGTATGGCCATGTTCCAGCAGCATTCGTTCCTGATGTTTTGCCTGCATCTGTGGCTGGCACCTTTGACTAATAAAAAGTCATTCAAGAAGGGTGGTTTTTGTCAAGAGCAGGTCAAGGACAAAAAGTATAATTCCCTTCCATGGAAGGCTTGAAACTCATCTATACATAATGCTACAAGTGGGATGAGGCCAGAAGAAGAGGAACTAATTTCAATGTGGAGCTAAATTACACCTGGAATCCTGAAACCCGTTTAAGTCCTGAATGGTACTTATACACACCATACAGGTTGGCATCAACTAGATTCCAGGATCTGGAGTACACACAGAGTCCTGCTCACGTTTTCTTGCAGCTGCAAGACTCACATACAAAAAAGGGCTTGTTAATTGAATTCAGGCAATTAATGTCAGGTCTAGTTTGGCCCTAAGAAACTTCTATCCCAAATATGTTCCATTTTGAAACCAGTACCCAGAACTGGCGGAGACTAGGAGACTGAAACCAAGCTGGTTATAAGGTACTGAGCCAGGGATGTTGAAGGCATTTCTCAGCTGATGCTCTTCTTTCTGGGGCATAGTCCAACATCAATAGAAGAAAACTGGTAAATGGAGCGGCCTGATGCTTCGGCCAGTTGTATTTATCAGTGAGGATATGATAGAGGTCATAGGAGGAGATCCAGGACATTCGCAGGAGAGCACCTGCCAAGCACAAAGAAAACAACAGTTGCAACATGAGGTGGAAGCCTCATACATTCTTTCTGATTACAAAGCTTCCATTTTCATAGATTGTTGTTGCTAAATGCCATCTAGTTGCTTTTGATTTCTGGCGACCTTATGAATGAAAGACTTTCAAGGAATTCTGTCCTCGGGTCTTGCAAACTCACAGCCGTGGCTTTCTTAATTGAGTATATACATCTGGAGTGTGGTCTTCCTGTTTTTCTATTGCCCTCCACTTTACCAAACGTTATTTTTTTCGACAAGGGGATTGTTATTCCAAGGCCTGGGAGAGTGGATGGATTTTTCATTGAGGGAAATGAGGGGGGTTTAGATCATTGTGTTGTCGGAGGCTTTCATGGTTGGAATCACTGGGTTGCTGTAAGTTTTTCGGGCTGTATGGCTATGTTCCAGAAGCATTCACTCCTGACATTTAACCTACATTCATGGCAGGCATCCTTAGAGGTTGTGAGGTTTGTTGGAAACTAGGAAAATGAGGTTTATATATCTGTGGAATAATGTTCAGGGTGGGAGAAAGAACCCTTGTCTGTTTGAGTCAAGTGTGAATGTTTAGATCCTGTTTGCAAAAATGGGCTTGACCGTGAAACTGCCTCTGAATCCAGCAAACAGAGAGATGCAACTTTTCACCTACTTGTCTCATAGCAACCCCAGATAAGGATAGGGAGTTGAATGGGCGAGAAAATTCACCAGAAAATATACCCGCAGTCAGGAGAAATCTCAGGCTTCATCTTAGGGAAGAAGCAGCAAATTAAGAAAGTCACAAACACTGCGTGAGAAACAGCAGTGTGAGAAATCTCTCAGGCAAGGTAGCCAAGGTCACAGGCATGACTGTCTTGTGGACCTCAAATCAGTGTTGTTCAATTGAGAATTCAGATCAGGCAATGCTGCAAAGCAGTGAGGATCTCAAACCTTGTTTCCACTTTGTCTTTTGAGTCTAAGATCTTGGGAGTTTGGATTCATGTTTTGAGAAGTTTCTATAGTCTTGCTTTTGGATTCATGTTCATGTTTTGATTTTTGTTTTCCTGGATTTATGCTCATATTTGATTCTGGTTTTCCTGTATCTTGTTTTATGGATTTGGACTGTTTGGATTATTACCTTTGGAGTGTTTTTTTCCTATTTCCAGTTTGGTTTGGTTTATTACTTGTTGACTATTTTTCCCATTACCTATTGGATTTTGCCTTTCTCATTTCTTATGGTGACTTTTCATATATATATATATATATATATATATATATATATATATATTCCTCAATAAACTATTTTACTACTACTTTTGGATTCCTGGCTGGTATTGAGTGCAAGGTGAATCCTGGCTGGGATGGAACACAAAATACGATAGCCTCAATTTCGTCACCTTGACTTCTAAGGAGAGTTTAGGTCTCATTGGTTTAAGGACCTATTTTTCATTCTTTTTTTCCCTTTGCAGTCTATAATATCTACAGAACTCTTCTTCACCAATACCATGTCCTAGAGGAATAGGAAGCTGGTTTTCTTCCTATAAGCTTCTTATTAGGTTCACTAAGCGAACATAAAATGTAATGTTGGACTTGTACTTGGGATGTAGTATGCAACGAGCATCATACAACCCTCTGCTCTTCCAAATTCCAGGGGTTGTGAGAAGGATACAGTTACACTGTCTTTAGTCTTTACCATCACATCCTCACCTTGTCTCTTGAAGAAAGATGATGCCTGTTTCCAGAACGAGGCAATCTTGGGTAGGACTTTGCCCAGAAGTTCAATGATTCGAGCCACATGATCTGAAATGGGTAGAAAGGAAAGGGTTAGATGTTTGACTGTAAAATCTTCTTCTAGAAAATGGGAGGCATTCCAGATTTCCTCCTACCTTCATCTCTGGAGAAGTACTGCCCAGCTTTGGGTTCAAAGAGGCGCTCTCCAGTTGCCAGTTCAAAAGCCTACAACAGGAAATAATTATTTCATTTCAGCTTGTGGCCAATTCAGATATTACATCTAGTGCAGGATACTAAGAAATGAAAATGAGCTATTTGACTCTCTACTTCTCACATATTATTTTCACATATGTTTAACAGTGACAAATCCAAAACAAAAAACTAGGAGAAGGACAGCTGGTTCATAAGAATACAAAGTGTTGAGCTGAAGCAGTTCGGTATTCTCTGTATACTCTTGAAAATGTGGATTATCTAAAAAATTACTATGATAATTCTGCTAAACTTGTGAAATTGCTCCATTTCAGGTCTTGAAAGTGGATTTTTGTTGTTAAGTGCCTTGAAGTCAATCCAGACCTATGGCGACCTTAAGACAACCCTGTTACTGGTTTTCCTTGACAAGGTTTGGATTGCTGTGAGATTTTTGGGCTGTATGGCCATGTTCCAGCAGCATTCTCTCTTGACGTTTCTCCTGCATCAGTGGCTTGCATCTTCAAGGGTTCTGTTGGCAATGAAGCAAGTGGAGTGTATATATATATCTGTGGAATGTCCAGGGTTGGAGAAAGAACTGTGGAATGTGTAAGTTCTTTCTCCTTCCAAAGCATTGAGCCATTGCTGTTAAAGTCTTAAAGTCAAACTGGATTCATTCTAATGTGTGGCAGCTCTCCTAGCCTTCGTTTTTGTTAATAATATCTTTTGTCCATAAACTAAGCTGGATTACAGTGCAGAATTATCCAAACTATTTGCTCAGCCTTAAAACCTAAATTTTGTATTAAAAGATATGCTTTTAGCTTACATTTAGCAACTGGGTCAGAATACTTATAAATATTAAAGCATCTGTCCTACTTTTCTTGTCTGCTTTTTAAAATGATGATTATAGTAATAAGGAGGCAAGGAGGGGGGGGGGGGCAATGATGGACAAAGGACCTGACAAATATGTAGGGGGCTAAGGTCAAAGCTAAGGAGGCTTCGAGGTCCTGAACTGGTGCTTGGCCTCTGCACAGACTAAGGTGAGTATGAAATTGAATCCAGACAAGACAGAGGTACTCCTGGTCAGTCGTAAGGCCGAACAGGGCATAGGGTTACAGCCAGTGTTGGATGGGGTCGCCCCCCCCCCGAAGGCGCAGGTTCGCAGCCTGGGAGTCCTTCTGGACTCATCACTGAGCCTGGAACCCCAAGTTTTGGCAGTGGACAGGTGAGCATTCAAAAATTAAAACTTATGTCCCAGTTGCGCCTGTAGCTTGGGAAGCCAGGCTTAGCCACGGTGTCCACGCTGTTGTTACATCCTGAATAGACTACTGCAACACACTCTATGTGAGGTTGCCATTGAAGATTGTTTGGTAGCTTCAAGCAGTCTAAGAGGCGGTAGATAGATTGCTCACCGGAGTGGGGTACTGGGAGCACACAACCACCCTGTTACACCAACTCCACTGGCTGCCAGTCTACTACCGCGCACAAGTGCTGGCTTTAGCCTATAAAGCCCTAAATGGTTCCAGCCCAGCTTACCTGCCCAAATGTATCTCCCTCTATGAACCATCTCGGAGGTTAATATCATCCAGGAAGGCCCTGCTCTCGATCTCACCCCGCTCGCAAGTGCGACTGGTGGGGATGAGAGATAGGGCCTTCTCGGTGGTGGCCCCTTGTCTGTGGAACTCCCTCCCCAATGAGATTAGATCAGCCCCTTCTCTCCTGACCTTCAGGGGAAAAAATTAAGACGTGGTTGTGGGACCACGCTTTTGACACAGTGCAGTAAGTGACCAAGAATCAATGTGATTGATAAACAGAATGGCCCTGGATTATATTTTGGATGACATGATTTTAATTGATTTTAATGTAATTGATGTTTTAATAAATCATGTTTTAATTGTTTGTTTTTTAATTGCAATTTTTTATTTGACACTTGTATGTATGGCATCAAATTTCTGCCGGTTGTAAGGCCGCCTTGAGTCCCCTCTGGGGTGAGAATTATGCCAAGACATCCAAGGAGGGAATGTGTGTGGTTGACTATCAGCCTGTTCTTATTTTTCGGATTATGAACAGATGGGTAGGGTTAGAAAGGCAAATATCATCATCATTACATCAGAAATGCTGGTAGAACTGGTCCTTACCAGGCATGCGGCACTCCAGATATCAGCTGGAGTGCTGTAGTCTAACCCAAGAAGGACTTCCAGAGCTCTGTAGGGCTGGGTCTGAATCTTTCTGGAAAAAGGCTTGTACTACGAGGGAAGGAAGAAAAGAATGGTTTAGGTGAGGAAGAGTGTCTGTATGTGCCTTGTGTTCAGTGTGACCAATGGGCTGCATAAACAGTAGTTATTGGGACCTCAATGTACAATCATAAAGTTGGAAGCCATCCTCAAGGGCCATCCAGTCCAACCCTGTTCTGCAATGCAGGAAAAGCACAATCAAAGTACACCCAACAGATGGCCATCCAGCCTCTGTTTAAAAGTATCCAAGGAAGGCACCTCCACCACACTCTGAGGCAGAGAGTTCCACTGCTGAACAGCTCTCATGGTCAGGAGGTTCTTCCTAATGTTCAGGTGGAATGTCCTTTCCTGTCATTTGAACACATTGCTCCGAGTCCAAATTACTGAAAACGAGATGCAGCCTCTGAAGCTCTGCAAAGTCAAGAGAGCAAGACTAGCCTCAAATAGGCAATTATTCTCCTATTCCCTTGAGCCTCCCACCCTCAAAACCTCTTGAAAAAAGAAAAGGTCCAAAATGGAGACTAGAGGTCAAGTTAAGACCCTTCTAGCATGCCAAAGCAGATCAGTGCTATCCGCTAGAGGGGCACAGGGAGGAAATGGCCCTGATTCTCTCCACATTTGCCCACTGCTGCTTTAAGTGTGAGACATACATCTGGCTAGACCCCAGTAAATATTTGGATGGGGAAGATTGTCCTGGCTATGAGACACCAGAGAAACCCAAATGACAAGAGGAGCTCTAGATCCTATACTATGAGGAAAAGCTAAAGTGTTTGAGACTTCTTAGTCTGGAAGAATAAAAGATGACTAAGGGTGCATCTATACTGTAGAATTAAAACACTTTGACATCACCGTAACTGCCGTGGTTCAGTGCTACAATTATCGGAATTGTAGTTCTACAAGGTGCTTAGCCTTCTCGGTCAAAGGGCCCTTCCACACAGCCATGTAACCTAGAATATCAAAGCAGATAATCCACAATATCTGCTTTGAACTGGATTATCTGAGTCCGCACTGCCATGTGACCCGTTTCAATGTGGATTTTCTACAGCTGTGTGGAAGGGGTCACATAAGAGTGCTTATGCCTCACCAGACTACAATTCCCATTATTCCACAGCATTGAGCCATGGCAATTAAAGGGGTGTCAAAGTGCAGGAGTTTTTGTGTGTGTGTCACGAGTGACTTGAGAAACTGCAAGTCACTTCTGGTATGAGAGAATTAGCTGTTTGCAAGGATGTTGCCCAGGGGGTGCCTGGATGTTTTACCATCCTGTGGAAGGCTTCTCTCATGTCCTTGCATGAGAAGCTGGAGCTGACAAATGGGAGCTCACCTCGCTCCCCGCATTCAAACCACCAACCCTTCAATCAACAGTCCTGCCAGCACAAGTGTTTAATCCATTGCGCCACCAGGGTCCCCCAAAGTGCATGGCAGGGGATTGGACTGGATGGCTTTTGTGGTTTTTTCCAGCTCTATGATTCTATGAAATCAGTAAAGTAGATCACAAAGGGCAAAAGTACACCCAGACTCACAGTCCAGCATGCGCTTCCCAGGTCTGCAATCTTCACTCCCATTTTCATTAAATTGCAACAATCCAAAAGAGCAGTCATGTCATCTTCTGGATGGAAAGAACAAAAGAAAATAAACCCATTTACAAATGGTTAGACAATTCATATTGTAAACTGAGTGTGTTACTAGTACATGTACAACATTTCACAGGTGAAAACCCGGACACATCTGGCCAAAACCACCAGAGTGTGGTTAAGATGGCAAAAGTCATTAATGAGGAAGAGCACACAAGATAGGAGATGGTGCAGCAGGTTGCTTTTGCCTAAGCTGCTTGGAAAGGACAAGGTTTGGCTTCTTCCTCTCTTGTCACCTTTCTCACTGAGGCCCCATCTACACTGCCACAGAATACAACTTGGAACTGCATTATATGATCAATGTAAACTCATATCATGCAGTTCAATGTAGTTAAATCACATTATATGAATCCACACTGACCATATAATGCAATTTCAAACTGCATTATATGGCAGTGTAGATAAGACCTGAGTAGGAACTACTTTTTCACATTGAACTCAGCTTCTAGCAATGAAAGTAAGCTAAGGAGAAGGAAAAAAGTGGAAGCAATTTCCCTCAAAATGCACCAGTATTCAAATTTGGGCATAACGGGGATGTATACCAAGATTGGGCTCAGATGCATAATTGTTTGGGTTCATAATGTGCTCTGGATATAGGTGAACTACAACTCCTATAAATCCCTCCAAAGACCTCCAGTATTTCTTGTTGGTCTTGGGGGTTCTGTGTGCCAAGTTAGTTCCAGATCCATCGTTGGTGGAGTTCAGAGTGCTCTTAGATTGCAGATGAATTATACATCTCAGTACCTACAACTCCTATAAATTATGGTGAATTCTCCTCAAACCTCTCTGGTATATTCAGTTGGTGATCAATTCCTCTGTTCGCTGTGTATTATAGAAAAGAATAGGAAAGGGTCAAGGGAGAGGCAGTAGGTGGGTTCATGCAAATTCCACACCAATCATGAGAAGAAGGAACACTGGGATGCCTGTAGTGGAGGAAAAACAGAAAATCTAGGATGGAATTGTCCCCTATGAAAGTTTTCACTTGGGTGGTGGGCAGTATGGTGTTTGTGGAGGACATTGCCATGGCTCTTGTACATGTTCATAGCGCTCATATAACCTGCAATGTCATTGGAGGGAGGGCCATTGGTGTCTCCTGAGTAATGGGAGCTATAGCTATTTGTGGAAGCAGGAGCTTGTCTGTATAAGTGGACGTCCCAGCCACACACAAATATATTATCAGTTTTATTATGTGTATAGAAGATATACTCCACCTTTCTCCCAGCCAGCATTTCCCCCTTTACACATATATTTATTACAACAACAACAAACCCAAGTGGTATATGCTTTTATTTTGAGCAAGATACCTGGTCTTTTTGGCTTTGCGACCGTCCCTTGCTCCAAGGAACCCATGTTGTATAGAAGAGTCTGCAAACTTTCTTCTGTGACATAAAGCAGAATGTTCTCTGGCTTGATGTCTGCATGGATGATGCGGCATTCTTTGTGCAAGAAATGCAAGCCTTGGAGTACCTGCACAAACAAGAATGAGACATGCAGTTAAAGTCAAAAGCCCAGGTTCCAGAATACCATCAAGCCTCTCAGCCTTAGTAACTACCAGAGTTTTGAGTTGCCAAAGGAAAAACTGGGGAAGGCTAAAGGCAAAGGTTTCCCCCTGACATTAAGTTCAATCGTGTCCAACTCTGGGGGTTGGTGCTCATCTCCATTTCTAAGCCCAAGAGCCAGTGTTGTCCATAGACACCTCCAAGGTCATGTGGCCAGCATGGCTGCATGGAGTGCCATTACCTTCCCATCGGAGTGGTACCTAATGATCTACTCACTTTTGCATGTTTTCAAACTGCTAGGTTAGCAGAAGCTGGGGCTAACAGCAGGAGCTCACCTTGCTCCCCGTATTTGAACCGGCAACCTATTGGTCACCAAGTTCAGCAGCTCATTGGTTTAACCCACTGCGCTACCGGGGGCTCTGTAATGGCTGCGTAAAATCCCATGATAGGGTTGCCTTGAAGTCACCATAAATCAGAAATAAAATAAATCAGAAAGCACAAAACAATAACAGTTTCTCAAGTCTCTCCTGACACGATAAAAAAAACTATTTTATTGCATTACTATGTTACTGTTAAGCATTTTTATTTGATGTTATTGTCTGTTTTGTATGCATTTTATTTTGCCTTATTGTAATTACTTGGCCTCGGCCTCATGTTAGCCACCTTGAGTCCCTTTGGGGAGATGGTGGTGGGATATAAATAGAGTTTTATTTATATTAATTATATTAAACCAGGACTGCAATGAGTTGAAAGCCGTGCAGGAACTTAAGGCTGGCAGCCACCATAGAGTTATCATCAAGTGGCACTAGAGGTGGTGAAGCGCTGCAAGGTGGACCCAGTACCTATACATATACATATATGTGTGTGTATATATATAGAGAGAGAGAGCTCTTGACAAGTGTTCTCAAGATGATGGGCAGTGGCACTGAGCCTGCTGCTTTCTGCTGAAGCCGTTCTACTCACTTGTTGTGTAGCTTTTTTCACAAAGGGTAATGGGAGGCCCCGGGCTCCATGGCAGTTCAGCAGCGTCTGTAGTGAAGGTCCCAGCAGCTCAAACACTAAGCAGGCATGTAGGGGAAAGTTAGGGATCCAGTAACTGAGATGCTGCCTGATCTCATTTTCACTCTGAGACCAACACCATAGGGTAAGGAAATGGTGTCTTTACCTGTTGGGTGCCCCTGATACAGTGAAGAAGTCTGGGAGCTGCAGTCCAAAATTGAAGGTAAAAGGGTCGTATATCCCAACTCTTTCCTGAGCTAGCTGACTATTCCCTTCCCATATAGGATAACACATTTCCAGTATGCACAAATGGCTTCATCTTAATGCAGTGTTTGGGAGCTACATTATGATGGATGGGATCAAATCCAATGATCAGGGATGAGTGTAGGGCTTTCTTTCCTCTATGCAGGCTTTGGTGTAGCTCCAGATCCCATTCCAGGAGAAAAGCAGGATGAATAAATGAATGGATGAATAAAATTTCAGCCCTCCGTGGGTCGCAAGTTTTTCCCGCCTGTTTTCCATGCAACATCATGCCTGGCATCTGAGGTCTTATGACCTGTTTTCTCCGTAATTAAAGGATATGGAAACCATTCTCTCCAATCATTTTGAAATCATCCAAGAAGCGGATGACATGGTCACTGGCTCTGTTGTTTCTCCTCTTGCTATTCACCTGCCAAAAGGGAAGAAGAAAAACTTGTTCAGAGCAGACATTTTAATGAGGCATTGAATAATCCCATTGCTGTCACTGTCTCCTATTGTTTTGTTTGTGATCAAGGAAAATATCCAGTCCTTGAGGTTTGGCAAAGAATAAGCAATTTTACTTCTAATTCTTGTGTTTTGTGTAACAATCCCAGGTAGAGCTTGGAAACCTTTCCTTTTTGGACCAAAATTCCCAGAAGCAACTTAAAATGTGACATTCCCATGGAAGTTATCACCCATCTACAAGAACAATAGCAACAATGGTTTTGTCCTCCAGGTTCAGGTTGGAATAGAGAGAGTGGCCCCATCTACACTGTCATATAATGCAGTTTGAAACTGCATTATATGGTGAGGGTAGAGTCATACAATGCAGTTAAATGCAGTTAAACTGCATTATGTGACTCTACACTGACTCTATAATGCAGTATCAAACTGCTTTATATGGCAGTGTGGATGGGTCATGAGCCTGCTTGCTTTTTGTGGAGTGACAGATGTCTGTGTCAGCGTTACATACACAGCGAAGTAGCAGGACTTCATCCAAGGCTGCCTCAACAAAATCTTCTCCTCCTCTGGGCACCTTCACAGCCACACTTCTCTTCTTCCTGGAACAAAACCCACAGGTTGAGGCAAGAGGAAACTGCTGCTTTGAAAACAAACATTCTATTTTCCAAAAGGGCAAATACTGGAATCCTGTTAGTACAACGCCAAAAGTGTGGCTTTGTTATTGTTAACTGCTGGCAAATCATTTTCGACTTATTGCAACTCTATGAATAAGAGAACTGTAAGTCACCCTATCTTCAGTAGCCTTGCTCGGGTTTTGCAGATTGTGGCTTCCTTGACTGAGTTTATCCATCTGTAGTGTGGTCTTCCTTTTTTCCCCATTTGCTCTTTTTCCATCAGCGGTTCCTCTTCCCACCAGGGGAAATCCTTCTGTCAGGCGAACCTGCAACCAATCCCTGTGCAGATCCTAGATGATTCTGTTTTTCAGCCAGTCAGGGGATGAATGGGATGTTTGAATAGCTGTCAGAACTACATAAAATGTCTTATTTATTTCTGGAAGTGGTGCATGTACATTTGCTGGTACTTGCATCCTTTTTGGCCAAACCGAATAAACCTCTGTTGCATTGCTTTCAACTTGGAGTGCTTGTTCTCTTTCCTGACTGATCTAGTTTAACAGAAGCTCACCAGGCACGGACCTCTATATCTGCGGTCCTAGCTGAAATCTCTGTCAATATGATTCAGTTGGAAACTGCATCATATGGCAGTGTAGATGAGGGCTCTGAAGCTTAACAGAGAATTTAAGACAGTTTTGTGCTACATCAGGGTTAATTCATGTTTCTAGGTATCGTATCTTGGAGCATCCTTCTCCAATCATGGCTTAAACTTCCTCTTATTAAAATCTTGCCAAGAAAATTCTATGATAGGTTCGTCATAAGTTGTTGTCAGTTAGGAGGCTGATAACAACACCATACTGCATACGAGTGTGCAACAACTATATGTATGGATAGATTTTCCAGGGAAGTGTTTATACACAGGTATGTGAGCAGTTCAGACAGCTTACATTGCAATGAACCTAAACGCTATGGAGCACTCTTGAGCCTGGAGGACTGTACATTTCTACAAGCGGCAGGAATATCCCAGTTCTGGATCCTCTTGTTATTTTTCCCTTTTGGTTTACATGAAAATTTATGCATTTTTGTGAACTTCTGCGATTAGCTGCTTAATGTTTTTGTTCCAACTTATTTAAAAGCGACCTTTCAAATATATGTGCAGCACCACCAACAAAACATGTAAAAAATTGTGCACCAAATTCTAAACCCACCACAGTCACAGCAACCAGTTTATGGCTTTTCCAAAAAATTTATTTGTGTTTACTCACCCAACATCTTGGCAAAGCCAGACTGTTGAGAAGTAGCCACTTCCCAGGTTCTGCACCACATGGTATCTTCCATTGAATGTCTCCCCTGTCCTTACTGGATAGTAACCTTCTACATAAAATAGAAGGGGTATAATTAACACATATTAAAAAGAGAAACCAAAAAGTTAGCCTTTACAAGTCCCAATTGTATAAGTTTCCTGTCTTGAAAGAGTATGCTCAGATGTACTCTCTGATAGTAACAAATTGAAAGCATCCTACCATTCTGTTGATAGATGCATAGAACACTGTCCTATCTGGTTGTATCTTTCTCTCATCACTCTGTCTGCACATTACTCCTGTCTTCTCTGAAATAAATGAGGAAAGGAGCCTGTTGTTGTTCATTCGTTCAGTCGTCTCCGACTCTTCGTGACCTCATGGACCAGCCCACGCCAGAGCTCCCTGTCGGCCGTCACCACCCCCAGCTCCTTCAAGGTCAGTCCAGTCACTTCAAGGATGCCATCCATCCATCTTGCCCTTGGTCGGCCCCTCTTCCTTTTGCCTTCCACTTTCCCCAGCATAATTGTCTTCTCTAGGCTTTCCTGTCTCCTCATGATGTGGCCAAAGTACTTCAACTTTGTCTCTAGTATCTTTCCCTCCAGTGTGCAGTCGGGCTTTATTTCCTGGAGGATGGACTGGTTGGATCTTCTCGCAGTCCAAGGCACTCTCAGCACTTTCCTCCAACACCACAGCTCAAAAGCATCGATCTTCCTTCGCTCAGCCTTCCCTAAGGTCCAGCTCTCACATCCGTAGGTTACTACATGGAATACCATGGCTTTGACTAGGCGGATCTTTGTTGCCAGTCTGATGTCTCTACTCTTTACTATTTTATTGAGATTGGCATTGCTCTCCTCCCAAGAAGTAAGCGTCTTCTGATTTCCTGGCCACAGTCTGCATCTGCAGTAATCTTTGCACCTAGAAATACAAAGTCTGTCACGGCCTCCACGTTTCTCCCTCTATTTTCCAGTTGTCAATCATTCTTGTTGCCATAATCTTGGTTTTTTTGACGTATAGCTGCAACCCGGCTTTTGCGCTTTCTTCTTTCACCTTGATTAGAAGGAAAGGAGCCTAGTTGCACCTTTAAGGGTGCATCTGTAGTGTAGAATTTATATTTGAGCTGCCGTGGCACTATGCTATGGAATCTTTGAATCTGTAGTTTGACATATTAAGGTTAGAAGACAGGAAGTAATTAAGAAAGAGTAATTTTTGTATATCTCAAAGACACATCAAGCTAGGAGTTGTAACATGTTGTAAAATTCCTGCATTAGTTATGGCTTTTCATGATGACAGTATACTCTGTATTAATTGTTTATTTTGGAAACGAGAAGAATCTCTTTTTGTGTGTGAGAGAGAGATTGAGGAAAAAAGAAAAATAGATTAGTTTGTTGGTGTTGACTTGTTAGGTAAGTGTTTCTGTTAGGAAAAAAAGATGGCCTGCATTTTAGGGCAGATTTCACCATGAGCAGCCAGTGAGTACAATACGTACTTGTGCTTAAAATTTTTTTACTTTAACTTAAATAATAGTCAATAGACCAAACTGCATTCTACTATTGCTATTTTCATCCCTCTGTCAATCTGTAATTCCCATTCAACCACAAAATGTACTGGTAATCTTGGAACAACCACAATCTGTCAGCCTTCTGACCTTAGAGTGATCCTAAGAATAATAAGGGAGGAGGAAACCATTATTGGAAGGAAGTGCTTTTCTCATCATGTTCACAACTTACCTGCACATGATGCCGGGGAACCCTCCTCTTGCCAGTCAAGCCCATCCATGGCAGGGCTTTAGCTCTTTGTGAATGACCAGATACTTGGAACAGTCAAGGTTCAGGAAACATCTGAATACAAATATATCATCACAGTATTACAAGTATTATACCTGAATCCAAGTATTTCACTCAGTTGGCTGTAAAGAGGCCAATTATACATTGCCTAAAAAGAGAAGTGAGCCCCCTGTGGTGCAGCAGGTTAAACTGCTGAGCTGCTAAACTTGCTGATTGAAAGGTCAGCAGTTTGAATCCAGGGAGTGGGATGAGCTCCTGCTGTTAGCCCCAGCTTCTGCCAACCTAGCAGTTCAAAAACATGCAAATGTGGGTAGATCAATATGTTATGGCGAGTTTTAAAAGGATCAGCACCAAGTATGTGTGTGTGTTAAAGAAAACATTATACTGTTAATTATCATGTGCAGCTGCTAATCTAGGTAAACAAGTGGGGTTGAGCCACACCTGGTGGGGTATAACTGTATGTGGCTTAGAATACAGTTCAGCTCTATGCTCAGAAGCATTTGCTCTGAGGAGTCTTTTGCTCACAGCATTTTGCTCAACCATTCACGCTGCTCATTTGAAGGGAGATGAAGAAACCAAACTCTTTGCATTCTGTATTTCTTAAAAGGACTATGTAAGTTTGTTGCACTGTTTATTTTGCATGCAACACTGCAAGTTTATGTTTTGACTCTGCTGACAAGAGTAAAGTTTTCTGTTTTCTTCCTCCTGCTTTGTGCAAAGTTATTGTGTCCTTTGCATTGGACCAGACTAAATTCCTCTTAAGTGCAACACTATAGGTACCACTTCGGTGGAAAGGTAACAATGCTCCATGCAGTCATGCTGGCCACATGACCTTGGAGGCATCTACAGACAACGCCGGCTCTTCGGCTTAGAAATGGAGATGAGCAGCACCCTCAGAGGTTTGACTTAATGTCAAGGGGAAACCTTTACCTTAAAAAGAGAAGATATGCAGCAACTAAAAAGAGGAGCAAGAATGGACTGTACTGATGTATAATACAATTCCACACAGATAATCTGGATTCAGAAACTGGTTTAATTGGTAGTGTAGATGGGGCCTCAGATTTTCCCCTGCTGACATATATGCTTACATTCTATTGGGGAGGGTTGATTTAAATAGAAATTCAATTTAAGACACCATATTGGATAAGTCTGACCAGAGGAGTTGTGTTACTATTAAGTTTTCCATCTAGTATATCCAGTGCCTTCTAGGGACTGAATCTATGGGTTCAGTGGGTCCGTAGATTCAATATCCACAGTAGATTCAATATCCAATATTTTGTGGGCCTCTCTATTTCCTCCAGTGTGGTTCTAAGAAATATAGTCTTTCTATTATTCATGGGAAGGTCTCAGAACACATTCCCTTTGGGTGCATAAATCATAGTGCAGTCTTCCCTGGATTTACTCCATTGGTGTTGTGGGAAATAAAAAAAGTTGCTTTCACTTTTATGAATATAGCTTGGATAAAAACTATGTTTTTGGCATAAGGACAAATATGTTTGTAAGGAGGCACTTGATGTGGAAATGTTGCACACTTTTATGGCCTTGCTAGAGATAGTTGATATGTTACCTTTACAGATGGCTTTGCTATTTTTAAAGATGGCAAAATGTTGCTTTTTGCAAACAATTATGAATCTAGAGAGCCTTGCTATAGCTTTGATAGAGATAAAAAATGTTGCTCTTTGCAGGTGTAAACATGCTTACATTCCATACTGTAGCTTTGATAAAAACCCCGACTTGCCTATCAATAGACATGCTTGTCTGAAACTTTGCTACCTTGTTGTTTTAGAAAGTTAGAGAGTAGCTCTGCAGGTGTTTAGGTCTTTGGGAAGATTGTCATTCTCCATGGAGGGAGAGACCAGCGGCCGTGGAAAAGCGGAATATAAACATGTGCTGAACTTGCTTCTGTGTGCCTATTTGTTTTAGGACACCCATCTTACAAGATGTGTTATAATAAACACTTTGCCACTTCAAATTATATTTTAGGGTTTAAAGACCCATGTTTCCAAATGTGTCACACCTATCTTCTATATAAATAAAAATGTAGTATTCGTTTGTGGGATTAACACAACTCAAAAACCATTGGACGAATTGACACCAAATTTGGACACAATACACGTATCAGGCCAACAAATGACCATCACTCATAAAAAACACAGCAGAAGAGACTTAAAGAGCAAAAAAAAATACATTACAATGCATGCGCAAAACCACACACACACACGTATATACACGCAAACACACATATATATACACACACAAAAAAAACACATATACACAGACAGGGCCACAGCAACGCATGGCAGGGGACAGCTAGTTCCAAATAAATCTGATTCCACTTATATTGACAGCTATGCATTTCTCATGGCCAAATTGAAATTTACATCAAAGGGTTGCATGTTTTAGTTCTTGGCATGCAAAAACCTATCAACTATTTTGGATAAGGAACCTGTACATAGTCTTGTGTGTCAAACCTAAGAAATATCTTTCTTTCAAATCAATTTCCATTCTTGCACTTAATGAAGCATTTCACAACCTGGGGTCAAGACCCCTGGGGGGGGGTTGTAATGGGGGAGCCAGAGGGGTTGCCAGAGACCATCAGAAAATGGTACTTTCTGTTGGTCAAGGGGGTTCTGTGTGGGAAGTTTAGCCCAATTCTATTGTTGGCGGGGTTCAGAATGCTCTTTGTAGGTGAACTATAAATCCCATCAACTACAACTCCCAAATGTCAAGGTCTATTTTCTCCCAAACCCACTAGTGTTCACATTTGGGCATATGTCACGACATTAGGAAAGTTGAGAAACACTGACCTAATGTATTGGGTTATCCATAATAGGATTTAGTTTTTGCGGAGTTGCACAATAGTACAAAGCAAGGCAGACAAAACCAGCAAGCTTTCAGCAACCCTCTTTCATAGTCCTTTTGCTTGTGGGCTTTTCTACCTGCCTCAGCTGCCTTTGCCATTAAGATTCTACATAGCTGAGAGTAATGTAAGAGTGCCAAATGCAGAACTCCTCATTCAACACCCCGGGGACTCACTGTTGCACTGTGATAGCTACTCCCAACATCTATTCTGTGGCTGGTGGAAAGCAGGGAGCATCAGAGAAGCATCTGATGAGGTCTTCAAGGCTGGATGCAGATGGACAACATCTTCCACCAGGATCACCTGAGGTACTATAGAGGTCTTACCAGATTATGTCATTGGTCAGTGGATGCGTATGTGATCCCATCCACTCTCGGTGTGAGACTTTGGTTGTTGCAAAGGGAGGAAGACAATACCAACTTTCCCGGTGACCAAAAGAGTAAGGCGGACTTACTCCATAATTATATAGCAGGGTTGAAAAGGTTTCCAATTTGAGTGACATGATAAAGGGGAGAAAAGATGGAAATGCAAGTAGATACCTTGTTTATTTGCCTGTATTTCCATCTCTAGGTCAACATGACTCTTTGCCTTTTGGACCTCAGAAGCAGCAGGAACAGAAGTTAAGGCATACAGATTCTCCACTTTTAACAATTTTTGTATTGTTTTTCCCTGCCCTCGTGCCTCTGCTTCTTTGAATTCTGGAGCTGGGCTGGCAGGAGAATTCCTAGCATTTCTGGCTGGGTCACGGCAGAGATTATAGCAGAGGTTTTCACTGGCACTTTTCAAAAAGCAGGCTGCAAATCTGTGCCACTCCGTGCTGAGCGGGGCTGGAAAAAAGCCAGGCTGAACTCTCAGGTTTCTGGCTGTCCTTGCTTGGATTTTCAAATGGATTAGAGAGGATTGCAAGGAAAAGCCAGGGCATCCCTGCTGGAAGACTAGACTGCTCAAGCCTCTAACTAGAAGAGCTCAGATGGCCTTCTTCAGGAGGAGAGAAAGAAGAGGCTGTTCCCACACGTTTACATGTTCCCCTTTGCAGGTCAAATATTTCCATCTTCGGAGGGTTTGTTGGTTTGGTTTAAACATGTCAAAATCCAGTCATGGTTGGAAAGCTATGCAAAGCTTGACTAATGTTCGTGATGTTCTAAATACAAAGACTTTACTCGTGAACTGATTTGGCATTATTTTTTCCAGTTGAAAAACATGTGGAGTAGATGCACACAGGCCATATCTGACCTTGGATCATTAAAGTGTGTTTTGTCTTGATACAGCGATTAGTATGCACTGAGATTAAAGGGGGAATCCAGATTCAAAACTCCACTGAGCCATAAAACAGATTGAATGACCTTGGACCTCTCTCTCTCTCTTGAAGCCCAACATTGGAAATTTGCAGTAGGACTAAAAGTGGGTCACAGGTGCCATGTATATTGTTTTGAGATCACTGAAGGAAAAGTGGGAAGTAGTAATAAAATAAACATAAATAAATGGCACGGAGTCCCTGGTGGCACAGTGGGTTATACTGCTGAGCTGCTGAACTTGCTGACTGAAAGGTCGGTGGTTCGAATCTGGGGAGCGGGGTGAGTTCCCGCTGTTAGCTCCAGCCAACCTAGCAGTTTCAAGACATTCAAATGTGAGTAGATAAATCGATACCACTCCGGTGGGAAGGTAACAGCACTCCATGCAGTCATGCTAGCCACATGACCTTGGAGGTGTCTACAGACAATGCCGGCTCTTCAGCTTAGAAATGGAGATGAGCATCAACCCCCAGAGTTGGACATTAACTAGACTTAATGTCAGGGAAAAACCTTTACCTTTAAGTAATAGGCACATGAATCAATATAACTCTACCATCTAACCTGCCTCACAAATGAGAAAAATTAACATGATTCAGCTCAGATTGTTAGAAACTAGATGGGATCATTGATAGTGCTTGTCTATAGGTATTCATCTGTTTAAAGCCATTCAGGTATCTATCTGTATTATTGAGAAACTGTTAGGGATCAAAATGTATTACCTTTGATGAAAAACCAAAGTTAGCATTGAGATATTTCCACATCAAAATGTGCTCTCAACTTTTGGCAACCTCATGGACTTCATAGGATTTTCTTATCATGGGTACATTCCACTGTTTTCCTGGCACTTCACAAAAATGTTATCAAACTAAACAAAATCAAAGTATTAGTGGGGGAAAGCAGCCATTACAATGAACTCACCTTTACTAGATGCCAGGATTTAAGGAGCCCAGCTTGGATTGGATCTCACCACTTGCTGATCTGCCAGGCTTTTGAGTTGGGGGGTGGAGAGGGTTGTCCAACAAGTTCCCACTTGCTTCCCTTTTTAGTCCCTGGAGCTGGAAAGGGGGCGGGAAGAAGAGGGGGTCCCACGTCTCCCCCCTCCCCTACATAACTGTGGCAAGAGGAAAGGGTAGGGCTTGGATCACGCTGGAGCCTCTGGAAACACATGGTCCCAACTTCAGAGCCGTCCAGAGACCCAGGACAGCTGGGAAGGTCTTATTTTACCCTCTCCTCTCGCCCTGCACCTGTTGGAACAGTTTCCTGCTCTGGTCTCTTAATATTTTTTCCTGGCCCCATCTCTGCCCTGCTACCAAAGCAAAAACCTGGAATCTCCCGGGAGTGTATTTATAGACCAGCATTGACAGATTGCCGAGATGGAAATGCAAACTTTGGAAACGTACATCTGGTTTCTTCAAACCCACTCCTTGTGTTAAGGCTGCCCTCTTCCTGATATGTACTTCCCTAGGGCTAAGTCCTGCTGATGTCAAAGGGGAGTTACTTCCAAATCAATGCACGTAAGACTGATTAAGTGGCATAATATACACTTGTAGTATTCTCTGGCAAAATCCCCACTAGAAGAGTTTTGAAACAAGGTCTTTCACACTACAATGTTCAGTGTGGAGATTTGTGGGAGATGTAGTCCAAAAGATAACTCCTCTTGCTGGGAACTTAGAGAGAACACAGATTGTTCTGCCAAGTTGACTTTTTATGTCCTCTCAAGTGATTTGGTTTGCCCATGCCTGGTATACACCCATTGCTTGGGAGAAGAGTCTGCCATATCTGCCAAGTTCATTAAATTTCTGATTCAAATCTCAGGCTTTTGCTGTAATGCTATACCAACTAAAAATTAAGACCGCAATACCAGCATGATAGCAATAGCAAAATTCTATAAACACAATACCCCAAATTACTAAAGTTTTTTTTTAAAAAAAAGACTAATCAATATCTACAACCTTTTAAAGCTTCGTTATCAAGGCTCTGAAACTGTATTTCAGTCACATTTACAGAAGGAAAGAAAACATGGCCATGTTGAGCATTTCTTATCTCAAATGTTTGGGACCGGAAATGCATTGGGATTTCAGATTTTAGAATACTGGTATTTGGATACAGATACATAATGAAATATTGTGGACATGTGAAGTCTAAACATGACAATCATTTACATTATATATATATATCTTATACACATAGCCTTAAAATTGTATTTTTTACAATATTTTAAATAATGTTATGCATGAAACCAAGTTTGTATACATTGAACCATCAGAAAGCAAAAGTGTCATCATCTCAGCCTCCTGTGCTGATGATCTTGGAGTGTGGGCTGACGATTCCTCACCCAAAATATTTGGGACCAGAAGTTTTTAGGGTTTTATTTGGAATTTGGAATGACTGTAATTTTTTTTTGGAATTTGGAATGACAGAGAGGGGAGTGGGGGAGTGTCTTGAAGAAGGGACGCAAGTCTACATACAACATCCGTCTATGTTTCAAATAAACTTTATGCATAGGGCCTGAAGGCAATTCTATACAATATTTTAATTTTTTAATATTTCCATGGAAAGTGTACATAGAACCATCTCAGCCATCTGTGCAGACAATTATGGAGTGTTTTGGACTTTAGCATTCCAGACAAGGGAAGCTGCGGTGGCATAATGGGCTAAACCCGTGTGCTGTTGAACTGCTGACCTGAACATTGGCTGAACTGCTGACCTGAAGGTCAGCAGTTCAAATCTGCAAGACGGAGTGAGCTCCTGTCTGTAAGCCCCAACTCCTGCCAACCTAGCAGTTCGAAAATATACAAATGTGCGTAGATAAATAAGTACCGCTTCGGCGGGAAAAGACAAAGAGATGCTTCAAGCAATCTTACCAGCCACACAACCAGGAGGTGACAATGCAGCTTCGTTGGCTTAAAAAATGGAGAAAGCACCTTCCCAGAGCCAGAGGTTGTGAGGTTCAACAGACCTCACAACCTCTGAGGATGCCTGTCATAGATGTGGGCAAAACATCAGGAGAGAATGCTTCTGGAACATGGCCAGACAGCCTGGAAAACTCACAGCAACCGATTACAATATTGTTTGGGACTCAATAGTGTGTGACTTGTCTAAATCATGGCCAAGCAAGGGGCTGAACCCTGGTTTCCAGAGCTGTGGTCCAATGCTCAAACTACCAAAATCTCATGTATAAGTTAGTCTGCTTTAAAGCTCATATTGAGTTGCATCATGGCTTAATTGTACTCACTTAAGTTGCATGTATCAGTACAGAAACCTTCATTACAACTATAAACAGAGAGGTAAAGTGATGGTAAGAACATCTTCCTTTAATAATAATCTTTTCCCCTTTCCCATCCTCAGTAATTGGTAACATCTTCAATCTTTCAGAAAGTAAGACGTGTCAAGGTATATACTCATACTAATAAGTTTTCCTTGGGAACAGGGAACAGAAGTGCCTTATCAAGAACTTGAAACTAGGAGAATGACATAATGCTTACCAGTGCAGATTTGGGGAGTATCTGCATTCAAGGCTGTGTTAATGCTGTAAAAGCATTTCGGTTGCCTATTTCTGCATCATTTCCCCAACTATTTGGCACCAATAAAGCTGTAACATGCATTTGCAGTGCATTATTTCTGTGCATCCTTTAAATGTAAATTGAGCAAGATTCGATTACAGTTAGCCCTCCAAATTGCGGGTTTGACTTTTGCAGATTTGATTATTCACAGATTTGATTAATATGGTCCATCCAAGAATCTATAGCTCCTCTAGTGTGACTTCACCAGATGTTGGCCAACTTCCACCAGAAGTTGGGATGGAGGGCCTAGAGCAGTGGTTCTCAACCTGTGGGTCCCCAGGTGTTTTGGCCTACAATTACCAGAAATCCCAGCCTGTTTACCAGCTGTTATGATTCTGGGAGTTGGAAGGCCAAAACATCTGGGGACCCACAGGTTGAGAACCACTGGCCTAGAGATTCTTAAAGAGAACACCTCTCTAGTAATCTCTAGATCTGTCATCTCAACACTGTGGTCAACGTCAGGCTGCAGTTGAACATACAGTTGCACTAGATGACTATATCACTGGAGACATTATCTCTCAGGTTAAAAAAAATTATTTACTGTATTGTTGAAGACTTTCATGACCAGAATCACAGGGTTGCTGTCCATTTTTTCGGGCTGCATGGTCATGTTCAAGAAGCATTCTCTTCTGACCTATTGCCTGCATTTATGGACCTCACAATCTCTGAGGATGACTGACATAGAAGCAGGCAAAACGTCATGAGAGAATGCTTCTGGAACATGGCCATACAACCCAAACTATTTACTGCTTTTCCACTTTTGCAAGGGCCCTGTATTATTGCCAGCAGACAAAGAGAGCTGACTGTAGATCAAGCTCTTCAAGTCAGTATACCAACTCCTCTGGAGACATTCAGCCCATCTTGAGCATGGAAGAGAGGGATTTGGGTATCCCACTGCCTCCATGCACTTCCTTACTTTTGTTCATGCATTCCATTTATAATAGTTTAGCCCTTGCCTTGCATCAGGGACAGCTCCTACTTGGGTTGAGCACTCGCTGTATAACTAGTGAATCTCTTTTATGCTGGGAGGCAGTCCCTCTCTTCTTATTATTTATTTCAACTATCAGGCAGGGCTGGGTGTGTCAACTTATCATTGGAGGAGATGGAAAGTAATGCCAGGGGCAGCAATATCCTTGGAAATACATGCCAGGCACCTGCTGCGATTACCCACAGTGCTCCATACTTACTGCTGGGTGAAGTGGGCAGATATAGTAGCAACTTTCTAGGTGGCATTGAAAAAAAGGGACCAAAGATGTTGTTTAAATATGTCATTATTGGATCAACAGGGCCCCCCAGTGGCGCAGCAGGTTAAACTGCTGAGCTGCTGAACTTGCTGACTGAAAGGTTGGCAGTTTGAATCCAGGGAGCAGGGTGAGCTCCCACTGCTAGCCTCAGCTTCTGCCAACCTGGCATGCAAATGTGAGTAGATTAATAGGTACTGCTTGACCTTGGATGTGTCTACGGACAACGCCGGCTGTTTGGATTAGAAATGGAGATGAGCACCACCCCCCAGAGTTGGACAAGACTAGACTTAATGTCAAGGGGAAACTTTCACCTTTATTATTGGATCAGCTTCTAGGAAGGCTAACTTCCAACTGGTGTGCCCATGGGGTGTTATGGGGAAAGTTTCTGTCACTTTCTCAGGTCTCTCTGCCACAACTCTGAAGGGGAGATTTCCCCACAAATGGGTGGCCTTCCAAGCTGGGGATCCCTGCACTTATTTTCTATCCCACTCCAGGGCCACAGAACCCGTTCCATAGTTTTATACATGGATCTGTCACTGTGAGGAAGCTTCTGGTCCCTTGATCTAAAGAGTGAAAGAAGGGGGAAAGGGACAGGCCCCAAAATAAGTGGTGATTCACTTATTTTGGGTATGTGTCTTGGGGTCACAACGCCTGATTCTCTTCAGTCAAACAACTAAATGTTCCAAGGCAGAGTACAGAATCCTGGAAGCAATCCACAACCGATACTGGCTATTGTCTTCAAACCTGCTTGCCAACATCCTGGCCGACTCTTGGGCAGGTAAATCCTGGGTCGCATCAGGGGAGGATATTCTTCTCCAGCCAAAGGCCAGGCAGTTCCGTCTGTTTCAAAAGTTGGGCAGGAAAAAGGCAGGAGGCTGGGTAGGAAAAAGGCAACACAGGGCCAGCAGAATCCAGGCACAGGGAAGAATGCTGAGAGGGGACTACAAGCCCTCTGGCAGAGTCAGGTCCTCAAACATCAGGTACTGCTTCAACAGGGGTGGGAGGTCGAAGTCCTTGATGGCTTGGAGCCTGCTGTGACCCAGAGCACTTCGGATGGAGAGGCGGCTGAGGTGCTTCAGGGAGCGCGGCTGCCGGCGGCAAGCCTCCATCCAGGAGATGAGGGCCGGCTGGGAGACGAGACGCTTGGGAGGGGCTCCGGTTCTCTGCAGAAGGAAGAAATAAACAGTGCTCACTTTGGATAGTGGGGGTACGCTCCAGACTTGGGGCTTTTCTAAACAAGATGTCCCATTCATCTGATGTGGCGATTGATTCCAGCAAGGGTACAAGCCTCCAATCCTTGTGCCAGATTTGTTCAAGGCTTTGGGTTACAATTCCCTAATTCCATTGGCCAAGCTGGCTATGGGATTCTGGGAGTTGTAGTTGTCAGAAATATTAAAAATTAACTAGGTATTTTGAATTACAAATATGTAAGTCAAGCACTGAAAGGGTTCTCAACGTGTGGGTCTGCAGATGTTTTGGCCTACAACTCCCAGAAATCCCAGCCAGTTTACCAGCTGTTAGGATTTCTGGGAGTTGAAGGCCAAAACATCTGGGGACCCACAGGTTGAGAACCACTGGTTTATAAGGATGGTCCTGTAAAGATTTTCAGTTCTGACAAAGAATGTCACAAGTAGGTACAGTGTTCCCTTGCTGTTTCATGGTTTGCTTTCCATGGATTTGCTATATATTTTATACATTTTCAGGTTTTAAAAGCACAAAATGTTTAAAAATATATTTAAAATACTAATTCTCAACCCTAATTGCAAAACAGCGAGTCTGCGGAAAGTGAACCACTGCTTGCAGGGGGCTTCTTCTTCTCAGAAGCCCCCTGCGCGGTGGGAAGTTTCCTGGCCAACCAGCAGCATGCCCCGCTCCGCTGCTGAATTGCCAGGGCCGGCTTCCGAACCTCGCCCCGACAGCCTTTGGAGGGCTTCCCTGGGGCTGCTCCATGGCAGCTTTGCGGAAGCCACAGAACCCTGCAGAGGCCCAGGGCAGCCCTACAAAGGCTGCCGTGGCAAGGTTCAGAAGCCGGCCTTGGCGGGGCGGGGCCTGCCACTGGTTGGCCATGGCCAGCTTCCGAATCTCACCCCGGTACCTTTGGAGGGCTTCCCTGAGCCTCTGCAGGGCTCTGTGACCTCCACAAGGCTGCCACAGAGCCCTGCAAAGGCCCAGGGAAGCCCTACAAAGGCCATTACAGGGAGATCTGGAAGCTGGTCATGGCCATTACAGGGGTGGGGTGGGACCTGCCGCTGGTTGGCCAGCCAGCAAAGTGGTGGGAAACTTACCGCTGCACAGGGGGCTTCTGGGAAGAAGCAGCCTCTTGCAAGCAGCATGGCTGACGGGAGGGCACCCACTGCTGTAACGGCCCTTGCCCATTAAGTTAGGCAAGGCATTTCTAATTTTAAATCACAAAATGTCTAAAAATATATTTATAATATATGTAGTGCTCATACTTTGCGGATTTTCACTTATTGCAGGGGGTCCTGGAACGGAAGCCCCGCGATAAGGGAGGGAACACTGTACTAATAGCCCTTTTCTTTGAAACAAACAGTTAAATGGCTGGAAAACCTGATACATGGCTTCAGATCCTATGCACTCCTAAACACCTCTTTGTTTGACCACCGTTAGTTACAGTAGTGACAGAAAGTGACGTCATGGCACTTCTCATTGCTGCTTTGGTCAATACGCTGTAGAGAAAAGAGGTGACAGGCAGGGGCTGCCATTGGGAGGTTAGAGGAGGTTGGCCCCTATCACTCAGATACCTTGTTCCTGTAGGAGATGCAGGCACCAGCCTCCACCAGCAACCGGATACAATCCGTTTGTCCGCTGCAGGCTGCCAGGTACATTGGGGTCACTCCCCAATTGTCCTGCAGGTTTACATCTGCGCCATGCTGGGGAGAAAAACAATTAAGTTGCACTTCAAAATTACAGGGAGAGGCTGGTAATACTTGTATTCTATTATATAGATTATATTATATTATAGTATGATATATACAGGTCTCCTAAATGCCCCCTGGTGGTTAAACCACTGATCTGCTGAATTTGGACTGAAAGGTTGGTGGTTCAAATCTGGGGTGCAAGTTGAGCTCCCGCTGTTATCCCCAGCTTCTGCTAACCTAGCAGTTCAAAAACATGCAAATGTGAGTAGATCAATAGGTACCGCTTCTGCGGGAAGGTAATGGCACTCCCTTCAGTCATGCTGGCCACATGACCTTGGAGATGTCTACGGACAACACTAACTCTTCGGTTTAGAAATGGAGATGAGCACCACCCCTCAGTCAGACACGACTAGGCTTAATTTCAGGGGAAACCTTTCCTTTTACTTACAGGTCTCCCAAACCTGGCTGTTTGAAGCCAGCCAGTCCGAGCCAAGCCCAGAAGTCAATCCTGGGTGTCTTCCGGTCCGGATATGAAGTGATGTGTACCTGTCTCCCTTCATTCTTACCACCCTGAGACAAGCAGGAGCTATGTCTATATCAGTGTTTCTCAACCTGGGGGTCGGGACCCCTGGAGGGGTCGCGAGGGGGTGTCAAAGGGGTCACCAAAGACCATCAGAAAACACAGTATATTCTGTTGCTCATGGGGGTTCTGTTTGACCAAATTGTATCATTGGTGGGGTTCAGAATGCTCTTTGATTGCAGGCGAACTATAAATCCCAGCAAGTACAACTCCCAAATGTCAAGGTCTATTTTCCCCAAACTGCACCAGTGTTCGGATTTGGGCATATTGAGAATTTGTGTCAAGTTTGGTCCAGATCCATCCTAGCTTGAGTCTCTGGATGTAGGTGAACTACAACTCCAAAACTCAAGGTCAATGCCCACCAAACTCTTCCAGTATTTTCTGTTGGTCATGGGAGTTAAATGAACTATAAATCCAGCTACTACAACTCCCAAATGACAAATCAATCCCCCCTGCCCAACCCCACCAGTATTCAAATGTGGGTGTATCGGGTACTGGTGCCAAATTTGGTCCATCCTGCATATACATCCTGCATATCAGATATTTACATTATGATTCACAACAATAACAAAATGACAGTTGTGAAGTCGCAACAAAAACGTCGTTGTGGTTGGGGGTCACCACAACATGAGGAACTACATTAAGGGGTCGCAGCATTAGGAAGGTCGAGAACCACTGGTCTATATGGAGGACAGATTAGCACTTGGAAAATGGCTTGGAGAAGAGGTTAAAAGGTTGCCACCAATCCTTAAATTCACAAGTACTGTAGTAATGGAATTTGTCCTCCGACTTCTCCAGCTGCCAAAGTAACTTCTCATTCTGAAGCTGCAGCCTCAAGAATACAGCAAAAGCATGCAAAATAAGGAATAAATACCCTGAGCTTTGGAAAGTTCCTTTTTTGGACTACAATTCCCCAAATTCTCTGGCTGCTGGGGAGCTGAAGGCCACAAGAAGAACCTTCCCAGATTCCACTGTCAACACAAAGAGGAGCTTCACAACAGTCCTACCTGGATCAGCAGCAAGGTGCAGTCCGGGAAGAGCCCAACAGCCGCATGGAGTGGAGTCCCCCCGTGTTTACAGCATGTGTTGACATTGGCACTGTGCTTCAGCAGCAGCTCCACTGTGTGCCTCTGTCCCTTGTAGGCAGCCCAGTAGAGTGGGGTCTTGCCATAATAATCCTTCCGGTCTACCAGTTCCTTATCTAGAAAGAGAAGCACAATGAACACCTTGGAACTCTGTGAAAACATGTCCTTTGTTTCACATTACATTTACTACACGCCTGCTAAGCCATTCATTTTATTGTTTTAAACAAAATTGTCAGTGTTCTCTCCCAGCAACTACAACTCCCAAATGTCAAGATCTATTTTCCCCAAACTCCACCAGTGTTCACATGTGGACATATTGAGTATTTGTGCCAAGTTTGAGTCCACAGTGCTCTCTGGAGGTAGGTGAACTACAACTCCAAAATTCAAGGTCAATTACCACCAAACGCTTCCAGTTTTTTGTGTTGGTCATGGGAGTTCTGTGTACCAAGTTTGGTTCAATTCCATTGTTGGCGGAGTTCAGAATGCTCCTTGATTGTAGGTGAACTAAAAATCCCAACAACTTCAACTCCCAAATGACAAAATCAATCTCCCTGTCAACCCCACCAATATTCAAATTTGAGCGTATCAGGTATTTGTGCCAAATTGAGTCCAGTGAATGAAAATACATCCTGCATATCAGATATTTACATTATGATTCATAACAGTAGCAAAATTAGAGTTATGAAGTAGCAATGAAAATAATTTTATATTTTGGGGTCACCACAACATGTATTAAGGGGTCGTGGTAATAGGAAGGTAGACAAACACTGCGCTAGATGTAAATGAGTCTGACACCCGTGATTTAAAGGGTAAATAGCTGCTGTTGCAGATTTGTAGAAAAAGTAATTCACAGTGAAGACAGAGAGAAAATAGACAATCCGGGTCTTCTGAAGGGTGCGGGGGCTCACAATATGCCCACCGGAGACTCAGAAAATCTGTCATTTGATTCTCAAGGTGAGATGCAAAACTCTAAAAGGCTGAAAAGGCAATCTCAAACGCATAAAAGGCTCTGCTCAGCCTATCCTCTTTGCCAGGCAGCCTTGGCCACACACCAGAGGTCACCAGGAGTTGCTTCAGCTTCTCCACGTTGCCGCGGCTGGCCTCGTAGTGCAGCTCTGTCCACCGGTAGTTGTAGCTGGGCGCCGCCTGATACCGCTTGGCAGGGTGGCGTGAGGCCTCCGGTGGTGCCCTGTTGCCGTAGGGTGCTCTGGAGAGGGAGCTGATGTAGAAGCCCATCTTGCCGCTGGAGCAGACCCCCTCCGTCCACATGGAGGGGCCTCAGCGGAGCGGGGCAGCATCAACTTCAGAGCTGATCAAGAAAAAGAGAGAAACAGAATCATAGAATCAGAGTTGGAAAAGACCCCAAGGGCCATCCAGTCCAACCACATTTTGCCATGCAGGAAAAGCACAATCAAAGCACCCCTGACAGATGACCATCCATCCTCTGTTTAAAGAAAATGTTTTGATAAAGGCCTTCAAAGAAGGAGATCAGTTGGGTTGCTGTGAGTTTTCTGGGCTGTATATGTTGGGCGAGTGGGCATAGTAACAAAAGACTCTCCTCATACATGTATAGCAGAGCAACACAGTGGTTCTCAAGCTGTGGCTCCCCAGGTGTTTTGGCTCCCCAGGTGTTTTGGCTTACCAGCTGTTAGGATTTCTGGGAGTTGAAGGTCTAAACATCTGGGGACCCACAGATTGGGAACCACTGCATTAGCAGCGGCAGTAGCCCAAAGTGATAAAAAGAACAAAAACACACAGACCAATGTTATCTCTTCCATTCGAGGCTTGTCTTTGTAGTAAAATAATATGGTTGCACTATTTACAAGAACTAAGTTTCCATAACACAAATAACCAAATACATAGTAGCTTTACAAGCTGCAGCCTTCACACTGGAGCTTTCTCACACAAGGCTTCTCTCACACAGAGGTTTACCTCACACTCCTCAGGATGACATTACAGTTTATCTGCAAGACCAGAATCTACAGTTCCATTTATCCATGTCTGACAAAATAGGCATTTCTTAGGTTCTCCAGTCAACAGCTACAGTATTCTTGGGCCAGAAATCCTTCTTTTCAATAGGGGTTGCCTATAGGGGTTGCCTTCCTTTTAATTTGGGACCCAAAGAGAAGACTTTGAAATTTTTGGTGAATCTTTTTCATGGTGCAAATTTGGTCCCTGCTATCCTTCAGCTCATATTAAATCTTTAATTGTCATTAAAAGGTAAAGGTTTCCCCTTGACATTAAGTCTAGCCGTGTCCAACTCTGGGGGGTGGTGCTCATCTCCATTTCTAAGCCGAAGAGCCGGCGTTCTCCATTGACACCTCCAAGGTCATGTGGCAGGCATGACTGTATGGAACACCATTACCTTCCTGCTGGAGCAGTACCTATTATTTGCTCACATTTGCATGTTTTCGAACTTCTACGCTGGCAGAAGCTGGGCCTAACAGCGGGAGCTCACCCCGCTCCCTGGATTCGAACTGCCAACCTTTCGGTCAGCAAGTTCAGCAGCTCAGCGGTTAACCCACTGCCCCACTAGAGGGCCGTAATTGTCATTATGAACCTGGAAAGCTGTCCTTATATCTGGATCTAGCCATTAGACCAACTAGCATTGCTGGTTACTGCCTGGCAGCTATTCTCCAGTTTGGCTATTAAGCTAAGAGTCCAGAATTAATGCAGTTTGACAGAACATTAATAATAATAATAGTAATTTTATTTCTTACTCGCCTCTCCTCATGGCTCAAGGCGAGTTACAACATAGTTAAAACACATAATCATTCTAAACATTCTATGAAACACACATATTAAAATAGGAATTGGCAAACTTTGTCCTCCAGGTGTTTTGGACTTCAACTTCCTATCGGTTGTTAGGAATTGTGGGAGCTGAAGTCCAAAACACCTGGAGGGCCAAAGTTTTCCCATGTTCGATCTACACTGTTAATGCAGTCAGACACCATCTGAACTGCCATGGCTCAATTCTAAGGGATCATTGGGCTTGTAGTTTTTTATAAGATCTTTAGCTTTTTCTGCCAAAGAGTAGGAATTGTGGGAGTTGAAGTCCAAAACACCTGGAGGGCCCAAGTCTGCCCATGCTTGATGTAGATGCCCTCCAAAATACAACCCCTAGGATCCCATAGCATTTAGCCATGGCAGTTATAGCGGTATCAGAGTGCATTAAGTCTACAGTGAAGTGATGCACTCAAAACTAGAGTAGGAATTGTGGGAGTTGAAGACCAAAACACCTGGAGGGCCCAAGTTTGACCATACCTCGTGTAGATGCACCCCAAACTACAACTCCCAGGATCCCATAGCATTTAGCCATGGCAGTTATAGTGGTATCAGAGTGCATTAAGTCTACAATGAAGCGATGCACCCAAAACTAGAGTAGGAACTGTGGGAGTTGAAGTCCAACACACCTGGAGGGCCCAAGTTGGCCCATGCTTGATGTAGATGCACCCCAAAATACAACTCCCCAGGATCCCATAGCATTTAGCCATGGCAATTATAGAGTGCATTAAGTCTACAGTGTTGAGATGCACCCAAAATTACAACTCCCACCATTCCACCATACTGAGTCATAGCAAATCAGGTGGTATCAAACTTCAATGTAAATGCATCCAAGCAAAGATGCAGCCCTGTTGTTTATTTATTTACTCCTGATGGAGAGCAACCACCAGGGATCTTTCAGGCCTCGTGATCACTGGATCCTATCATGCACTGGATCCTATCATGCAAGAAAATTGACATGCTCAGCCCTAATAGAGAGGTGAAATCTCCATCACTGCTGTTGTCTAGAGGTGCAACCGCGGATGGCGGGGGAGTGGTCCCAAATCGCGGATGCCGGGACCCCCTCTTTTTCTTTCTTTCTTTCCTCCTATCCCCACTCGTGGATTTTAGGGGTGGGGGAGAGCCTTTTCCCCAACCTTCCGAAAGCTCACCTCTTTCTGGAGCTCCTCCAAGCGGCCTCTCCTCCAACCCTTCGCCCTGCTGCATCCAGAGGAAGAGGAGGAGGAGAAGGAGGCAGGCAGATAGGGCAGCTGGGAGTTGTAGTCCGCCTCTTCCCAAGAGGAGTGGCCAGGGCTGCCGAGGGAAGCCCAGCCCTCTATCTATCTCTCTCTCTCCTCCCAGCTGATGCTTGCAAGAGAGAGCAGAGCTGCATTGCAAGATCTGTAGATCAATACAGAATGGAAGCTGCAAAGTGTTTTGGAAGGATGAACCTACAATTGGAAAAGAACAGTGGGAGATTCCTCTAGTATAGGGATAGATAAACGGTTTGCTCTGTGTAAAGTGCTTGGTAGGTATCTCAGAGATCTCACATCCCTTGTTGGTGAGCCTATACCAATATTTTTCCACCTTCCTAATGCCCTGACCCCTTAACACAGTTCCTCATGTTGTGGTGTCCCCCAACCATAACATTATTTTCATTGCTACTTCATAACTCTAATTTTGCTACTGTTATGAATCATAATGTAAATATCTGATATGCAGGATGCATTTTCATTCACTGGACCAAATTTGGCACAAATACCACATATGTCGAAATGTGAACATTTGGGGGAAATAGACCTTGTCTTTTGGGAGTCATAGTTGCTGGGATTTATAGTTCACCTACAATCAGAGCTTTCTGAACTCCGCCAACGATGGAATTGAGCCAAACTTGGCACACAGAACTTCCATAGCCAACAGAAAAATACTGGAAGGGTCTGGTGGGCATTGATATTGAGTTTTAGAGTTGTAGTTCACCTCCATCAGAGAGGACTGTGGATTCGAACAATGATAGATCCAGACCAAACTTGTCACGAATATTCAATATGCCCAAATTTGAACACTGGTGGACTTTGGGGGAAATAGACTTTGACATTTGGGAGTTGTAGTTGCTGGGATTTATAGTTCACCCACAATTACAGAGCATTCTGAACCCCACCAATGATAGAATTGGGCCAAACCTCCCACACAGAACCCCCATGTGGGCCACAGCAACGCATGGCAGGGGACAGCTAGTCATAATGTAAATATCTGATATGCAGGATGTATTTTCATTAACTGGACCAAATTTGGCACAAATACCCCATATGTCAAAATGTGAACACTGGTGGAGTTTGGAGAAAATAGACCTTGTCATTTGGGAGTTGTAGTTGCTGGGATTTATAGTTCACCTACAATCAGAGAGCATTCTGAACTCCACCTACAATGGAATTGAGCCAAACTTGGCACACAGAACTTCCATGACCAACTGAAAATACTGGAAGGGTATGTTAGGCATTGATACTGAGTTTTAGAGTTGTAGTTCACCTCCATCCAGAGAGCACTGTGGATTCAAACAATGATAGATCCGGACCAAACTTGTCACAAATACTCAATATGCCCAAATTTGAACACTGGTGGACTTTGGGGAAAATAGACTTTGACATTTGGGAGTTGTAGTTGCTGGGATTTATAGTTCACCTACAATCAAAGAGCATTCTGAACTCCACTGACGATGGAATTGAACCAAACTTGGCACACAGAACTCCCATGACCAACAGAAAAGACTGGAAGGGTTTGGTGGGCATTGACCTTGAGTTTTGGAGTTGTTGTTCTACCTCCAGAGAGCACTGTGGACTCAAACAATGATGTTGACTTTTAGTATCACAGCATTCCTTTCTAAGTGATTGCAGACTGCCTCCTTTATAATCTGCTCCAGAATCTTCCCTAGTATTGATGTCAGGCTGACTGGACAGTAATTGTTTGGGTCCTCTTTTTTCCTTTCTCGAAAATAAGGACAACATTCACCCTCCTCCAGTCTGCTGGGACTTGTGTTCTCCAAGAATTCCAAAAGATTATTGCCAGTGGTTCTGAAATGACTTCTGTTAGTTCCCCCAATACTCTTGGATGTAGTTCATCAGGTCCTGACAGCAAACCCTTTTGAAAAGAACATCTGATAGAAGCATACCATTGAATTGCACTGGAGGATCTAGAAAATGCCTTACTTGCATTTTTAGGTCCTTCAGTGCATCTCTGTAGTCAACTTCAGGTGAAGGCTTACCATAGAATTGTGCCGGAGATTACTTTTATTTGTATGTATGTTAAGTTCCACAGATATTGGGACCATATTATATTGCAAAGGGAAGAAGGGATTGCCACCTTCTGTGGAGACACATCATACAAGGTGGAGTTTTGGTTGTGAATGGCACTAACAAGAAGTTGACTCAATGCTAAATGTAAAGACTTCATTTCCCACAAAATCACAAGTCGAACACTTCCCAAGCGTTTAGGACTTTTTTGAATGTATTTTTGAATGATGCGTGCAGATCCAAGTAAGGTGGCCTTTTTGCAGTTGACAGATCGTGATTTTGTCAATGTTTATTGTTTTCAAATCCCGTCTGAGATCTTTTGGCATGACAATCAGTGTGCCGAATACCATTGGGACCACCTGTACTGGTTTATGCCAGAGCCTTTGCAGTTCAATTTTGAGGTCCTAATAACAGCTGAGTTTTTCTTGTTGTTTTTTGTCAATTCGGCTGTCACCTGGTATGGCAACATCAATAAGCCAAACATTTTTCTTTTCCACAATCGTGATGTCTGGTGTATTATGTTCCAAAACTTTGTCAGTCTGTATTCAAAAGTCCCACAGTATTTTTGCGTGTTCATTTCCCACTACCTTTGCAGGTTTATGATCCCACCTATGCTACTCTGTTGCTGAGTATGCATGCCCAGTGTGGAACACATCTCACCACACTAAAACAGTGGATGTGGCTCTTAATGAGACATGCCGCATTATCACGGGGTGTCTGCGCCCTACACCACTGGAGAAATTACACTGCTTAGCTGGTATTGCACCACCTGACATCCGCTGGGAAGTAGCAGCCAATAGTGAAAGGACCAAGGCAGTGACATCTCCAGCTCATCCCTTGTTTGGGCATCAGCCAGCATGCTAACGACTTAAATCAAGAAATAGTTTTCTAAGATCTACAGAGACACTCGCTGAAACACCTCAGCAAGCGAGAGTCCAAAAGTGGCAGGCTCAAACCCAGAGCCTCAATCAATGGGTGATGCCCAATGAGAGACTCCCCCCTGGGCACACAGAAGACTGGGTGACTTGGAAGGCGCTGAACAGACTGCGCTCTGGCACCACGAGATGCAGAGCCAACCTTAAGAAATGGGGCTACAAAGTGGATTCCACAACATGCGAGTGTGGAGAAGAGCAAACTACAGACCACCTGCTGCAATGCAACCTGAGTCCTGCCACATGCACAATGGAGGACCTTCTTGCGGCAACACCAGAAGCACTCCAAGTGGCCAGATACTGATCAAAGGAAATTTAATCAACTACCAAGCTTGCAAACTCTGTGTCTTTCGTATGTTTGTTTGTTTGTTCTGTCAAAAATGTAATACAACTGTTCGGTTGCCTTGTGAGAGATGCTTGTGACATAGGTTCCAATGAATCATTTGGGCCGCATAGTTGTGCCTCTGTTTGTAGTAATTATATTGCCAATATCTTTATTATACTGTGATATCTATAATTTCCCCGCAACAGCTTTTGTAAATCAAGCTGCAAAAGCTCTTGGTTGCTTGGGCCGGATCTACACTGCCCTATATCCCAGGATCTGATCCCAGGTTATCAGCTTTGAACTGGATTATGTATCTACAGATAATCTGGGATCAGATCCTGGGATACAGGGCAGTGTAGATCCAGCCTTGGAGAGAAGAATGTGGAAAAGTGTGGCTTGCTGTCTGAATCTATCTGCTGCTAAAAGCTCATTGGCAGAGCCATTAAATCCGTGGCAGTGGAACTTCTCCCATAGCAGTAATGTGTCATTGAGGAAGCCAATGACATAAAAAAGCCAGGAGACGGAGCCTTGGTCTGTGTTGTATATTAAAGTTTATTGAATTACCGTGTAAGAATTTTGCTCTGTAATAAAGTCATCTGGGATCTAAACTGATTATTTACAGACACAACTTCTCGTTTCATGATAAAATTCCTACTTTGCTCAGAACAGTATCTACAATAACATTATCATACTATGGAACAAAACAAAACAGGCTGGGGTTTTTTTCTTGTCAAGCTTTCCAGATTAATAATAATTAATTATCTGATCAGTTGAGGAAAAAAAATTCTGAGGAACTGGAACAGAACACACAGAGAGGACAGAAACAAGGTAAAGATATACCAAGTTCCCCCAGGTTTGGAGAAGGGAAACGGTTTCCCAAAACCCACCGTAAACAGCTGCTTTCTACAGACTTTAATCGTCATTGAGGAAGTTCCCGCAACCATGTATTATGCATAATATGAAAGTCAGAACTGCCTGTTTTCTTTTGAATACAGCCACCTTTAAAAAATATGTAGGCTGAAGAATTGGGTGAGGAGCCTTTAGACCTCCAAATAATTTGGACAGCAACGCTCCTATTCCCTTATCAATGTCAAGGGATTCTAGTATCCCTCGAAGGTTCCCCACTTGGCAGAATCCTGACTGGAGCTCCCATCAGAGGTAGTAACTAGACAGCCAAAAATATGTTTTCAGCTACCAGACCAGTCTTGGAATGGGGATAACTCCTCCAATAGCACTGCTGAGCATGTACAAAATGTCTTTCTTTCAGCATCGGGTCAATGGAGCTCCATGCCATCTTCTATTGAGGAAGAACTTGTCCTAAGATGACTCAAGCCCCATCATTTCTCATTTGAGGTGGTAACGACAAAAGTAAGAGGTGAGGTTGGGGGAAAAACATATAAGCCTGAGAGCTTTAAGTATAGCTGCAAAAATATGTGTTACTGCCATTGGCTGCAGAGCACAAGAGGCACAAGATAGGTGACGTCTTAATATTGCAGGTGCGACTATTGTTGTCATGTGCCTTCAAGTCATTTTCCGATGTATGGCAACCCTAAGGCAAGCCTATTATGGGGTTTTCTTGGCAAGATTTGTTCAGAAGGGGCTTTGCTTTGGCCCCCTTCTGAGGCTGAGAGAGTGTGTTTTGCCCAAGGTCAGCTACTGGGTTTCCATGGCCAAGCAAGGATTCAGATTATGGTCTCCAGAGTCATAGTGCAACCCTCAAACCATTAGATGATCATGCTGACTGTAGAATCAGAGAGTAGAAAGAGACCTCCTGGACCATCTAGTCCAACCTCCTTTCAAGAAGCAGGAAAGTTGGATTCAAAGCACCCCCGACAGATGGCCATCTAGCCTCTGCTTAAAAGCCTCCAAAGAAGGAGCCACCACCACACTCTGGGGCAGAGTGTTCCACTGCTGAGCAGCTCTCACAGTTAGAAGTTCTTCCTAATGTTCAAGTGGAATCTGCTTTCCTGTAATTTGAAGCCATTGTTCTGCATCCTAGTCTTCAGGGCAGTAGAAAACATGCCTGCTGCCTCCTCCCTATGAATCCCCCCCTCATATTTACATCATGTCTCCTCTCAGCCTTCTCTTCTGCAGGCTAAACATGCCCAGCAATTTAAGCCACTCCTCATAGGGCTTGTACTCCAGACACTTGATCATTTGAGTCGCCCTCCTCTGGACACATTCCAGCTTGTCCACATCTCCCTTCAACTGTGGTGCCCAGAATTGGACATAGTATTCTAGGTGTGGTCTGACCAAAGCAGAGTAGCATGAGAACCATAATGGAGTTTTGGGCTATTCGAGTCTTAATATTAACAAAGATATTTCCCTAAGCACCTGAGCACATGAAAGTTACTAGGTAAAGTAAGCCAATATGATAATCAGCAATCCTCAAGTAGTAAGTGCAACACTGTGGCTAAAAGAGAAATCGCTGGCTTAAGGCACTAGGGAAAAGATTATCGCTAGGCTTGGAACCAGGAAAGTTAAGATTTATGAGCAGATATATTTCTTACTCAACACTGAGAGAATGTTCTCCAACTAGGGCCATGCTTTATGTGTTGGACTACAACTCCCATTGCCAAATGAACATCCTGACAAGGGCTAGTAGGATTTGTAGTTGAATGCATGAGGAGCCCCTGGTGGCATAATGGGTTAAACCCTTGTGCCAGCAGGACTGCTGACCGAAAAGTTGGTAGTTCAAATCCGGGGAGGGAGGTGAGCTCCCATCTATCAGCTCCAGCTTCTCATTGAGGAATGTGAGAGAAGCCTCCCACAGAATGGTAAAACATCCAGGCATCCCCTGGGCAACATTCTAATTCTCTTACATCAGAAGCAACTTGCAGTTACTCAAGTCACTCCTGACAGGAAAAAAAAAGTTGAACACATCCAGAGTTTATGGAAGGCTGCATGTAACTTAGACCCAAGGACAGGCATGACCCAGGAATAAAGAAAAAAAGTTACAATCCATGGATTCTGCATCCACTCAATCAGCCACATCTGCAAATATTTGGGGGAAAATACAAAATGCAAATGATTTTGCCACACACCGAGCATTATACTGATGTGTACGCATCCCCTGCTGCAGTCTCCTGTCATTTCACAGATCCTGGGGCTGTCTCTGGCACTTGTTTGTTATTTACCATTGTTTATAATGGGACTTGAACATACATGAGGTGCAGGTCCAATCTTCAGAAATGGCGCTACAAAGTGGAGTCCACGTCATGTAAGTGTGGAGAAGAGCAAACCACAGACCACCTACTACAATGCAACCTGAGCCCTACCACATACACAATGGAGGACCTTCTTACGACGACACCAGAGACATTCCAAGATGAGTCCAAGGCAAACATTACATATGTTTTGCTGCCCGAGGATGCAGCAATGAGAAAACCTGCACCCTTTTGAGTGTTTGTTGTGTAGAGCCCTGCCAAAAAACCCCAAAAACAAACAAACCCTGACAGTCTTATTAGATGGTTTGCAAGAAAGGATGGGGGCACCTCCAGTGTAAAATAACACAACCCTACAAAAGAAGAACCCACATCTAAAGAAACAAGAAGAAAGAAAGGAATGTTAGCAGTGTTGATGTGGCGGTTTCTTCTGAGAAGAAGGGATGCAGAACAATGCAGAAGTGCCTCACCTGGGACCTTTTCACATTATGCAGTCATGGAACTATGATTCCACCTCAGCTGCCATCCTCCCAGTAGACTCAAATCAAGGAAAAGCTTCATGAGAAACCATCACTCCTCAATGTTCCCCAGCTTAAGCAGCTGAGGGGGAAAAGGAAAGGGCCTGAGACTGTTAGGAATTGTGGGAGTTGAAGTCCAGCACACCTGGAGGGCCCAAGTTGGCCCATGCCTGGTGTAGATGCATCCCAAACTACAACTCCCAGGATCCCACAGCATTTAGCCATGGTATCAGAGTGCATTAAATCTACAGTGTAGACATACACTCAAAGCTACAACTCCCACCATTCCACAGTACCGATTCATTTCCAAAGCAGGTGGAAAAGGAAGGGGTCTGAGGCTATTAGGAATTGTGGGGGATTTAAGTCCAAAATCTAGAGGAATGAGTAAGTTATGGTTTTTGTGGCATGGATACTCATATCAAAGCAATTCAAGCTGCCTATAGGTTCAAGTGCTCTTCCCTGATGGCCAAAGAAGCTGGAAAAACGAGCATAAACATTTGGCAAGTTCAACTATAGGCATGGAAATAGTAAAGGCTGCCTTGGGAGGGAGAGAGATTTCAATCTCAGATTACAGAAGATGCCAGGACTATAAACAAGTGGTGTAAAAATGTAAGTCAAGTCTGGCAGAGTGAGTCTAGAAAGCCCCCATGGGGGACACGGGCAGAGTCAAGGAAAGTTCCTGTTTGGAGTATAGCTCCCAGAATCCCCAGCCAGAAAGTTGAGTGGAGCTTCGAGGAGCTGTCCTCCCAAGTAACTTTCTAGGCAGTTCAATGTCAATGTATTGTCGAAGGCTTCCATGGCTGGAATTACTGAGCTGTTGTAGATTTTTCGGGCTATATGGCTATGTTCTAGAAGCATTCTCTCCTGACGTTTTGCCTGCATCTATGGCAGGCATCCTCAGAGGTTGTGAAGTCCTCTGAGGATGCCTGCCATAGATGCAGGTGAAACGTCAGGAGAGAATGCTTCTAGAACATGGCCATATAACCCAAAAAACCTACAACAACCCAGTTCAATGTCAGTTGGTGGCAGGAAGGAACTTCACGAAAGTGGGTTATTGCTAGAGGAGAAGTGCTAGCTCAAAAGGCAAGGGGGGTGTTTTAAATCATGTGCTCAAATACTCCCCCCACCCCACCTCAAGTCTGCAATGTGATCTACAAAGCAGCAGAAAGCGGAGAATGTGAGGCATTCAGAAGAAAGGAGGGCTTCGTTTGTGCTTTCTGAGAACAGGATGATGGTGCGGGCAGTAGCTCTGCCTGAAGAAACAGTTGCAGAACCAAGAGCCTTTGCTGGGGGCTGCGAGGACCAACTTGACAGTTTGATGGGAGTCCCAGGCACCTTTGAATTGCAGGCCAATTCTTCCTTCCTCAGCCTGTACCTTTGCGTTTGTCCTAGCCTGCCTTGAAGCCATGATTTTGGAAGAGAAAAGGAAGTGCCACCAGGTACCACAAGGGATACACTCCACGGTCAATCTGGGGAAATGGGAGTTCTCCCTGCTACTTAGTCAAGGGACAGTTATTTTCTCTCTTGTGGTCCCAGCTTAATCAGTTAAGGTCTTTGCCTGCAACAAAATCCTTAGTAACTTCATGCTGCAAGGCAAGGATGCAACATCGTCTTGTGTGGCTAAAGCAAGCCTCTTCCTCCCATGGCCTCCTGTCTGCTTGACTTGGCTCATCCAGAGGGTGCTTAGGTTCCATTTACAGAAAGATCTTCCCTAAGCAATGTTTATTATTATCACCATTATTTTTACTATTTGCAACAAGTCTGTAAAAAAGAGAGAGAGGGCGAGAAGAGAGAATCCACTGGCACACTTGGCCCCTTGCGCTTGGCATTTCCTGGTCTGCTCCTCTTTCCGCCTCAATGTGGAGCACGTGGTCCTGATTGCACAGCAGGAGGTTGTCTGTCCCCCTGCTTCACTCGTCTGACTGTCCCTCTGTCCTGAGCACATCACAAGTCCGTGACTTTGTTCTCCACGGCTGCCGCAATCTGTTGCAAACGGTACCCCAGCTGCATCTTTTGGGCTGTCGGGTCCTCCTCCAATGCCGTAATGATCTACAAGGAGATGTAGAGTTTTTAAGAAGATGGGTGGGCTATTGGGGGAAGTGCAGTAAACAATAAGCATATCAATGTTTTGTCAAAGGCTTTCATGGCCGGAATCACTGGGTTGTTGTAGGTTTTTTGGGCTGTATGGCCATATTCTAGAAACATTCTCTCTTGACGTTTCACCTGCATCTATGGAAGGCATCCTCAGGGGTTGTGAGGTCTGACCGTCTGGGATTTAGCTCTTGTTTCTTTCTACAGTTGGGGAGGTCTTGGGCTATTATATCTGTTGTTATATTTTTGGCTAAACATTATAATTATGATGTGAACATCTTGGAGAGTGGGTCTGTACCCTGGCTCAGTTATGCCAAAGTAACTAAGCTCCTTGTATTGCTGAAGGCTTTCATGGCCAAAATCACTGGGTTGCTGTATGGCCATGTTCTAGAAGCATTCTCTCCTGATGTTTCACCTGCATCTATGGGAGGCATCCTCAGAGGTTGTGAGGTCTGACTTCACAACCTCTGAGGATGTCTGCCATAGATGCAGGTGAAACGTCAGGAGAGAATGCTTCTAGAACAAGACCATACAGTCCAAAAAACCTACAACAACCCAATAAACATATCCCAATACATGAAAATTACTACAGATTGGGTATTCTTCATCCACAATACTTTGGATCAAGAGTGTTTATTTATTTAAAACTTTTATATCCCGATCTTCTCTACCTCCCTGGAGGGACTCAGACCAGCTAACAGCAAGAATTCAATGCTAATAATAAGTCTAAAACATCATACGACAACAATAGATTAAAATACATATAGAATAAAATACATATCAGCCAGTTCGCCAAGATAAAATCATGTCCAACTCAGTCCACATATGTGGTCAATAACTTTAGTCTATACCGGTCTCAGCCATTATTCTGGGAATGCTTCATTCCATAGCCAGGATTTCACTAGCTTCCTGAAGGTCAGGAGGACCTTCTATATTCTATATTTCTATATTTTTGATTTTTTTCAGATTTTGGAACACCTGTAACATACATAATGTGTATCTAATTGAATACCTTTGAGAAGTGGATCTTGTGCTTATTCATCTCTAGATCCTCAGTGTCTCTTTTTGCCACCTGCTTCCACCACCTTTTCAGGCTGAAGAGAGACTGAGCATCTGAGAGATGAACAAGCAGGAATGCTCTAGCTGCTAACTCAAAGGTTTCAGGTTTTGGAGTTTTTGGATTTCTGGATAAGGAAGGCTCAGTCACAAGAATTACTGTCTAGAATTGCGAGAGTCAATGCTTTGTATTAGACAGTGGAATTATTAGACAAACCACTAGATTCTCAAGCTTAAATGTATCTACTAATTAGTCTTCCAAAATAAAAACACATAACAACCCCTCTCACCTGGTCATAATACTTGTTGATGTATTTGTAGAGTTCATGCAGAGCCACCAAGGAATTGAGTTCACCTGAGTAATTCTGGAATTGGGAGATAAATGCTGTTAGTTACCTTGGAAGCCAAAGACCCACCGCTTCACAGCAATTGGCCACTCTCAGGAGCTGCGGAACAAGTCATAAACTAGGGAAGCAATGAATTAAAGCAGTGGTTCCCAACCTTTTTTTGACCAGGCACCATTTTGACCAGGGATGACATTAGTTCCAAAGGGTTACAAATCAGTTTTTGGTCAACTTTAAATTTGGTTCGATTATTTGGGGGGCTGATTCAGAAAATTGCATTGGATAGACCACACCAGCTCTAGTTTCTGATACAGATCATATGCATCCAGTAGTCACCATCTGCTTGCCCACAGAAAACCATATTTAATAAGCCTCGGCGCTATAAGAGGGTTTCACGAGACCAACAGAAAATCCGGGTGTCCCCTGGGCAACGTCCTTGCAGACAGCCAATTCTCTCACATAAGGAGTGACTTGCAGTTTCTCAAGTCACTCCACACACACACACACACACACACACACAAAACCAACAGAAAATACTGGAGGGGCTTGGGGGAATTGACTCAGGATGTTGGAAGCTGTAGTTCACCTACAATTAGGGCACTCTGAAGATGGATCTGGACCAAACTTGGCACACATATCCATCATGACCAACTTTAAATACTGATGGGCTTTGGGGGAATTGGGCAGGGAGATTGGGAGCTATAGTTCACCCACATCCAGAGAGCACTGTGAACTCTACCAATAATGGATCTGAACCAAACTCGGTACACTTACCCACTATGTCCAACTTTAACAACTGGTGCAGTTTTGGGCCAATAACAAATGATGATTTGAAGTTGTAGTTTACCCACATCTTTATGCATTTCCTAATGAACCCATTTAGAAAACTCAAAATCCAACAATGACTACTTCTAATATTTATGCATACAAAATCCCTAATCCAGGTATTGCTGAGTACCTAAACTAGTCCTACAATAGAGAGGCGGGTGGTAGGGCAATCTAGTACTGATATTGCTTTTGGCATTACTACAAGTACCATGTGCCAGGATTCTTTGGCTTTTCAGAATTATAGCACAATGATCCCACTTTAACTGCCATGGTTTATCCTGTCAACTCGGAATCCTTAACTTTGTGAGGCACTAATTCTAAATACCCTTAAAGTACAAATCCCAGAATTCCTTGGATGGAAATGTGACAATTCAAGTAGAAACATAGTGTTTTGTGTAATATGAAAGAGTATCTGATCTAACAGCTTTACTGCTAGCATAAAAACAAAGGCAAACCCTCTTGACTCAGGTTCAAATAAAACAGTCTTTCCCAACCTTTGGGCCTCCAGGTGTTTTGGACTTCAACCCCCAGAAATCCCAGCAAGCTTACCAACTGTTAGGAATTGTGGGAGCTGGAGCCCAAAACACCTGGAAGGCCAAAGGTTGGGAACCACTGAAATAAAAGGATAAGCCAGCAACATAACTAGGAGAGTACTTACTCGTGATAGCTCAGCCAGAGCAGAATTCATCTCCTGGTCACTGGCAGAGATGGTTTGACGGATATCTGCATAGTACCTGCAGAATGGAAATGATTATTGTTTATTTCTCCTCCCAACTTCCCACTTTCCTCCCTATGTCGAGGCATCCAGCTTGCCCTCCCATCTCACCTTTCCACCATCTGTTTGTAGCGTGGAATGTCACGGGCGTAGAGCAGCTTGTTAATGGGAGAGTCCTGGAAGAGAAATAATAGGAGCAAAATATTAGTGACTGTGACCAGAGATATTAGACAGATGGAGGTGGGACTGAGGGCATAAAGGACAGGAACCATTGAATCATAGAATCATAGAATCACAGAGTTGGAAGAGACCTCGTGGACCATCCAGTCCAACCCCCTGCCAACTCTGAAGGTGATCAGGATTGCTGTGACATCACCCCACTCATCAAAAATGGTGGCTATGATGCTATGATGCAGTTCACAATGAACATGGAGTGGTGCTGTTCTTTGACCTTTTGGGTGTTTCTCGGCAAGATTTATTCAGAAGGGGTTTGCCACTCTCTGAGGATGTGGCCCAATACTTACCCGGCCCAGCTTGTGGTCAGCAAGGGTGCAGGAGTCCATGAAGGTTTGAGCAATGACCAACAGCACAGCATCCACATTATCTGATGTCTGCACATCAAAGACAAACTGTGGGTTCTTGATTATGTTGATCCAGAACCTCAGAGGCAGGCTGTGGAAAGAAGAACAGCTCAGTTAGCCATATCTTGGGATGCTTTAGCATGGTAGAGGCTAGGACCAGAAGGTCCTTGGGACAATCCCTTCCAACTTTATGAGGGAGTGGACAACATAATCTGCATGTGAAATGTTTTGGCAGCAGGAACTAAATTAGGAATTTCTGATGCACTTAGGCAAAGGAGATGCAACACTAGAAGCGTTAGTAGAAAACACATTAAAAGATATGTTCATGGGGTCGGGAGGGGGGCAGGAGGGTGATTTTAATTTGACTCAGTGAGGATATGGGAAAAGGTCTAGCCTTGCATCAGGGACAGCTCCTACTTGGATTGGGCTCTCACTGTATAACTCTAGTGCAGTGTTTCTCAACCTTCCTAATGCCGTGACCCCTTAAATACACGACCCCCAACCATAAAATTGTTTTCGTTGCTACTTCATAACTGTAATTTTGCTACTGTTATGAATCGTAACATAAATATTTGATATCCAGAATGTATTTTCATTCACTAGACCAAATTTGGCACAAATAACCAGTATGGACAAATTTGAATACTGGTGGGGTTGGGGGGATTATTATTGGTCATTTGGGAGTTCTAGTTGCTGGAACTTATGGTTAACCTATGATCAAAGAGCATTCTGAACTCCACCAATGATGGAATTGAACCAAACTTGGCACRCAGAACTCCCACGACCAACAGAAAATACTTGAAGGATTTGGTGGGCATTGACCTTGRGTTTTGGAGTTGTAGTTCACCTACATCCAGAGCATGGTAGACTCCAGCAATGATTTATCTGGACCAAACTTGGCACGAATACTTAATATACCCAAATGTGAACACRGGTGGAGTTTGGGGAAAATAGACTTCGACATTYGGAAGTTTTAGTTGCTGGGATTTATAGTTCACCTATAATCAAAGAGCCCCTTGAACCCCATCAACGAGAGAATTGGGCCAAAATTCCCACACAAAACCCCCATGACCAATGGAAAATACCAAAGGGRTTTGGGAGGAATTGACAGTGATTTAGGGGAGATGTAGTTCACCTACATCCAGAGAGCACTGTGAATCCAAGCAATGATGGATCTGGACCAAATTTGGCACAAATTTGTCTGGCCAATCACAGCAGAAGGAGGAAGAGAAGGACAGAGAGATCTTCAGACTTCTCTTCTRAGACTATCAGAAATATGTGTTTCCTGATGGCTTTTGGTGACCCCTCTGAAACCCCCCTCATGACCCACCCCCAGGGGTCCTGACCCCCATGTTAAGAAATGCTGGTCTAAGCCATCACAACTCCCAGCTATAATCCCATAGAAAATGCCTCTCTCTATTAACTTTCCTAATAAAAAAACAACGGCAGTCTGCTTAATGTTGCATATGGTTCTTAGATTGTTTCATGTGGATCTGCAAAATCTGTGTCACCACCAATGTATTAAAATACTTTGAGCAGGTGATATTCTCTGAGCTTCAGTTCTCTCACCAAGAAAATAGGGATAACAAGCACCTTGCCCATATTGTTGCTGTGAAGAGGCAGTGAAAACAGGAGGGACTGCTGTTGATCTTTTGCCTCAATATTTTTTGTGGCAGGCAACATCCGTGTGATATTCTGCTTTTGGGGAAACTCTAAGGGCAGAAGCTTTGACCACATACCTGTTTGTCTTCCAGATATGGATGGTTTCTGGATCTGTGATCCCATGACTCAATGCCCGCTCGTCCAGCAGGTCAAAGAAATACTTCACAGCCAGTGGGACTGGACGGCTGGTACTGAGGATCACTTGGAACAAGTCATCCACAAACTTTTGAAGTGTTCCCTGCAGGAAGAGGCAGACCACGAATTTTAGGTCAGAAACAACAACAACCGATTTTGGAAACATATAGTGATTTTGGAGGGCTACAAGCTTCCCTTGGGCTGCACCTTGTCCACAGGGATTGTAAATATTACAAGTTTCATTTTCATGAGCAACCCATGTTGGATTATAATAAGTTTCCAAAACCAACACAGCGAATGTATGCATTTTTACAGAGCACTATACCTAACTGTTTGCCAAGGGACTTTTTTTTTGGACAGTGGGTGAAGGAATGAAACCTGAAGGGATATTGATGAAGGAAGGAAGGGGGGAAAAATAACAGAATTCGAGAGACTCTTCTTTACCTTCATGGAGAGGAGGCGGGTAAGATAGATCTCTGGGATGGCCTTGGCTCTCTCCCGCTCACGTAGACTCCCTCGGCGATGTTTTGGCAGCTCAGGCTCCTCCGTAGGCTTCACCAGGTGCCAAAGCTTCATCCCACCTTCGTCAGCATCTTCCAGCATTGGAGTCTCTAAAGCACAGAAAGCGAAGAGGTTGAATCAGTGTTTAAGTTTGGAAACTAGTTTCTGAGAGAAAACATTTGTTATGCCATTTACAGTAGATATTACCCATTCTGCAAAAGCCTCTTATGTACAGAATATAGCAATTCTGCCTATATTTCTTTATAGATACTTCCAAACCATTCGGGATGGTTAACAACTAAAATGAATGATGAAATGCAGGTAGAGTATCTAAAATGCAGGTAGAGTATTCTTTATCCAAAATGCTTGGAACCAGAAATGCTTTGGATTCTGATTTTTTCCTCCAGAATTTGGAATACCTATAATTGCACCTGTGTACACAATGAGATATCTTGGAGATGAGACCCACTCTAACTATGAAATTAATTTATCTTTCACATTCATTTTCTAAACATAGCCTGGGGGTGATTTTATACATTATTTTTAAATACTTTTGTGTACGGAACAAGTTTCGTGTCCACTAAACCATCCTGAAAACAAAGGCCTCACTATTTTGGCCACTGACGAGGAGAATTTTAGATGTGAGAGTATTTTGGATTTTGGAAAAAGGGGTGTTGAGCCTGTGTAGTAAAATTTCTTAAACAATAGAAATATAACAAAACATGAAGACATAGTACTTAAATAATTGAAAAACAACTTATTAAATTAGAAGGTCTTCACCCTACGGTCAAATGTGGTTAATTTTACTCAGTGAGGATATGGGAAAAGGTCTAACCCACCACAGTTTTTATGTGTGGAATTTACTCTCATAATAATTCTGTATGATGGCTAGGGAGCAAAGGGAAACTGACTGGCCCAAGGCCACCCAGGGAGCTTAATAGGAGAGAGTGGATATGAACCTGAGACTAGCCCAATATGTTTAACCACTATAGCACTATAATTATTTTAAGTCAAAGTTATATGCAGTAATTCGTTATTATTGTTTCTTTGTGATAGCATTGATTTTTTACCATTAATATGTTACAATATTAATGGTGGAGCAATGGGTTAAACCCTTGTGCCAGCAGGACTGAAGACCAACAGGTCAGAGGTTTGGATCCAGGGGGAGCATGGATGAGCTCCCTTTATCAGCTCCAACTCCCCATGCAGGGACACGAGAGAAGCCTCCCACAAGGATGGTAAAACACCAAGCATCCGTGCGTCCCCTGGGCAATGTTCTCGCAGATGACCAGCTCTCTCACACGAGAAGCTACTTGCAATTTATCAAGTCGCTCCTGACACAAAAAAACAAACAAACAAATGTGTCTCTTTTCTTTTTTCTCCACCCACTTTGTCAGTCCCAGCTTTATCTGGTCTGACTTGGCCATGGTGGTCCACGCTCTAGTTACATCCCGAATAGATTACTGCAACGCACTCTACGTGGGATTGCCTTTGAAGACTGCTCGGAGACTTCAACTAGCCCAACAGGCAGCAGCCAGATTACTCACCGGAGCGCCATACAGAGCGCTCCATACCATCCCCCTGCTGTATCAGCTCCACTGGCTGCTGGTCCACCTCCGAGCACAATTCAAAGTGCTGGTCTCTGCCTACAAAACCCTATATGGCTCCGGCCCAGCTTACTTGTCCGAACGTATCTCTCTCTACGTTTCACCTCGTAATTTAAGATCTACTGGGGAGGCCCTGCTCTCAGTCCCACCAGCATCTCAAATGCGTCTGGTGGGGACAAGGGACAGGGCCTTCTTGGTAGTGACCCCCCACTTATGGAATTCGCTCCCCAGCGAGATTAGATCGCCGTCCTCCCTCCTTACTTTTAGGAAAAAACTAAAGCCATGGTTTTGGAGCCAGGCCTTTGGCTAGTGGGCAGAACAGCACTTTAGGCACATCTCGGACAATAGGACTGTTTGAAAATTGGAAATGGCTTTATGACCTGTGATTCTGTGATCTGTTCTATGTGGTTATGTAATTTTAATTAATATCACTGCATAACTGTAATGTAATGGATTTTATATTGCTGTTTTATATTGTTGTTTTGATACTGTTGGCATTGAATAGTTGCCTGCATTAGCCGCCCTGAGTCCCCACTCAGGGGTGAGAAGCGCAGGGTAGAAATGGTCTAAATAAATAAATAAATAATTTAATTGAGGGTTAAACATCAGGAGAGAATGCTTCTGGAACATGGCCATACAGCCTGGAAAACTCACAACAACACAGATAATATACATTAAAAAATTAAAAAAATCAAGGGAAACTGATAATGGTACTAAGACAATAGGGAATATTTCTTTATTTTCACGAGGGTTTGGGGTGCCTTACTCTCTCCGGGGATGTAATCCTGATTCTCCCTGGGAAGGTGCTTGGTCATACGGGGAACAAGGGCAACCGTGGCTCCATCAGGCACCTAAGTATGGAATTAAAAAGCTTTAGGTTAAAGAGGATGCTGCATTTATGCTATTGTATTCTAGGCAGTTATTTGAAAAGCATTGTGATCAGACCTCATCAGGAATACTGTGTCCAATTGTGGACACCATACTTTACGAAGGATATTAAAAAGCTGGAATGTGCTCAGAGAAGAAAGACCAAGACAATCAAAGGTATCGGGAAATCAAGCCCTATGAGGAATGACTGAGGGAGCTGGGTATGTTTATCTTGAGGATAATACGACTGAAAGATGACTTTATAGCTGTCTTTAAATATCTGAAAGAATGTCATGCAGAAGACTACCAAAACAACTCTTTAGCTAGTTGACATCCTTTTCAAAATCAACAGCATTTAAAGGAAACGTACAAAAAGTGAAAGATATGTCTCAAGTTGGGACAGGAGAACAGGAGAGAGCTTTACTATGTTACTAAAATATAGAAAATGACACAAATGCACACAGAATATAATCTGAACTGGGAGACACATAGGAACCAAGATCTAGGGGTGGTTGGTTGCCATTCATTAACAAAGTTATCCTCTTAATAATACGGTTATTTTATCCATTATCAGCATATCTGTAATATATTTTCCCCATTCTTCTAAAGGAAGTATCTCTGGGGTTTCCCAATATCTGGTATATACTATTCAAGCTGCCACTGTCGTGTAAAACAAAAAAAATTCCAAATGTTCTTTCTAATTCTTCATCGGGCATATTCAAAAGGTACATTTGGGGTGTCATTTTAAAATTTGTGTTTAACATTTTTTCAAGATATACATGGATCTGTTTCCAGTAATTGTTTACTTTGCTGCAAGTCCACCATGTGTGGTAGAATGTACCTTTTCCTTTCCCACATTTCCAACATTTGTTGGCGCAATTATACCATAGATTTTAAAGTGTTCTGTACTGTTGTCAATGCTTATGTTATTGTCTATGTGATTTATTTTAATTGCATGTATTGTTATTGTTATTGCTTGTATTGTTGTATTGCGGCCTCGGCCTCATGTAAGTCGCACTGAATCCCTTGGGGAGATGGTAGTGGTGTATAAATAAATAAATAAATAAATAATAATAATAATTATTATTATTATTATATTATACTAGTCTCTCTGGAGAGAGAGATGTGTGTATTCGTATAGATTCCTGATTCAGAAAGGACTAGAGGGCTGTCTGATCCAACCCTATGTCACAACACAGGACCTTCCTTCCAGTGGGTCTTGCCAATCCAGAATGAGTGTTATTTCCAAAGGGCTTCAAAAAAATACTTGTGGAGAAAGAAGTACGGGCTAAGTATTAAGATGAGCTTGAAAGAGTAAACCAAAAAGACAAGCATTTGAAAAATAAAACAACCATCCCAAACAGTTTACCTTATAGTGCTGCAATGTGTTGAGACGCTTCCAATTGCCCTGAACAACCGATGTCACATCCTCATCAGAGAGAATAAGATGCCCAGCCAGCCCTGATCTCCATTCTAATATCATCAGACACAGAAAAACAAAAAAAATAAAAATAAAACACTAGTAAGCATGTTTGAGAACATCACAGAGTAAAGACCATCATTTTACACCCATTAAAGAGGGAAAGAGGGCAGCTGTCCTTTTTACTACTATATGCAACCAGATATTCAGTATCTTCTTGGTGGTATCTCCCCACAGCAACTTCTTGTTGACTACCAAGGACAGATAATGGATTAATGGTATTGGTAGCAGCCGTCTTGCAGATTGTATAAAATGACCTCTACGTATAGGAGTCAGAAGATGACACAAAGTTTGTTGGAAATAGCAACCTTCTCAAGCCTCCACTAGTTATTTGTTATGTATATAATTGCTTACTGTATTGTATATGTGTATTGGTTTTAAAATTTATTTTAACTCTTTGTTGTGGGAGGGGCTACAGACCATGTGATCAGGTCTGGGCTTGTTCAGGGCTCAGACTCCATTTTAGAACAGTATGTCTTTGGAAGACTGTAGGAACAGTTCAGTCGAGACTTCAGTAGGAACAGATGTATGCTTTTAGAAGTTAGTTGAAGCAGACTCTATTAGACTCTCACAACAGAGAGATGCTTTGGACTATGGACTATTGATTCTAAGAAAGATGCCCTGTGTTACCTACACAGAGAAACTACTTCCAATCTATTTGTAACTGGATTGATAAGCAAAGTACCTGTATGCTGAGTACATAAATTTGTGAGTAAACCAACTATGTTATTTTTTTAAAGAAATCTTCTTATTTTTGTCTCTAGAGAACATGGTTTAAAGGCAAATATATTTTAAGGGAGAGTACGAGGGTTGAATGAAAGGTAATGCCTCCACCTTCGTTACTTGGGTTTGGATGGGAATATTTTAATAAATCAAATGCAGAAATAATCCTTAGAATGTGCTCTTTAACTACCACTATTCACTTTTCCACATAATCACCAGACAATTGGATACATTCTGCCAACGATGAACAAGTTTTCTGAAGCCATCACGGAAGAAGTCAACACTTTGTTTCCGCAACCCATCATGCACAAATCTTCCGATAGCCAAGCAAAGCAATAATGTGACCCATGTGTTCCTGTGAAATGCCAATTATGCTTGAAATTTCTCTCTGAGTGATATGACAATCGTCCTGAATCAATCTGTCAACATTTTGCTTGTGAAACTCGGTGGTTGCTGTCACAGGACGTCCAACTCTTTGTTTGCCATGCAAGTCAAATGGTCCCACCTCAACATCTTTAAACTTACTCACCCAACGATGCACAGTACCCACATCAACACAATTACCATGAACAGCTTGCATTCTGTGATGAACCTCCTTTGGGTTGACACCTTCTGCTGTCAAGATTTCAATGACTGCACGTTGCTTAAGTTGCATTGACCGACTGTCTGCGCAGGGTTCCATACTTCGAATTTTAACAACACAACTGTTCAATGCTAAGGCTTCCCACCAAAATGAAACTGTAGAGGAGAGTCTACTAAACAAGCCAGTACCTGCTGCATACCAGTACTGCCATCAATTGTGGAGTTACAAAGGTGGAGGCATTACTTTTCATTCAACCCTCATAGATATCTTTGGGCAACTAAAAGGAACACTTCTGAAACCCTGCTGGATATGTGTTTTGTGCATTGGCATATCTTTATCCCTAACAGTTCAAAGAAATGTCTAGGTATATCAGTTTAACAGCTGAGAAACCTAGTTGCCTTGCATTAATACTATTGAATACCATTTTCCCAATAGATTATGACTCTAACAGGTCATGCTTTTTACAAAGAGGTTATGGCATCATTTTCCAAAAAGGTTTTGACTTCTAACAAGGTCATCCCTTTCCAAAGATCATAAAATCACCAAAAAGGTTATGGAGATTTCCATTTTCCAAAAGTTTCATAAAAAGGAGGCAGGGCAGTGGGCTTCCATTTAGAAAACCACCATTCCACAGTAAAACCTGATTTTTCGAATACCAACATGCCTTCTATTCTACTCACCCAGATCAAGGGAGTCCGGGTCTGGTCGGTGGCAGTAAGGTGTCCCTTTGTAGATCTGATCAAGGATCTTCTCCTTCACCTGAGTGATTGTGTCACAGTCGAGACCCTTCACCAACACCCCTTGGGCACTCTCCGTACTTCCGACTGTGTTCCCAGATTGAGCCAAGACAGTTAATGTCTGCAAATCAAACAATCCGTCAGTCAATCAAGAAAACAAGTTCCCTGAGCTGCACTCCACTTCACTCTTTCCTTGTAGTCACATGATAAGGGCTAATGATAAGCCCTGATATTATTGTGACCAAAAGGAGAAGCCCGGGGCTGATGGAAAAGACCTGACCCTTAGCTAATGGACTTGAGCTAGATAGCAATCCTGAGTTTACTTTCAGAATACAAGGGGTGGCAGAGGGATGAGATTTGCAAAAAAGAATGGATTAGTAGAGCATCCTTTTTCATGTCTATCTTCTTTAAAAATACTGTCCTTCTGGGACTATTTTTCATTTAATGTACACATATCACCTCCCTTTTTGAAGGGGGGTTAAGTGTAAAACTCAGGCCTCGTCTACATTGCCATACAATACAATTTGAAACTGTATTATATGGACAGTACAGACAAGGCCTTACCATTTGGGCCATTTGGTATGTTTTATAGCTCAGTAGGATGAGAACTTGTAGAACAAGTAGGGTTGCCATCTTCCCAGATTAGCCATAGGTAGCAGGGAGGCTTTTGAGGCTTGGGAGCAAGCAGGAGTTGAACTCAGATCTCCTTGTTCCAAGTTTAGCACTCTTTACTGTTAAACTGTACTGGCTGTTGCAGGTCAAAGCTTACAGCACCCAGGATGTTGCGAGTATTCCAGGCTTTATGGCCATGTTCCAGAAGCATTCTCTCCTGATGCTTAGCACCCACATCTATGTCTGGCATCCTCAGAGGTTGTGAGGTCTGTTGGAAACTAGGAAAATGGGGTTTATATATCCGTGGAACGTCCAGGGTGGGAGAAAGGCCTCTTGTCTGTCTGAGGTGGGTGTGAATGTTGCAATTGGCCACCTTGATTAGTATTGAATGGCCTTTTATCTTCAAAGCCTGGCTGCTCCCTGCCTGGGGGAATCCTTTGTTGGGAGATGATTAGCTGGCCCTGATTGTTTCTTGTCTGGAATTCCCCTGTTTTTGAATGTTGTTCTTTATTTACTGTTGTGATTTTAGTTTTTTTTAATACTGTTAGCCAGATTTTGTTCATTTTCAAGGTTTCTTCCTTTCTGTTGAAATGGTCCACATGCTTGTGGATTCCAATGCTTATGGATTTCAACTACACAGAGAATTGCAACAAAGGATTCACCCAGGCAGTAAGAAGCCACACCTTGAAACTGCTAGGCCATTAAATGTTGATACTAATGAAAGTGGCCAATTGCAACATTCACATCTACCTCAAACAGACAAGAGTTCTTTCTCCCACCCTGGACATTCCACAGATATATAAACCCCGTTTTCCTAGATACCAACAGACCTCATAACTTCTGAGGATGCCTGCCAGAGATGCAGGCAAAATGTTAGGAGAGAATGCTTCTGGGACATGGCCATAGAGCCCAGAAAACTCACAACAACCCAGTGATTCCGGCCATGAAAGCCTTCAACAAGACATGGAAATACAGTTGTTAAAAATGCAATAATTAATATGCATTATTTTCTGAACAGGAAATTTTGCATAATGCATTTCATTTGCACATTATGTACATTTCCAAAATATGCTGCCTGGTTTTGGAAAAATGGAATATAGCAATCTAGGAGTAGAGAAAAGAAGAAGTGGAGTCTGGATATATGTAGAGATCTGGAAACCTTGAAATAGGGCTGCTGGCTCCTAGATGATAATGCCACTGAAAAAATCCAGCCTGGACTTTGTGGCTGTGAGTAAAGATATGGCTGAAACAATTGGCTCAAGACTAGCCTTTTCCCAGCCATACCTGAGTAGTGCTCTCACCAGTGTGCGATATTCCAGGTCCTCTCGAAGAAGACGGTTGTCATTCAAGGTGTACTTTGCCTTCCCAGTTATCCAGTCCACTGGCCCCTTGTCCACCTGGTGCTTGATCCCTCGGAAGAGCATATAGAGGGGCTCCCCAACAGAGTCCTAGGGGAGAAATACAGAAGGTCTCTTCACCTGTCACAAGGGAGTTCTGACATTTCTATCTACTATTCTGGACTCCAGTGAAAATGTCACTTCGAACACTGGCCCGGGCTGATCTAAGTTGTCTTGGCTTGTTGTTGTTCATTCGTTCAGTCGTTTCCGACTCTTTGTGACCTCATGGACCAGCCCACACCAGAGCTCCCTGTCGGCCGTCACCATCCCCAGCTCTTTAAAGGTCAATCCATTCACTTCAAGAAGCCTATCCATCCATCTTGCCCTTGGTCGGCCCCTCTTCCGTTTTCCTTCCATTTTCCCCAGTCTGGCTTATACCAGCAATAAAGGTAAAGGTTTTCTCTGACATTAAGTTTAATCATGTTTGACTCTGGGGGGTGGTGCTCATTCTAAGCCGAAGAGCTGATGCTGTCCATAGACAGCTCCAAGGTCATGTAGCCAGCATGACTGCATGGAGCACTGTTATCTTCCTGCCGGAGTGGTACCTACTGATCTACTCACATTTGAATGTTTTCGAACTGCTAGGATGGCAGAAGCTGGGGCTAACAGTGGGAGCTCACCCTGCTCCCCAGATTCAAACTGCCAACCTTTCGGTCAGCAAGTTAAGCAGCTCAGCGGTTTAACCCACTGTGCCACCAGGGGCCCTCCATGTCTGGACTAAAGTTGGGTCTCAGGTTTGAAAAGGCTGAAGGCTAAAGATTGACCAATGAGTTCACTGAGTAAAAGATGAATTAGCCAGTAGTCTACTATCAAGCATCAGCACCAAAAATGTCTTAGAGTCAGCCAAGGTGTCAGTGCCAACAAGGGAGAGTTCATATGGATTCCTATTTCACATATATGTGAAGAATATATGTTCTTCATGTGACAGTTTATCTAGATACCCTTACTCTATTAAATTCTTGTGATATTCATTGCATCTTACATGAGACTCCATCAAATGAATCTAATCACAGCCCTCACTGCTAGATAGAGCAAAGACCTACATGACTGAATTATATGTCAGACATTATCCTCTCCCCATGGAAGATTAGGTGGCTATCTTACCCTTACAAAAGCATAGAGGCAGATGGACATCCAGTTGGTTAACAACTTCTCAACCACTGTTTCGGTCCTAAAAAGAAATACAGGTTTGTTATTATCCTGTCCTTTCTTACAGGGTATATTCAGCTTTCCCTGTTACTCAGTCCAATCACCAGATAATTTATGTAGTCATTTATTGGATGCATTTAAACCCCACGTTTATTCCAGTGAGCTCTAGGAGGCATACATTGTTCTTCCCTCTCCTTATTATTTATACCACCAGTAGCCAAAAAATTAAATTAATATCTAAAGAAAAGGTTAAATCATATATTTAAAACCATTAAAAGCCATTTGTGTTTTTACTGAACAGTCCGTTCTCAGCTCTTACAGGATTTATTTTATTTATTTATCGTGTCAGGAGCAACCAGACATTTGTATTACATTATTAACAAAACAAACAAACAAACAAACAGACAAAACACAAAGTTTGCAAGCTTGGTAGTTGATTAAATGTCCTTTGATCAGGATCTGGCCACTTGGAGTGCCTCTGGTGTTGCCGCAAGGATCTTACAGGATGAAGGTCTATAATGCAGTGCTAGAAGATGATGATGATGATGATGATGATGATTCTATGTGTTGAGGAAGGGATGTAAAAGGTAAAGGTTTTCCCCTGACATTAAGTCCATCTGGGGAATAGTGCTCATCTCCATTTCTAAGCCAAAGAGCCGGCATTATCTGCAGACACCTCCAAGGTCATGTGGCCGGCATGACTGCATGGAGCACCATTACATGTTTTCGAACCGTTTGCATGTTTTTGAACTGCTAGGTCGGCAGAAGTTGGGCCTAAAAGCAGGCGCTCACCTCACTCCCTAGATTTGAACTGCCAACCTTTCAGTCAGCAAGTTCAGCAACTCAGTGGTTTAACCCACTGCACTACCAGGGGGAGGTTAACAACAGGTTTATTGTTAAGTAGCCATCCCCTGCCACGCGTTGCTGTGGCCCAGTCTGTGTATATGTGTTTTATGTGTGTATATGTGTATGTGTGTTTGCATATATATGTGTGTGTGTGTGTGTGTTTTGCGCATGCGTTGTAATGTACTTTTTGTTTTTTTAGCTTTTTACATCCCTTCTGCTGTGTTTTTCAGTGTTTTTATGAGTGATGGTCACTCATTGGCCTGATATGTGTATTGTGTCCACATTTAGTGTCAATTTGCCCTGTGGTTTTATAGTTATGTTAATCCCACAAACAAACATCACATTTTTATTTATATAGATGAGGTTAATGTAAACAGGTTAATGAGGAAGGGAACAACGGGTTAATATAACAGCAACAGCTAGACACATCGTTGTATTTGAAACACAAAATCCAAAATCAGTTTAAAGAGCATGGCTTCAGTTTGAAAGGCATAGATATTAAAAACAATGATGCATGATGGCTATAGCAGGCAAAGAGTGAAAAAGATTGCTTCTGTCTTGCTCTGCTTGTGGTTCTTCCAGAAGCACCTGGATAGCCTCTGCTGTAAACAGAATAACAAACTAGCTCTTGTGAACAGCCAATATTCATACAAGGCTCAGCCATGTTCATTACCTATTCCTGGATAAGTGTAAACAAAGGCTCTAGTTTGAGCTGAAGATAACAGGCAGGCTGGATGAGCTCAAAGTCCAAGGATCGTACACTGGCCAATCTGATTCCTCTTGAGAAACCCAAAAGAAGGACACAATAGCACCTTCCTACTTGGGTTCCACAACAATGGTGTTTTAGAAGCACATTAATCTCTAATGGTGGTAGCAGGTAGCATATAACTATTACACTCATTTCTGTAGGAGTGTTGATACCCTGCAAAAGTGAAAGAACCACAAATATCTCTTGTCTGAGGGAATGGGGCACTTTGTAATCCAAGAGGTGGGGTGGGCATTAACTCGCTGTGATCTGTGGATGAGAGGCATACTCCTGCTATTTCACTTAGCCTGTGGATAATAGTTCCTTTTCCTTTTTCCACATGGCACCAGTGTCTGCTTTGCATGGGCAAAGGAAGGTAAATTTTGAGGGGGAACGAAACATGCAAGAACAGGAAAAAAGAGGAGCAAGTGGCCCTGTGTGTGCCTACAATATCATTTACCCTGTGAATTCTTTCTCCTCTTTCTGTGGACCAGGTGTTTCTGTCCCCCTTAATATCTTTCTTCCTTTGCCTGGGCAAAATAGACATTTGCAGCACACTGAAAGATGAAGAGGAATCGTATCAGTAGGTTAAGTGAAGTGGCATGCAATGCCAGCTGCTCCTCTACCTCTGTGCCATGATTGTGTGTTTTGTCCAGGGAAAGGACACCTCCCGGTGATGTGGCTGCTGTGTGAATGTTCACACAGCAGCCCCAACTTTGAGAAGTGGTAGTGCCTGTGAATGTGAAAGCAAAAGTGAAGGAATTATGGTAGATTTGTCCTTTCTGATCCCTTCACCTGCCTTCTTCTGCGCAAATCTCTCACCTTCGCAGCATCAGCTTAGGGTTCTTGGCTACATACTGCTCCACCAGGTCATTCAGGAGAGTCTTGAGGATGTCTGTGAAGTATTCAAGTTTCCCATGCAATGAGACCGTGAGAAGCGATGCAACATAGGCCCGATCCCTCGGAGAGAACGTGCGCTGAATTTCCAAGGTGTGAATAAACTAAAGGAAGAGAAAAATACCAAAAATGTTGTTAATAAGCAATCATTTGGTTTGGCTGGCGAAGGGGGCAGAGCAACTATTTTAAGTGCTTCTGCAAAAAGCCACCTGCAAAAATGCAAGCAAGTTAATACCTCGCTTTCTGCTATACACACAATCTTTAAGATCTCTTCCAGTTTCCTGATTCTGTGAAACTGAACAATTTTCCTACCAAAGAAGAAATGACACTTAGAAATGCTTGCCTTAATACTTAAATACAAAAAGTCAGGGGAATGGAATTATTGGATAAGCTGAAGAGAAATCCAGACTGACAGACTTTTGGAGCACAATACTCCTGACTTCACGATTGTGGAAAAAAACAAAGTATGGATCATCAATGTTCCAATCCCAGCCAACAGCAGAATTGACAAGAGGCAATTGGAAAAGCTTACATGATACGAGGATTTAAAGACAGAACTGCAAAGACTCTGGCACAAGCCAGTAAAGGTGGTCCCGGTGGCGATTGACACACTAGGTGCAGTGCCTAAAGACCTTGGCCAGCACTTAAAAACAATCGGCACTGACAAGATTACCATCTGTCAGTTGCTCGGATCTGCACACATTATTCACAGATACATCACACAGTCCTAGACACTTGGGAAGTGTCCGACATGTAATTAAATACAAAAGCCAGCGGAATGACCTTGTTTGCTGTGTACTAATCTTGTTGTGTATCAAATAATAATAATAATAATAATAATAATAATAATAATAATAATACATGGTATGTATTACTTCTTGATATTTCTGTTGCAGTCATACAATGACAGTGAGCTGGATGTTAGAAGATCCTGTTGCAAGATTTATTTATTTATTTATTTATTTATTTATCATGTCATCAGCAACAATACTATTGTATTACATTTCTAACAGAACAAAACAAACAAACAAACAGATAAAAAAGCACAAATTTTGCAAACTTGGTAGTTGATTAAATGTCCTTTGACCAGTATCTGGCCACTTGGAGTGCCTCTGGTGTTGCCGCAAGAAGGTCCTCCATTGTGCATGTAGCAGGGCTCAGGCTGCACTGAAACAGGTGGTCTGTGGTTTGCTCTTATCCGCACTCGCATGTCATGGACTCAACTCTGTAGCCCCATTTCTTAAGATTGGCTCTGCATCTCGTGGTGCCAGAGCGCAGTCTGTTCAGCGCCTTCCAAGTCGCCCAGTCTTCTGTGTGCCCAGGGGGGAGTCTCTCATCTGGTATCACCCACAGATTGAGGTGCTGGGTTTGAGCCTGCCACTTTTGGACTCTCGCTTGCTGAGGTGTTCCAGCGAGTGTCTCTGTAGATCTAAGAAAACTATTTCTTGATTTAAGTCGTTGACGTGCTGGCTGATACCCAAACAGGGGATGAGCTGGAGATGTCTCTGCCTTGGTCCTTTCACTATTGGCTGCTACTTCCCGGCGGATGTCAGGTGGTGCAATACCGGCTAAGCAGTGTAATTTCCCCAGTGGTGTAGGGTGCAGACACCCTGTGATAATGCGGCATGTCTCATTAAGAGCCACATCCACTGCTTTAGTGTGGTGAGATGTGTTCCACACTGGGCATGCATTGCAAAATGATTCAGGGCCTTTTTATTGGTGAACAAGGCACTTAAGAGATTCCTCCTATCATATTTATTTTACAGTATTTGGCATACACCACTGCTCTGTGTGATTTATAGGATTACATTCAAATATTAGTGTGTTCTTATTGAAAACATGTTTACATTTCCAACAACATACCTTGGTCAGAAAGAGCTTGCTGTTGAGGAGATTGGAGAGCTGTACCAAGCCCTGTTCCACTGTTTGCCTCCGAGACTCAGGCACGTCCAGATCCCTCTGTAATGGAGACTCACGGTGGCCAGGGAAAAAAATGCGTTCTGCATAGGTCTTGTAATCCAAGAAAGGAATCCCAGTTCCAACTAAGTCACTGGTGAGATCCATCATCTCTGTCATGAGGTCTGGAAAGAAAAGAAGCACCCATGTTATGAGGAAAGAGAAGGAGAAAAGGAAGCCAGACCAATTGCTGATATAGCCCAGGCGACCATGCTTTATCACATGAGAATGGTAAACTGCAATTGCAGCAGGATAATAGCATCTTTGGCCGGAATTTATCATACAACATTGTGCCTCTCCCATTGTTAAAATTGTTCTTCATTTTAATTATTGTATTGTTTTAAGTAGGTTTTTTTGCACTACAAATAAGATATGTGCAGTGTGCATAGGAATTCATTCATGTTTTGTTTTTTTTCAAATTATAATACAGCTCTCCCAACAGTTTGAGGGACTGTGACCTGGCCCTCTGTTTAAAACGTTTGAGGACTCCTGGTCTATAGGGTTTTTAAATTTATGTTTTAATGTATATGTTTATTTTGCTTTTGTTTGTTGATATGGCATCAAATTGTTGTCTTTTGTAAGGCCACTCTGAGAAGGGTGGTGTATAAATACAATAAATAAATATGCTAAAACTAGCTTCTGCAGCCTGGAACCCCCTCGCCCCTCCAAATTATAAGTTTAGATTACAAGTTCTATCACTTCCAGGTATCAAGACTTGAGATGACAGGAGCTTCTGAATTGACACATCTGAATGGACCGTGGGTTGCAGAAGTCTGACTTAAATCCTCGCTCTTGAGAGGACCCCACATCACCAATGGTGGTGGCCAGAGCACTCCCTCCGGTCCCTCTACCTGTGAATTCCTTTTTGCATCGATCTCGGACACTTGTTTCCAGATTTTCCAGCTGGATCTGAACCTTCTTGTAGTCCCGCAGGGCTTGTTTGCTCTTTCGCCTACAACAAAAAAGAAAGTAGTATCAGTGATACCTAGGCTTTCAACGTTCTCTGCTCATCAAGCTCAGTTTTTATTATTATGAAGGGGAAAAGTCAGGTGGAGTTGGATCTGATGTAAAATGTAGAATATCTGCAATATTCATTTCATAGGTGGATAATGTGGAGAGTGTGGAGGTTCTGCTAAACTTTGGAATTGGGGAGAAAGGGGGGTAGAGAAAAAGAGGCTGGTGTTTGGGGAAAGGTTTAACCCACCAATGAGGGCTCTGACAATAACTGCAGGATTATGTAACTCTAATACAATATGCCCCATGTTGATTAATTACTGGACCAAAATGTCCTCATCTTCTTTGCTTTTTCTAATTAAAAAATATCTTCCAAACTTTCTAAACCTAAGCAATATGACTATTTATAACCTACAGTTTATAAATCCAGGATTTATGTATTTGGAAGATGGTAAATAGGGGAATGGGGAGAAGTGACACTGTTACCCAGTAAGATAACAGACCATAAATCTGTTTTCCAACTTTAATTGAAGCAGTGTGAGAAATTTTTAGCTAAAGAAATTAGGTGCTTACAAAGTACAACTTTGCAAAGAAATAAATACCAACAAAATACCAAATATTTAAGAATAAATCCAAACAAAACCAGTTTCAAAGAAATATCAGTCCTTGCTCTGGGCCTAAGCTTTAAATTCTAACACTGTTGCATGAAGATCTGCAAAACGGTAAACAAAACAAGTTAGGTTTTTATAATTATATGCTGACTCTGCATTATTACTGCATTATTATCTATCTGTATTATTTCATAGAAAAAAGGAAGGTTTTCACAGATTATTTTAACTTTTGAAATGAGTGGCGATTCTAGAAGTGCTGTGCTTTTCTTCACACATCTCTTATTAACTCATCCAATTGAAGTACAACATGCACTGAGCAACATCTCAAAGGTATAAAGTCTAGGGAAACAGACTTCTATAAGCATGGCTGATGCCAACCTTGGCTAAAGACCTTTTTTTAGTTCTCATTGCTCAGACATTTTAAGTTTGGCAGACTTCTTAATTGATTTTCAAAACTGTATTTTAGTATAACATGCTGCCCCTCTATTCTGCCTTGGTCAGACCACACCTGGAATACCGTGTCTAGTTCTGGGCACCACAGTTGAAAGAAGATGTTGACAAGCTGGAAGGACTAAAATGATCAGGGTCTAAAAGGGTCTGGAGAACAAGCCTTATAAGGAGCGGCTTAAAGAGCTAAGCATGTTTAGTCTGCAGATGAGAAGGCTGAGAGGAGACATGATGAGAGCCATGAATAAGTATGTGGGGCAGTCATAAGGAGGAGGAAGCAGGCTTGTTTTCTGCTGTCCTGGAAACTAAGATGCAGAACAGTGTCTTCAAACTACAGGAAAAGAGATTCCACCGGAACATTAGAAAGAACTTCCTAACGGTGAGAGCTGTTCAGCAGTGGAACTCTCTGCCCCAGAGTGTGGTGGGGGCTCCTTCTTTGGAGGCTTTTCAACAGAGGCTGGATGGCCATCGGTTGGGGGTGATTTGTATGCGATTTTCCTGCTTCTTGATGGGGGGGTTGGACTGGATGGCCCACCATGTCTCTTCCAACTCAATGATTCTATGATTATCACCATCATTCATTCAACTTCTTCAATTAGCTATTACACTCTTTTTATTACTTGTGGTAGTTGTATGGGCATTTGGAGTTATAATTATTGTTTATTGCCCCAATAGCTTTTGATAACGGGCAATTTATACATGTACAAGCAAACTAGCTTTTCAATTTGTAGTGGAGATTCCAAATAATTAGGCTCTAGGAGGATTCCACCTAGACAGTAGGAAGAACTTTGTGACATTAAGAGCTCTTTGCCAGTGGAATATGCTTCCTGAGAGTGTGGTGGAGTCTCCTCTGGATGTTTTTAAGCAGAGGCTGGATGGCCATCTGCTGGGAGTGTCTGTATTGCAACTTCATGCATGGCAGAAGGGGTTGAACTAGAAGGCCTTTGTGGTCTCTTCCAACTGCATGATTCTATGAGGATTGAAATACAAATTGCAGTGAAAACACCTTCCCACCTCTTACCTGTATATGAAGACAATGATGAGAACAATCAAAGCAACAAAGGAGGCTCCAACACCCAATCCAATCTGGGCTTCCAGGGGAAAGTTGAGCTGACTCTCTGTGTCATATTGCACCCGACCGAGTGAAAAGTTCATATTTCCCATCTGAACCTGCAGGAGGATGAGAAGATGCCAAACTAGATACCACCATGAAGACTTCTGCATTCATTTGATTCTGGAAGGTAAGTGCTAGAAGGGGTTAGATTCCCCTTGAAGGCACAGGTTCGCAGCTTGGGAGTTCTCCTGGACTCATCGCTGAGCCTGGAACTAATACTTACTGTGAACTCTGGCAAGGAATCTGCGCCTTCCCGCTTGGACCGGTGCTGTGGGACTGGTTGCTCCGTAGGAGGTTCGCAATAGAGATGGTTCTTTGTGAGAGTCTTCACTGAGCAGATTCCGACTCCAATCATGGCTTTCACCTCTTCTTTGCTAATTGCCAAGTCCAGATTCTCCCCCTGCAGAAAGGGACACAAGGCCAGTATTGGAAACAAGTTCAAAAAAGTTTGTTTATTTATTTACATTATTTATATACCGCTTCTCTCACCCCTGGAGGAACTCAAAACTGTTTACAAAACATAATGGCAAAATTCAATGCTTTACATATAAAACCAAATAATATTTATTATTTTATTTGTCGTGTCAGGACAACCAGTCAAATTATATTACATTTCTAACAGAACAAAGCAAACAAACAGACAAAATACAAAATTTTTGAGTTTGGTAGTTGATTAAATGTCCTTTGACCAGTATCTGGCCACTTGGAGTGCTTCTGGTGTTGCTGCAAGAAGGTCCTCCATTGTGCATGTGGCAGGGCTCAGGTTGCATTGCAGCAGGTGGTCAGTGGTTTGCTCTTCTCCACACTCGCATGTCGTGGATTCCACTTTGTAGCCCCATTTCTGAAGGTTGGCTCTGCATCTCGTGGTGCCAGAGCGCAGTCTGTTCAGTGCCTTCCAAGTCGCCCAGTCCTCTGTGTGCCCAGGGGGGAGGTCTCTCATTTGGTATCAGCCATTGGTTGAGGTTCTGGGTTTGAGCCTGCCACTTTTGGACTCTCGCTTGCTGAGGTGTTCCAGCGAGTGTCTCTGTAGATCTTAGAAAACTATTTCTAGATTTAAGTCGTTGACGTGCTGGCTGATACCCAAACAGGGGATGAGCTGGAGATGTCTCTGCCTTGGTCCTTTCACAAATCATAACCAAATCATAAATCAAACAGCATATGGCTAAGCATAAAATACAATAGGACAAATTCACCGTAAGATAATAGGACATTTAAACATGAAATATAAAAATTAAAAACACCTAATAAAAACATTAAAATCACATGATCCAAACTTGTAGAGCGGGCCATTCCAGATGTCAATTACACATATTCCATATTTACTTCTTGTACCGTGTTACTTTACTAGTCAAAAGTTTGGTTCCATAACCATGTCTTCATTCTCTTTCTAAAGGCCAGGAGGGAGGGTGCTGATCTAATCTCACTGGGAAGAGACTTCAAAAGTCGGGGAACCACCTCTGAGAAGGCCCTGTCTCTCATTCCCCACCAACCGCACTTGCAAAGCAGGTGGGACTGAGAGCAAAGTCTCCCCAGAAGATCTTAATCTCCATAAGGGTTCATAGAGAGAGATACGTTCGTACAGGTAAGCTGGGCTGGAACCGTTTAGGACAGGCCCATAGTCAGGATTTTGATTGGGGGGGGGGGGCTGAGTCTGAGTGAGAGAGGATCTACCCTAGCAAACCTTTTGTATTGTTATCCCAATACCCTCATGCATATGGGATATATTGAGCGTGGTAATCAGATCATGATATGAATAAACATAACAGTTTAAATAATAAATGTTATTTATTTACTTTTATTAACAAAAAGTTTAGAATACCTTTTTGACTTATTTGTTTACTTTACAGCAACAGTCTTCTTTTCTTCTCCCCGGCCATTTTGTCAATTACTTTTTCTGGTTTTGTAGTGATGTCCCAATGGATGAAAATTATTGCTAGTCCACTAAGTCTCTGGTCTGTCATTAAACCTCTAGATACACTTTTCACTCTCTTCATGGTTGAAAACGAACTTTCAACACTGCATGTCGTTACTGCTAGAGTAGCTAACACAGTCCAAAGGAAATTTATTGACCGATAGTAGGTTTTGTCACACAGTTCCAACACTTTAAGTACCCCAGTATCTTTCTTGGTGTGATTTTATACCACATTAGGTACTCAGCCTTGACGGAAGCAAGTGCTGCATCATTTTCGAAGTATTCTGACAGTTGTTCCATATGGTGAACTTTGTCTATACCTGAAAACCCAGGGAGGAGAACCTGGAAACTGGTTAAAATGTTTTCATTTGACATGAACATTTCAGTAATGTTCTGTATGAGTGAATCGAT